TATCGTAAGTTTTAGTCTTTTACATGAAATTTGAACTCATTAGTTATTGATTAAACTAGCGAAATTATGACACTCGATGTTTGAAGTGGTATGAATCCAAAAATAGTCGTGCTGAGTTATGTAAGTCAGTTTGAGAAGCCTATGTTGCGCATTTTCCTAAATAGATTATACTGTAGTCTCGATGGAGTCAGTCGATTCTTTAAATTTAAACTTTAACTCTAGAGTTATGGGTGTTAGTATGATTCGAGCATGTTGTACGGTTTACAAGTATTGCATATGTAATAAATCACAATTTTATTTATTCTGGGTTTATCCTTTATTGACTTAAATTTGAACATAAGATCCCATAGATTGTCAGCATCTTGAATGTTATGATGCAGTACAAATGTTGAGAATTTATCAAAACAATACATTTCCGACCATTACACCACAACGGATTGCTGGCAAGAATGTTTACTTTAAAAAACAGGGTTTCAACGAGAATGTTTGCAGAAATCATTAATTTACTTTTGGATACTGAAGTAGACATTTTATATAATTTATACAGGCTAAAACCAATTTTTTATCCAAATTGACCCTATCAGAATGAGCCTCTCATGTAGTGTAATATTGTAAAAATTATATTTGTGTTATCGTGATACAGTTGGTGTAAGTAACAAAAGATGTAGTAGTCACGTTTTCCTGGATTGGTTTAAAAGTTAGCTTATTGAACAAGATCAACAGTTAACAGCAGTACCTACACTCTCTGGTAGACTCAAACTACGTTCATAACTTTAAAAAAATGGATAACGTGGGAAAGAGGCATCGAAAGTGGAAATGTCAAGTTGGCTCAGCTGGTAATGTGTGGTTCGTGTATTGGCATCACTGCACCTGATAGTTATCAATGGTCGTTATCTATATTGGCTACCGAGGAAAGTGCGATGGACTATGTCACGTGACCATGATCAGCTGATGATGTGATGTTGAAGACACTTGGTGTTAACGCACGGATGCACTTAGTTCTATCGTAGATTATGTTTTATCTATGGTTCTATATAGTGTGTCTTCTATAGGCTTCGAGAGTAACCTCTTTAACTTTTTTAGTTTTGGGAATATGCAAGTTCTCCAATTCGCTGAGGTCAGTCAGAAAGCCACAGGTTGTAGTATTATTTGTTATCTATGTTTGATGAATAATAATATCCTGAAGGATTTTTGTTGTGGGTTACTTAGTCGCTTGTATGTTGAATCGGCCTTGGTCGGAATCAGAATGTGTTCCAGGTTTGCAAACAATCAAGAAAAGAATACATAGAATTCGAGTTTAAAATAAATTAAGGGACGAAATATATAAAGAGTAAATTAATGAATACTGCATTAGGCCTAAATATTGTTTCGTTGGTGTGAAATTAATATCATGACAGAAACATGACAGTTACTGTAAAAATAAATGAGGACAGCGAAAGTAACGATGATTTAGATAATATGATGAGAAGTATTATATCTATTGTATATCTTAAGTATCATACAATATGCAATGTTAGTGGTTTTATGTTCTATGTTTGACATGTTTGAAACCTATTCTGTTCAATATTTCTGTATTTCTAGTCTGCTACTCAGATCTCTTGATTATCGCTGTTTTTGACGTGAGTGTAACACGTTCTGCGGAATATACTTAACACTTTCTTATATTTACTTCGCACTCTAGAAAATGTCATACACCGTTACATACTGATGAGTTTACCTCAAAATAATGTCTACTATTTAATTTGCAACTAATTTGTAATATGGGGCAATTAATTATAAAATTGGTTTAAAGCTTGGCAATAAGTTGACAACTCGTTTAACCACATTATGTGAAATTATATATTACTGTATATTAATCACGCTCAATTATTTTTAGTTAACTCACATTTTACAGGTCAAAGAAATATTTTTCAAAATTAGGTTATAAATAAACAATATATTGTAGGTTACATGAAAAGTACTTACAATTATGAATAAATGAAACTATTACGTCATATGCCTTTTCCCTGGACGCTAGTATTATTCCTGTAGCATGTAACGTTGGCGTTATGTTTCCATTTTGTGAAATGGGTCGTGGAAAGAATGATAAAATGCAAATGCAAACTCATTTCCACAGTTGTGGATGAAAGCTATGCAAACCTAGTTATACCTCATCGCTATCTCTTTTTCCAACTCTCTTCCTTTCCGCCATATTTACATTTTAAATGTTCAACTCATGCAATAATACTTTTAAAATTAGTTTTCAAGTATTGTTAGTTTTCCCAAATTCAGTGTAAATTGACCTACAAAATTTAACAAAGTCTCTTTTGCTGAAAAACAGCTAATGCTTCAAAATGTTGAAAGAAATTTGAGTATCTTATAAAATCAACTGCATCACCATAGAATAAATGTGCTAAATAATTAGCTTTGCAAAATATTAGACTGTATTCGTTTCCTTCATAAACTGTGTGGCCAATTAATAATTTAAAACCGTTTAATATAGAAGTAAATGTGTACAGTTAATGTTTCATGTAGACCAAATTAATATTTACTTTCCGAAGCCCCGCCTCAGAACTATGAAGGAACCTGTCAATTTTTTAACATGGGATTATGCCTTTAGTAATTCTGGATACGTAGATTATACTTTTGCAAAATGTAATCAAATTTTGTTTAGTGGCTTTAAATTATGGAAAACAGATAAGCAACTTCATTTCCATAACTAAAACTATAGCAAATTGTTTATACAATTTTGCAAATAATAATAGACTGCTATCTTCTTGATTATTTTTGTCATTGTTTACACTAAAGCCAATTTCCAGTTATGCTTAGATCTATACGACTTTAGATGCAGATTACTTAATTAGTGAAATGGTTTGTCGGTCAAGCAAGATAATCATACCGGGATCAGGCTGTTAGTTGAGGAAGAGGCGGTCCTGTAAACCTCAGATAGTGTAAATTGGAGGAAGTAACTTTCTAACAATACGGAGATAGGAGCAGCGGTGACACCAGCTCTGGCCCAGTGCAATGGGTCGATAATCAACAAACTGTGCCATTCCTGCTGCAGGCGGGTTAACTTTGCGTTTTAACGATAATTGTAATAGCATTTCGTATCTTAATACAAAAGCCGTGTATTAAGTTGAAATATCAGTAAACGTAACCGAGAAATTCTGTATTAATACATAAGACATTTATTGTTCACTGTGTACATGCATAGACAGGTAATTTCATTCGTGAATACATCTTGTATTCGGTCGATTTTGGAAAGTGGTATGGCTAAGTTCCTAAAATGTACAACATTTATCTGTGTGTAAGTATTTTAATATGCGGATCGAGTGATCCATTCCGAGTTCTAACTGTATACAGTCAAACAAACTTGTGTTAAGGAACTGGTTTGTTATTCGCAAATAGGCCGACATTGTACAATGACATTAATTAATTTGTCTAAGGTAAAAAATATCACGTATAAAATAAAATAAACCATACATTTTCCCAGTATTTGTGTAAAATTTCCTTCATGTCTTCACGAAGCTAAGACCTAGAAGCAAGACCGCTGTGCTTCCTCATTTAGGAAGCCCATAAGCAAAAGATACCAAGTTATTGAACTCCTCTTTGGATGTAAGTGGCAAATTCATCTAGTTCACTATTCTTCGCATTTCCAATATTTTTTTTAAAATTACACATATTATTATATCGATGTTGTTGGTGTTCTTTGAGTATTCCAGTTGCACAACCTGCATATTATAGTGGTAGGCCTATTTCCTACCCAGCAGTTCCGCCAGTTAACCACGACTCCGTTACTTCGTTATGCTTTGGGTTGGGTTGGGTTACTCGTGTTTAATGTTTGAGGCGGAACTATAATGATGATTGGTGCCGACAATCGACATCCCGGTACTTACTCGGAACTCTTCATTACCGGGAACTACTTTGATTTATTGTCCTACACTCCTACAAGAGCAATTTCTCCTGTCGCAGCATAAAAAAAAAAAAATTGTGTTCATAGAAAATAAGTTACAACAGGAATTGAAAAAAAACAATAAACTATATATTAGGTATTTGGTATCCTAAAAATTCTTTTACTAAAAAAAACTTTTGTCGAGAAGCCAAACAGCCAATTTATTTTAAAATTTATTAAAGCTAAGCTCTTGAAACGATACAGGTAGCTTATTAAAGAGCTGTATTTGGAGGAATTTGTGGCTATTAGTTGATTTTGATAATCTTACTATCGAAATATCTAGCTGGTTACTTGTTCTAGTATTATAACTGTGAAATTCATTACGTTTTGGGAATGATGAAAGATTTTCTTTAACAAATAGCAAATTTTGAAAACAAATATACATGGCAGAGTCATTATCCTGTGTTTGATAAAGAATTGAAATACATATTTCAACAATCTTTCGATTTAGTGTGTATTTATGTCATACATTTTTTCCGTTTCGTAAGGAATTTTTCCAAACCTGGGCCTTGTTACAAAACATCTACCTTCTTAAGTTAGAAAGCATGATTAAATGATAGTCTAATGACTAACAAGCATTTGGGTACAAAATCGACCCCACTTAAGATCGTACTAGCAACTTCTCAGAAGGCGAGCACTGTATTGTGTGTTACCCACTTACTTATTGGATTCATAAACAATTTATTTTTCAATCACTTCCGGTAAGTGTTTCAGCGAAAAAAATGAAATAATAATCTTGCTATTTTGGGGGAATATCTTTATCAAGAACAGTGTGTTTTTTTTTAGATTTGTTGTGGTATTTGTATATCAAGATCTACTGGTAGGCTAGTCTCGGTTTTGATTCTTCATTTGATAAAAATACCTGAATATTCTTATTAACACATCAATATTGTTACTAATGAAGTTCCTTAAAACAAAGTTAAAACTTGTTTACCTGTGTTTCTGCAGTGCATAATAATTATATTGTATTTATTCATTAATTTACATAATATGATAATATACTTTATTTTCATAGCATGTTGCCTCCTTAAATTACGATTTTACAAAACTAATAATTTTTTTTTTTCAGATACGGACAGAAAAGGACAGAATGTATGAGTGGAAGGACAGATTGGAGCGGGAGAAAAATGAAGCTTACCGTCAGGTAGTATATTATTTAGGGATTGCAATATTTACTTACAAATATGATTTCATGATGTTTATTGTTAGCTTGGCTCAAGATTTTATTATTATAGGTATTATAAACCTGTTTTTAAACTCTATTTAATCTTGTTATTGCTCAATAATTGCACAAACCTGTGCTATTCTAAGGAACTCAACTGGTATTTATTGGGCAGTTTACATTTATTTATCAAGAGATTTGACTACTTAATTACAACACCATCAATGAATGATTATACTTAAATGCTGTGAACATTTCTTAATTCAACGATTAAAAATGCATCGGTCCCTTTTAGGATCTCTATACATTAAAATTTATACCATGTAGTCAATGCTTGACTAGTGAAAATCTATGTCTACACTCGAGTGTTTTTGTGTACGCCAAGCGCATGTCTGCACGCAGATGGACACAAGTAACCCATGTGTCAAGTGTAGTGGGGTCTTGGTCAAGCCATGCCCAAAATGAGTCCAAAGGAGCTCCATTTCATAGCTCACAGCGTAGCACAAGACAATCCACCAGCCTTGGATTTCTGTGCGTTTCAAATTGCAACTACTTTACATTTTTGACAAGTCATCCGTGTTGTAGTTGTTTGAAGCAACATGAATATCCAACAAACATCAGAATTCATAGAAGAATTCACTTGCATGTATGCTTGTGGGACATACTAGGTAGTAAATCAAGAAATAAATAAATATGAATTAAATAAATAAAATAAAGTAAGAAAATTACGCGCTTTAAAGTACTCCTTCTTTTATATTCTACGCATTGAATTCTTACATTTGTGAAATTTTCTAAACACTATATATACCGCACCAATTCCTCCTATCAGAATAGGGTCGTCTTCATCCAACAAAAAAAAATTCTAAACCGTGAGGCATGAGTGTCGATAGCTAAAAGGCATGCCTCAAAGCGCTTGCAATGCATTCGTTGATGCATGTTGAATTTAATGTTGAATTAAAAGTTGAAAGGCACGTTGAAATTGAAAGCGCACAAGTGGGGACATAGCTAAAGAGTTGATTGGTCTGAAGTTTAAGAAGCAAAAGACTTACTACTTTACTTGAGCAGGAAATGTAATTTTACATGAATACTGGAGTAAACTAATTAAATTATCTAGTTAACTTGTTCACTAATTAAAGACTGTTTGTGTGTTCCCAGTTGAAGATGCAGGCAGAGGAGTCGGAGCACACGAGGCGCAGGTTGGAGCGAGCTCGCAACGATGTTGTACGACAAGTGACGGCCATAGTGGCCGAGAAAGACTCTCTGGAACGAGAGGTGAGAACGTTAAAGCTTGACCTTAGACTTCAAATTGTTAAGCTCAGAAATTTTGGTTTTGAATTTTAATTATATATTTGGGTTTAACCGAACATATCGTGTAGGCTTGGCTTCTAGTTATATCAAGGATGGCTTTGGCTTTGAGTTACGTAAAAGTACTTTAGTCACCTGCTCAGAGCCAATTGTATGTTGTAGGTCTATCTGAGAAACAAAAACAATTAAGGTTTCTCAGATAGGAGAACTTTATCTGTTTTGGAGAACTCCTTGCAAATGATAACATATCAAATAATCAAATCATAGTAAAAAAATTAAATAATTTGTTTTTAATTGATTGATTGGCTGTATTGCCTAAAGAAAAGATAAATCCTTTGTATAATTGATGGTACATTTAATAATGTTAATAAAGTTTGGTAGTTATTAACTTTTCGAGCACATATTATCATTGTCATGTTCTAAAAATTTCAAAATTTATATTTTCAAATAGCCTACATCTTTTGATTGTGCTTTACAGTTGACTTATGTGGTTTTAATAAATGTTTTAAATTTTTCAGAATCTAAGACTAAAGGAAGCGCTGGAAGACATTGAAAGGAAGAGTCACAGAAGCGGCAGAAGTACACACAGTGTCCATGGCTTGGAGAAAGAGGTCTGTCTTATTACTTATTCTAATTAAGTTAATTTATGTCCTCATAAATTCATTACTGTAAGTTAGCTTCTTTTTTATCAAACAATATCTTCTTCAATACCGTATATTGTATGTATCAGCTAGTAATACAACTGGAGGTAGCACTGGCAGGGCAAGTGTACTAGAAAATCGAGACAGTTTAAAATGATGTCATGATGGTACCAACTGGAGGAACCAACCGGCCCTTTGGCTCAAGACTTTATTACAATCTCACAATCTCCTATTCCTTTTATTCACCTCAAGTGTTTTGCAGGTATATGACCTGAAGCAGGTAGCCAAGCAAAGTGCCACACTCAATAGTCAGCTGAAGAAGGGCATGAAGCACCTAGCCACCTGCAGACGACGCAAGTGTTCTGTGTGCGCTTACACTCGTGCCACCTTCGGCGAGTACGCCAACAACGAGTGAGTACCCCTTAGTTATTTATTTATTTATTTATTTATTTATTTATACGGTAAACACCATTTTTACAGTCAATGATACATGAGATACAAGTTACAAGATAAATACTTCTAAACATATATAAGCCAGATACAGATTCATCTTAATTGCTAGACAATAGTAACATGCATAAATATTTAGTTAGTTGGCTACACCCATGTAACAAGTGATAACTGTATATTATCAAAACATAATTACAAAAAATGCATTACGTCTCGGAATAAAAATCATCACACATATGTTTCAATTCAAAGTCATATACTTAATTAGATAATCTGACAACTCTTCTCAAGTTCTTGGTTAGCAGGGTTATTGTTTCTTAGTTAGAACTACATCAACTAATTTCCTTTGCAAAGACTTAGCAACACAATGGTACGCACCCCACAAGTCTAAAACCTTCAAGTCTAATGTATATTTCCAAAACCACCATTGATTTTTTTATTTTTGGTGAACTTACTTTGCTGGCTCATTTTAAAGGAATATTTTTGAAGTACGGTGGATAAAGAAATATAGTGAAAGGATATATCAGCGTTTATATTACTGCTCTGTTTCATTAAATAGCTATTAGATACAATAGCTTTAGGTGATATAACTGAAATGTCTCAGAAGTTTCATTGATTATGATATTTCCAACGAGTCTCAAAACTCAAGTTGCATAACTGATGTAAGCCTCTAGAGGTCAAACCTGAGGGCTTGTGTATGTTTGGCACAAATTTACTAATTAACTTTAAATCAGTCTTCAACTAGGTAAAATTCATAAATCTGTTTAAACTATTTCTTGTTGTGGCAGGAGCGGGGGTAAGAAGCTGTTCTCTTGTTTTGTGGACACTCGCAAGCGGTCACGGTCAGCGCAGGGCAGACACAGCTCTACATGGTCGGACACGGATGGTCTAGCAGACAGACTCTCAGAGATATCTGTGGCTCCCCCCTCCCCCTCAGAGTACTGTCCCTCCCCCTTACCTCTCAAACACATCTCCTACATAGACGAGGGCTCGGACAGCAGCAGCGAGGACGAGAGAGGTGGGTCACATGTTTGTTTACTGAGTACAAATATTATTTGTTTTATATAGGAAGGCCAAGTTAAAAGGTCTTATTGTATTGGAAAGTGATAGGATTTAGTTATCGTACCTTATTTAGTACTATAGTTACCGTTATTGTAATAATAACAAGGGGACTCAGGCGCAAATTGCACTCCAGGGTCCAAAACTTGTTTACGATGAAAAATGAAACAGTGCAATACCCATTTACCTTTTCAAGTGTTTGTTTAGAACAGCTATAAAGTGAAAAGAGCTACTAATTTACAATTTTTTTTTTTCATTTATTGTTTTTGATCTACACTGAAAAGAGTGATTCACCTACATCAATCAGGTAACAGTTGTCATAAAAGTAGCCTATTAAATATACATTTTCATTAACGGTTTCGTCTATTGTTTACAATTTGACTGTGGTTAAATATTCAACTAAAGGAACAGCTGTTAAATTTTATAAAATTCAAATGGATATAAAGAACTGGTTAGCATAACTGGAAATTTGAAAAAAAAACTCAAGGTACAAATCAAATGTGAGGGGGTGAATTACTGGATTCATAGAAAAAATTACCTTAATTACCAGGTGCGCTAGATCATAAGCTTTAAAATGACATCTCAATCGTAAAAATTGGTTATGTAGGACGGCTGGAAAAGGGATGCAACAGGGAAACCTCTTGTTGTTACCAACAGGCATTTTGTTACTTTTTACTTATCTTTGCTGTTTGTGTGTGTGTCTTCGTCTTCACAAAAAAAACTTGTTTATGAAAAAAATAATTTCTGTGTCCACAACCAGAATGAAACCATGATCAATAGACACTGAATTAATAAAAAAATCCTTGGGGTACAAATGGTAAGAGGAGATTTTGTATATGCTGTAACCCACCCAACTGTGAAAGACGTAAATTTTGTTAATTGCTAATTGGTTGAGACCAAAATTTAGCAGTTAACCATTAAAAATAAAAATAGGCTGATTCCGAACTTTCAATCCCGGTTGTATTAGGAATCTGGGATTCTCATTGTGTTTTAAAATTCAACACCAATTTAAGATCCTCCCACCATAGTGGTGAAATTGCTAACAACCAATCACCCAAATTTACAGATGGATCCCACTAACACTTAAATCCCAAGACTAAAAAAATTTCCAACATTCAAAAAAAAAAAATAAAATTTCAAAATTTTCAGGTCTTACTTATAACCTCTCTTATACATTTAACAAAAAATGTGCTAGTACTAACCTTGAGTTTCATTTTCAAGAGTGAGTGGGAACTCTGCATATGCCTCAAGAAGTGATACTATACTATATGCTACTAGCATTGTTAGAATGATGTGCGTTTTCCAGAGGAGGACAGAGGCTATGTCCAGACGGACGCCAGCACCACGTCGTCTGCTCCTCATGCCTTCTCCTCGGACAGTGGGTTCAGCTCAGACACACCGGCCTCTCAGCGACCGTCACTACATCGTGCCACCAGGTGGACGTCGTCCTTCCGCCGCCTAATCCGTCGAGTGTCCAAACGCCAGCTGAACAATACAACCTAGGTGAATCTTGCCGATCACTCTGTATGTACGGGATGCAAATGGTGAATGTAAACACTACTTGTCATGTAACAGCTGATCACAAAACTGTCATTGGTTGTTACATACGAATATGGTTGTGTTGTGTAATGAATGATTTTTACTGCTGACCTCATAAAGACCTTCTAATTTGAATTCATATATTTTTCTGTAAACAATAATTGCAACTTTGGTTAAAAACTCTGATCTGCCATATCCAAGTACAGATTAATATATCTTTCCTTAACAGTTAAATTTTGATGTTTTAGTGATCGATATGCATTCAAATGCCAATAAGATAAATAAAAAAAACTTGTGGAGAGATTTTAAATTGGTACAGTTTGTCCTAATCTCTTGCTTATATTAATTGGATTTTTTGTACACACAACCGGTTAACTTATACTTGATATAGAGTTATTAAAAATACATCTTGTTAAAAAACCATTGAAAAATGTTAATTCTTTCTCTACTGTAAAAAAGACCAATATAACAAGTTCTTTTGTACATGAAGCAGTTTAATCATTAGTAATAATTTTATTACAAGATGAGTGAGTAGTTCTAAGTTAATCACTTTTTGGCAATGAAGCAGAGGGCGTTGTTCCCAGAGTTAACTGGTTAGGCACCCTACAATGGCAAGTAATTTATCAAGGAATAAGAGAAGACAGACCTTTGACTCCTTCCACATATGTTGTGTATAGACTACTATTATTTTAAGAGTACTAATTTTTGACCTTGACTTTGTACTAATGTTATACATTTTATTTGTGAACCAGTTTATCTAAGATTAAAATATCGTTGAAAGGAAAGGATTTTCTCTCGTTTAGAAGCTTGATGGGGTCAGCACGTTCCTCGCGATAGATTTGCGCTCTTGTCCTAGTTTGTACTGTAATTGTTCTATTGGTTGTGCCTATAATTTTGGTGTATATAATGTAATGTTAAGTATTAATTTGCATTTATTATTTGGGCGAGTTACAGGATTTATGCGATACAGTATTTTTGATAGAGCATATCAAAGTGGGGTGTGGCACCTCATCACTATTCATTGGCTGTCTTCTGTTAATGGAATATTATATGGGATTTGTTATGTTTCAAGTGATTTAATGTAGTTCACATAAGTCATGCAGTATTGTTTCGTGCAATCGATTCATCAAAATAATTTTGATTTTGCAATAATGTTGAGACTGAGCATATAGCAAAACATATTACAAAAGTATACTGCCTAAAGGTTCTTTATCAATTTTATTATTTTAAAAATACTTTGTTTTATTTTTTTATTTTATATGTTCTTTGTTTATTTTTGTAGTTGTTTTAGTTATTACATCTTGTGTGCTAGAAGTGGATTGTCTATAAAAATAAATCTTCAATTGAAGGTTTTTGTAAACCGGTTTTTAGTGGGTTTCCCATTTTAATAATAGGGTAATTTCAATAATTGTACCTATTGGTGTGCACTGGTAAGTCAATTTAACTTTTCCATAGGGGGTTTTGAGGGTCTGTGGGTATGGAGTACTTCCAGTAAAGAGGGGGGTTGGTGGGGGGGCTTCCCCTGGAAAATAGTTAAAATTTAGGAACTAAATGTTTGATTTTACACATTTCTTACTTACACTTCTCAGTCAAATTCGTGAATTATTAACTTTTATGTTTTTACTGCACAATCCAACAAATGTGTGGTTAACTTGGGTGTTAACCACACATTTGGGGGGAGCTCAAGCCAACCCTAGCCTATATTTACGGGTAGTATGTAAATGTTAATCTTACTATTTTTATGTTCCCTTGATGTTTATCTAATTTAAATGCACTAAACCAATAAACTTAAATCCTGAATATCACATACTACCAAAAAGAAACCTTAGGATTGGAAAATAGCTTTAATTTCCAAGTTTAAAAATATTAATTGAAGATGCCAATGAATAGGATATTTTAATGGTAAAAGACAGGGTACTTCAATTTAATTAGTATTTTATGCTGTCCCACAATAATTGCAATTCATGTTTTGACAATTTCTATGTTTGAAGCAGGCTGTGGCAACCTATCTGGTAATGTAATGAGATGAAATATATTTAAACTATTTCCAGTATATTTTCAAGTATTCTGAACTATTAGTAAACCTAATGCATGAACTGTAGGATAGAAGAATACTATCCTAGTAAATAATTTTAAAACAATAAATGTGGCATACTTTATGTTTATGGGAGTAAATGTAACAATAGTTTAGTTTTAGAGTTACTGTACTTAACTGCAATGTTTCAATATCATAGAAAATTTTAAATACTTAGATAATAGTTTAGTCTGCACAAAGTATTAACTAAATTAAATTAATTGCAGAGATAAATTTGTAAGAATTAAAAAGAGGTGTTTACCATACTCAAATTCTATAAACATAGATTTCTTATAGTAGTTATGATTATCCTATTAAAAGTTTATAATATATCTAATGTTCACTATATTCAGTTCAATCTTTCTAATTTAGGTGACATTCCTGGGAGTGGTTAGTTATTGATGTGAGTTTACCGTTTGTTTTATATACATATTATACATATTTATTGCTGTTAAACAGTGCAATGTTCTAAATATAAAAATCAAATACTTTGATTGTTTTAAAACTTTTTAACTTCATATCCAAATCTTTCTAGTTAGTTGTAAATTAAATTTTACCATTATACAACATTATCGATTATTCAGGGTTGTATAAAATGAATGTTCACATTTCAAGTGGAATGACCATCTACTAGCATTCACATTAAGTACTTTGTGTATTATCTTGATTCTAAGATTAGTTTAAGTATTAAACTTATACGCTCATCTACATAAAATTAGACGACACCACAAAACAAATGTACATGGATGTGTTATTTTCGAATCTAATTCATCATATCTGAATTTCACAAGTCTTGTTAGTTTCCATGTGAACATTCAGTTTGTGCAACGTTATAATTCAGTTTTTGTACACAGTGTTTTTCATGTCCGCTATACTTTATTTCCTGTTGTATACGTATTCACCATGTTGTTTATATGATCCTGTATATATGTAAGATGTTGATGTTGGTAAAGACTGATGTATTGCATTCCTCAGTGTATTACGACATTCCTCAGTGAGTGTATTTTGTGTTGGTATTGGCAATAAAAATAATGTGTGCAAGTAAAACAGCCTTCAGTAAATGAAAATGTACAATAATACTCAACTGACTGGAATAGGCTTTTCTATTTGCTTAAACAGAACAATTTGTTTCATAAATTATTTGTTATACAGGTAAAAAGATCAACAATCGTTTACGCTTGTTTTTGAAAAATTGTATTATGTTTTAATGTTTTAAGCTGTTAGTAATTTTATCAATTTACTATTTTTATATTTTTAATAGTTTTATGAAATCAGTATTGACACTTTAATGATTTCGTCTTCATAAGATTTCCATGTTTCCATTGCATGAATGTCAACTTGTTAAAAACAACCTTTTTAAGTTTGATAATATTTTTCATCCTTTTATCTTGAATTCCAAAGTGTCCCTGTCCCTGGTCAATTAGGTCATTCTTCCTCTGTGCCAGAATGTTCAAAATGAATAGGTGAAAATATCTTTAATCATTAGTGAATTACTGAAATAGATTTACACTCAGGTAATTAACATTTTAGCAAAAACTATTGGATTGTCTTTCGTCATTTCTTATTTGGTCGTTATAAACATATATTGTGGTTTTCAGAGAAAAAGTTTCTTGCTAATTGTAAAATTATTCTAATTTATCGGAAAAACATGAATGATGCAATTGTCCTATTTTAAGCAAACTAATTGGTCACTATACAACCAATTTTGTCACATGCAATGTACAAATTGTTGTAACTACAGTATACTCTTCCAAGTCAACCAAGGTATTTTTAGAATATTATCATCCTTCAGTATCTTACAGAAATATCTATCAGATACAACTTTATCATAAAACTAACCTTCCACTTTGATATTACAGGCAACCTGTTTTGTTGAACAGTTTTATTTTCAAGTGTCGATAACCTCTTTAGCAGTAAATGTGTCAAATGTGTATATATGAAATGTGTTGTTAATGCCATTGGAGCAATCTGCCTTGAGAACTTGTGTTTCTATCGTATCTCTGAGGGCTTCAATGTTGTTGAGATCCTCAGAAGTGGTCAGAGTTTCTGTGGTAAAACGGGAGAAACCCTTGTAATTATATTGTGCAGTTCTTGCTAAATTAGCTAGACACTTCATCCAAATGACAATTTCATTGGATACCTTTATTATTTAATTTAACAGTGATTTAAAGTTGATACTTCAATTCATTAAGTCTAAGTTTAATTTTTTTGTTTTTTTTTATAGCTTTTGTTACGTAATGAGTTTGTGGTTTTGATAATCACAGTTGAATGGTTTAAGCATCCTTCCAACTATAGCAATATTTTTTTCACAACTTTTTGAGTACCAAGCTTACTATCTCAATAAACAGGTAAACTAAGGTGTTAAAACGACTGCTTGATGATATGTTAACGGAATAATTGGAATTCAAGGATTGTTAATTGAGTTTTCTACTTTCTTAAAAATTACCACAAGAACTGTAACAATAGATTACCAGTGTCTCATCTTGCTTTACCACTCTTGTAGGGCGTCCCAAGGTTCATTCCACCACATTCAGTGGTTGGGAAATGAACTTGACCATTGGCAAGTAGAACTAAAACACTAACTGTAAATAGAACATTTATTTAAAATACAAAATTCTAAAGGTCAAAGATTTTATAACAATAAATCTAGAATGTTGTAACAAGGAATATTTACAATAAATTATTAGAATAAATATTGTTTTAAGTAAGGTTGCTAACTTATTTTTCCTACTCCAATACTAGGGATTTTTGTCTATAAGCGATCACATTTGTAAAGGTACATGTAAGTTGGGTGTTGATCCCTTCTATAGTAGGTATCCTACACTTTAGAGTTAACTAAAGTCAATTCGTAAATAACTAAATGTTTATGCCAGTTAATAATTAATTTTACGATCATTGTTTAAATATTTAGAATAATGTTTGGCAAATTCCACATGCTAAACTGGTGGCGTTCTTGATTGCATTTTTCCAATCATCAAACAAAAGCATGTCACAGTAAATAAAAATTGTAAATTTTTTATCATTTGGTTATTGTTTATTGCTATTAAAAATTTTAAATTCAAAATGTGTGAATTTTAAAAGTAAGTTAATAAGATAAAAATAATGCACAAGTACAGTTAGGTACATAAGCATTTAAACTTAGAAAATTTACAACAAATATGCTTGAATTGCATTATGTCTTTGAAAAAAAGTCTTTTGAATAATCGCGTTGAAATCTATAAGAGCAACTTCAAATCGCTTTTGAGTTTTAAACAATCCTTTTGTATTACAGTATTTCCAAAGTATCATACTTGACTTACTGATTTATTCTACAAAGAATATTAAAACCAAAATAAATTTAAATGGACACTTATCACTCCAATATTACAATTTATTCCTTAAAACTATAAGGTTTATAGAATGACAATGAATAATATTTTATCTTATTTTGTAAATCTTACAAAAACGAAAATAGTAAATAAATACATGTTATATCTTTTTCAGCACTACGCTTATTTCAAAGTTAGCCATACTTTACTAAATATGATTTTTATAACTTTTTCTTATAATATAAAAGTTTAAATACAATAGACTACATTAAATGCTTCTGAATTCCAGATTCAGCTTTTGTCAATAATAGCAAAATTTTCATAAAAAGTATACAGGCTACCTGCTCTTATTGCCTGGGCAATACTGTTTAATATGATACAAAAATCACTAAACTCCTGCAGAAAGCTATACCACTACATCAACCATGATGGCACCTTTTAAGAATGTAGTAACAATAGCTAATGAAGGAAACAATGTGATTCAGGTTTTAGACAATTTAATTGATAAACATTCGTCTTTACACATAAATATTGGTATTGATCTACATTCTGAAACCAACCTGGAGTTAATCTGGAGTCAGTGTATAGTAATCTGGAGTAAAGAACTAATAAAACCAATTTTAGATTCAAACATATAATGGTGGCTTTACACTTAACTTTTCTAAGTCAGATGTTTTTAATTCATATTCTTCTAAACCACAATTCAATCATGATATATTGGTCGGCACATTGAGATGATACTAAGACTGCGCTACGGACAGAAAACAGTTTATTATCTCAGAAACAATATTTATATTTATATTTTTATTACCCATCAGCCAGCTGATGGGAGTAATTGCAATGAATACAAACCCTTTAAAAAGCTAAATGCTTATAGAGAATAGTCAGACTGGAATTTTGCCACCGAAATGAGCTTTGCGCAGCCGCCGCTAGGATCGCTTGTGCGGCTGTCGCGCTACTCTATCTCCATCTCTCTTTAAGCTGATTCTTTGTCTCACTCTCTCTCTGTCAGCTGACTTGGCTGTGTGCTCGTGATAGACTACCTAGCGGCTGCCACAGGAACTAACCAAATTTCAAATATTCCCAGACGGAATCTTTATCAAAGGCATAGCGCTTCTTATAGGTTTTGTATTCATTGGTAATTGTCACAAAAATTAGTCTTCTATTCAGCATATAATATGTCAAGCAAAGTCACTCAATTGCCAACAATTAAATTCCATGCAATATTTTTTGACAAGATAGCTTTGGCAAGCTAACAAATCAACTTTCATCAATGTATCATAAGTGCTGATTTTGTATGTGCGTTTTTGTAGTATGAAACATTGGTAAGTATTGCTCTTGTAATTTCTTTCTGTTTTAGTTAATCATTCCTAATAAATTAGGCTATCAATGTTGATACAAATAAAATTTTAACGTTACATTGCTTCAGGCTTTGGCAGGACTCTGAATTCAGGCTGAAATACTCAAGCATCCTATGGAGTTTTGTGAAACAACATCCTGCATTAGTCTCAAATATTACTGTAACGCATTAGTTAAGCCACCAAAAAGCTATGTTGGCCAGGTAATAAATAACTTAAAATTTGAATCATTGATTATCAGTAATCAGTATTATTGGCCCTTCAAATGAAATAAAATCAAGCGTTTCTCTGCTGAATTTAGATACGATTTTGTATACCACTGCTGAATACTTAATTACAAACCTACATTATAGTGAGTCACATATAGTAACTAAGTTGCCACTGGTTTGAAAATTGATGAATCTCAAACTGTAAAATCAAAAACTGTAATTGCATAACACTTTAGGCTTTACTGGTCACCAAACACACACAAAAACCACCACTTACGTTAAAAACTAAATCTTTTGGTATCCATAGTAATCTTACAAACCTCAGCTTTATTTTCTTATAGCAATAGCATAAATCTCCATTTCCTGGGTGTCTACACCCAAGAATGTTAGGGATGAGAACATACTTTGCACAATAAAGCTTGGGCTGCACTAGACAATAGAAGATACAGAAAGGAAACTGACAGGAAAGTTTCTGGTGAAGCTCTCTGAGTTGTTAAATTGAAGCTGTCACACTAGACGGGACATGACTTGCAACTGAACAATTAATGCCATGACACTCGTGGAGTCTTGTGTTAGGAGCATTCAATCAACATTTTTAAACTAAACTATTTCTTACCTTGTCACCAGTTCAAATATAGTGTTTGAATTTACTACATACCTTTTGCCGAATATGGCATTCTCAAGTGGTTAACAGAAACATTGTATCCAAATTGGACTCGTAAAGATGTAAATTTAAAATACAAAAATATGTACATTGTGACACGATAGGAGAACCCATACTCCTTTGCGCCCATACTCCCAAAAGAAATTTTTTCTGGCATTTTCCATTCTGTGTCCCATCTAGTGTAGCACTAGCCCCAGAATTTGCCCCCTGTGTTCCATCCGTTTCCAGTCAGATCCTTTTCGTGTCTAGTGTAGCTTAACCTTTAATCTCCATTCGCTGGGTATCTTCACCCAAGAATGTGTGGGATGAGAATAACACACTCTGCACAGTGAGATGGCAGGAACTGGACATCTTCACCAGCAGAGTTGGATGCACAACCTCGTACAGATCAGCGTAGAGAGACAAGAATGACACTTCTCTCTAACAGCCATGTATGTCGTGGAGAGTGTTGAAGTGTAAGGTGTCACCACATCACAGAGGCACTTGAGGAAGGCTGTCTGGAGGATGGTAACTGCTGAGGATCACCTTGTGTTTGAGTGCCTCCTCGTAGGATGGAGGTCCTAGAGGCAGCAGTAGACAGGGAGGGTAGAGTGGACTGGTCCTTGCATCTACCACTAGACAAAACATGGATATTTTACTCAACAGCCTTAGTATACTTAAAAGTGTAAGTGCAATAATTAACAAATAACTATAATATAGTTTTTTCCACTAGAAAATAGGTGTTGGCTAGCCTAGTGGTTAATGTCTCAGACTTTGGTGCTAAGGGATAAGATTGATCCCCCGCATACCCAAAAACATTTGAGGGATTTAGACTGCTTTCCCTTCGATAAGTTTGAGTTTCTTTCACACAAAATTATATTAAACAAAAATAAATCATATAGAACACCATGAATATTTTAGTGTATTTTAGTGTTTAGTGTCTATTTGATGTTTTAGTGTTCACTTTATCTTCACACCATGAGGGTCCCACAAAATCCACTTGACAAGCTGCACAAAGAAATTAAAATACAAACTCAGTTAATAGTGCCCCATTTATTGACCTGCTAGGAAATGGAAGCACAGCTAATTATGATTATTTTTCAAAGGCTTAGTTCGTAGTATGTTCAAAACTTTTTCATTTAAAATACATCCTGTAAGTTACCTTTGTTCTTTTCATACAAAAATAAAATGAAAGAAAAAACAGTTTTAAATTTGTGTGTACGGCGATAATAAAAGATTTAAACATATTACCGTAAACACACTGACTCACCTCTGTATGATGCGACCCAGGTAGTGGGAGGGACAGTTGCCTCGATGTCACTTCCTCGGAATATTGGTCTCTGCCTCATCCTCCACATTCTCCATCTAAAGAAAATGCAGTCAAAAACTACAAGTTAGAAAATAAAATAACATAATTGACATTATAAATTTAGACTTAAAACTTTCAGTACCGGTACAAACTCTTATACTCTGTGTTGGGTTTCCCAGTCCTCTTGTCTATCGGCCACATTAAATATTTGTGGCAGCTTTTGTTTTAGTTAGAAAATATAAATAAAATTAGAAGCTTTAACATTTAAAGTTCAGAAGTTTATTTACAATTCCACTCAAGACAGAAACATAAACCTGACTGATATTGTTTACCTCCAACTAACATATGATACATTTAACATATGATAATATGTGAATATAACATTATAATACATCTTTCCCCTTTAAAAAACAGCAAACAAATTTGAAAGAATTAACTAAAAACAATAACCAATAACAACCAACCAAACTTCTCCCTTCTTTTGAGACCATATTATATTGTATTCTGAAATCTTGATGGTAGCTTGATTTCTCTACGAGGTCTTAGTTGTACTTGCTCGTCTTGCCTTGGAACTGACTGGGAATTGTTTTGTTGAGTGAGTGATGGTTTGAGATGGCGGCGATTTCTTCTTAATGTAGCCCCGTTATCACCTTCTACCCAGTAACTTCTTGGAGTTGGTCCTTGATTAACAATCTTTCCCTGCTCCCACCTTCCTTCATTTCTGAAGACAACTCTTTCGTTATTTCTTACAACCCTTAAGTCTTTGGCTGACCGATCATAATATTTTTTCTGCAGCTGTTGTCTTGTATTTAACCTGTCTTGTACTCCATCATTCAGCGTTGGTTTCAGCAGTTCCTTGGTTACAGGGATCGTTGTCTTACACCTGCGTTGAAACATCAGCTGAGCTGGAGAATATCCCAGATGCTTAACGGGCATGTTCCTAAGCTCCAATAAAGCCATTTTCAAATCCTTATTGTCATACTGTACTTTCCTTATCAACTCTTTGGCTATTCCAACTGCCCTTTCAGCAAGCCCATTGGATTGTGCATAGCCTGGACTGCGTGTCACAATTTCAAAATTCCATTCACGGGCAAATTCCCTCATTTGGGCACTGTTGTAAGGGACATTATCCGCTACCATTATATCAGGAGGGCCAAATCTACTGAAGATGTCTTTGCATGCTGATATTACAGACGTTGCTGATTTACATGGCATTTTAACCAGCTCCAACCAGTTTGAGTAAGCATCCATCATGACTAAGTACACATTTCCTCCATATGAAAATATGTCACATCCGATACGCTCCCATGGTCTAGTAGGTATAGGATACGGCATAAGGGTTTCCTTTGCATTACTCCTGGAAAACCTTTCACATATCCTGCAACGAGCCACAAAACTTTCAATGTCTGTAGCCATTCGTGGCCAATAAAGTATCTGTCGAGCCCTAGCTTTGCACTTTTCAATTCCTCCATGCGCGATATGGATTCGCTGAAGCATGTCCTGTCGTAGCTGTCGTGGCACAATCAGTTTGTGATTTAAAAACAATAAACCATCTTCTTCAGATAACATATGTCTTTGGTTCCAATAGTGGCGTACTATCTCTGGGGTGTCTTGCTTCCTTTCTGGCCAAACTTCTTTGCAGTATCTCTTCACAATAGCAGTTTCTTGGTCCTCTCCAGTGTAACGCTGGAATAATTTCTTCTTCTCTTCAGTCATAGGCAATGAACTTGTTAAACTGTGTACTTGAAATTCTGAAGAGACTGTCGTTTCTGTGCATTTTAATGCTGCTCTTGACAATGTATCAGCAATAAGTTGGCTACTACCAGGTAAGTACTTTTACTTCCAGATCATAATTCAAACACCTTAGTCTCATTTTCTGTAGCCGACCTGGTACCACGTGCAAATCTTGTTGAAAAATATTTACAAGGGGCTTGTGGTCAGTCTGAATTGTTACTTTATAGCCATAAATAAACCTGTGAAACTTCTCAACAGCAAAAACTATAGCTAGAGTTTCCTTTTCGATTTGCGAATATCTCTTCTCTGTATCAGTCAATGAACGGGACATGAAAGCCACTGGCTGCCCACTCTGCAACAAACAACATCCTAGGCCATCTTGAGAAGCGTCTGTTTGTATTTCAAGAGGTCTTCGAGAGTCAAAGTATACCAAAACTGGTTCACTGGAAATTAATGTCTTGATGATCTTCAGAGCATCTTCATGCTCTACGGTCCATAAGAAGTCCACATCCTTTCTTGTCAAATGTCTGAGGGGTGCAGTGATTTTTGCTAAGTTTGGTATGAACCTCGATAAATACTTTAGCATGCCCAATAACCGCATTACCCCTTTTTTGTCCGTGGGTGGGTCCATTTCAACTATGGCCTTTACATAATCTGGGTCGGGTTGGATTCCTGCAGCCGATACTATGTGTCCCAGATACTTAACTTCGCTCTTCTTAAATTGCATCTTGTTTGGATTAAACTTGATTCCAAGTTTAAGGGCTGTGTCCAAAACTCTCTTTAAATTTTTGTCATGCTCTTCCGATGTCGTTCCTCCTACAATAATATCATCATGTACTATGTTAACTCCCTTCAGGTTTCCAAAGCATTTGTAGTTATTTTTCTGGCACAATTCTGGACCCGAACAGATTCCAAAAGGAAATCTACAAAATTGGTATCTCCCAAATGGGGTACTGACTGTGCAAAGTTCACGACTCTCCTCATCTAAAACAATTTGAAAAAACCCATCCTTAAGATCCAAAACAGTAAAGTATTTGTAACCACTCAATGTTACCAGAATATCATCAGGGTGTGGCATTAGAAAATGCTCTCTCATTACCACCTTGTTCAATGGCATCGGATCTATGCAGATTCTCAAAGACTTATCAGGTTTTTCCACGATCACCAGAGGATTGACCCATGCTGTAGGTTTGTCAACTTTTCGAATCACCCCAGTTTTCTCAAGTTGGTCCAACTTTTCCTTTAGTTTTTCCTGTAAACTGTAAGGTACTCTTCGTGATTGTCGAATTAGTGGGATAGCACCCTCCTTAAGCTGAATATGATGAGTGCTTGGAAACTGTCCCAATCCTTCAAAAGCTGTCTTGTAGCCGGTTAAAACATCGTCCTCATCCTTAAAATTCAAACATATCGATGACACTCTCTTAATGAGTCCTAAATTGACACAATCTTTCAGTCCTAAAATTGGCAGTTCATGTTCGACATTCACTACAGCAAAATTCACATCTGCAGTTACACCTGTAATTGTTTTACATTGTAACATCACAAGACCTAGTGGTTTGATTTTGAATTTTTCATCTCCCCAGGCTGAGAGTACATAAGAACTACGTTTTACGTGTGTAATGTTCATTTTCCGTACATAACTAGCAGGTAAAATACTGATCTCTGCACCTGTATCTAATTTAAATTTAACTTGGGTACCACTAACAGTCAAGTTTTCCGTCCACGATTTTTCACTTTGACCTTTCACTCCACTAATGTTTAAGCTTACCGAGCCTAAACTAACATTGCTCACACAAGAGTCTTCATCGTGTTGTTCCTCGTTTGTAACAGCATGAGATTTAATAGTTTTACTCCTACAAACCTTTGCAAAATGATTTTTGCCATCACATTTCGAGCATGTTTTGCCATATGCAGGACATTTACCCCGAACATGTTTGTAGCCGCAAAAGCTACATAGATCATTCTGTTTTTCTTTTGCAATACTCCGCGAAAGTTCTTGATTTGGTACATTATTAACAACACTTACACTGTATGGATCCGACTTAGTCCCCGAATGCTTGGTTTCATTGTGCTCTACAATAGTCCTACATTGATCCTTGCTACTCTCTACAATCATACAGAAATCAATAGCTTTTTTCAAGTCAAGTTTTGTATCTCTTAATAGACGCTCCTGAGTACTTTTATCTCTTATGCCTAAGACAATTCTATCTCTAATCATATTGTCAGGTTCAAGAAACTCGCATGATTTAGCTGCTATTTTTAACTGTATAACAAACTTACTGAAGTCTTGACCTTCTTCCTGCTTCATTCTATAGAATTTAAACCGCTCAAATATGACATTTTTCAGAGGACAACAGTAAGATTCAAACTTTGCAAGTACGCAATCAAAACTATCTTTGTCATTATCTTCAAATTTAAAAGTATTATATACATCTAGGCCATCATCGCCTAACAGATTAAGCAGCTGCGCAATCTTAACTTCATCTTTAAGTTTCTTACCATGACCATTGCTATTAAGTACAGTTCAAACTTCTGACGAAATCTTTTCCAATTTTCACTCACATTTCCTTCAAAACTCATAGGTTCAGGCAACCTAAACAATCCAGATACTTCCATTATTTCTTCTAGGTTTCAAAATACACCTGACACCATGTTTTAGTTAGAAAATATAAATAAAATTAGAAGCTTTAACATTTAAAGTTCAGAAGTTTATTTACAATTCCACTCAAGACAGAAACATAAACCTGACTGATATTGTTTACCTCCAACTAACATATGATACATTTAACATATGATAATATGTGAATATAACATTATAATACAGCTTTCACTGTAAAGTCCTTCTCTCGGACTACATAAATGCAAATCTATTCACAAAACCATCTGTAGTTATACTGTGTACACTGTACAATACTGTTATGATTCAAATCAGTCAATAACCTTTCAGACGTTGCATCATAGAAATAATCTGTATGATTGTTTTGTTTGACTTAATAAAAGTGTTTTTGTGTATGTCGGCTGTAAGAAGGACTGAGTACTATACCTCACAATCATCTTACTTCTCTTCAAAGGATGATTTTTAATCATCCCTATACTTAACCCTTCCCGGACGGGTGACGGATATATCCGCCTAAGTCTTTGGCGATAAAGGACGGGTGACGGATATATCCGCTTATGGTTTTTGATGTTGCGGATGGGAAGCGGATATATCCGCCTTCTCTTCAGACAGACTGGCAGGTGCTTGAGCAGTAACCAGATGTTTCGCAGTACCAAGGCGCCACTTTCCTGCTCTCTCCATGGCTGCGCTCTTTCCCGCACTCCCCCCTCTCTCCCGCGCCTACCCCTCTCCCACGTCACCCCCTCTCCCACGCACTCACAACCTCTCCTACGCTCCCCCCTCGACGTTTCACGCTGAACACTAAGTTGTCTTTATTTATTGTTTACATATCGTTCTTTATTTATTGCCTAACGTTGTCATGTTTATATCTTCAAAGACGGGTTGCGGATATATCCGCTGCTTTTTTACTCATCCGCGGACGGGTAGCGGATATATCCGCATAGTTAAAAACGAGTAGAAAATTATTTTGACAGTATGAAGTGTTCCATTGTGTTTATTTTATGTATACTTGTAAAACAATACACAAATAAGGAAAATTAATTTTCATTTTTTTCTATAATTTTTTCCCGTTTTATGTCCCGATTTCGCCTGTCCGGGAAGGGTTAATATTCTTTTGGTTTTAGTTAGTTTTGTTTGAGGCTGGAGGTAGCATCCATGTTCCATGTGCGCTCTATTAAGTCACACGTTAGCCCAAAGGTTAATGATCAAATGGATGCAAATAAATCATCTGTTTTCGGATAAAATATTTAGTAGTTTGTGGTTTACTTTGTGCTTGTGGTTGCCAGGTTTTTGTATTATGTGTGAATGAGGCCTGATGTACAATTTTGCTCGTATTGCATTATCTGGAGCATCAGAAGTGTTTAGAATTTTTAAGAAGTGATGTAAATAAATAAATACATAAACTTTGCTCCTGCTGAAGCCACACATGTGACAAAATGTACTTCGTACTTCTTATCACACATACTTTTGTAATGTGGCAACCATAAGGTAAATCTTATAGAGAACTAGCTGCTGTACCCGTGTTTCGTAACGGGAAGATGTACTATACTGCTTAATCCATACACGTGTTAAGTAGATCGAATTTATAAACAAAAAGCCACCAAATTTTTACAAAAAAGTGTGACCTACATTGTAATTGTCCTGCTGATGTTACACCCAAACACAAACTAACACACTGATGGTTTTTTTGGGGGGGTTTAGCAGTTATCACTGTTTACGTTGAAATGTCAACGCATAGGTAAACAAAGTTTGTGAATTTTCTCATGCTTCCATGGAGACTAATTAATATTTACTTTTGAAAACCTCACCTTGAATCTTTGGACATCCAAGGGGCGTAGCCCGAGAGGAACTCAGGGAAGTGAATAGTCCTATGACATTCCTAGGTATGTGGACAATCTTTGTGCTGTGTCGGTTTAGTATTTTAGTTGTGGCAGCCGGAAGGACAGACAGACAGACACCACCTCAATTTTATAATCGTAATTAATTGTTCTTAAAACTGGGAATACTACACAAATTTATCAGCTTACCTGTCATTACAATAAAGCTTGAATCCAAAGTAAATGGACGTTGCTGTTCCTAGAATGAACAAACCAGGCACAATCATATCTCTGGGTGGATCAAACTTGGAACCTGCAATCAACACATTTTAATTGAAACACTAGAATGTCTAACTGTGTTGGTAACTATTTAACTGAAGCTGGTTTTCGAGTTCAATCACAAAGAGTACAAACTTAAAAGCTCTGTGAAATGTGTTAAATACTTTTAGGACAAAAAATCGACTAGGTTTTCATGTGGATTTCGGTGAATAAGATAAATAATGTTACTGGGGTCTTTATGGGCCTCAGCAAGGCTTTTTAATAGTGTGTCACATTAAATCAACTAAAAACTTGTAGCCTAGGCCTATGTTATCTAAGTCTGTCTATTCTCTTGGTGAATTTGTTGGTTGAATTTTTAATTTTAGGTTAATATAGTTCTGTATTTTTATTCAGCTAACTATTTGAAAGACTAAAAATCCTGTTTACTCTTTACTTACCAAAAAAAGAATGGTGGTCCTCTAAATTCAGACATTGTCTGTTGTGGTCATACTCGTAACCACTGGAAAAAACAAGGTTCAAACTTTAATTGATCAAACTGTTATTAAAAAAGTCTTTTTCATAATAATTCAAGCCTACTATTTAGATTTTGTTTTTGTTAAACTTAAGAACAAAATAGAACTTGTTGAGGTGTTCACTTCCTCACTTCCAGCCTTTTTTACAAACGTTCAAATGTTCACATTTGTACCTTTTTAATATTCTGTCATTTTTTAAAGTGTTTTAAAATCTTTGAAATGAAAGTAAATAATATAAAGTAACTTTTAGACAAAAGTCTTAAGTTCAAAAGTCAAAAGTTTTAGATGGTCAAATATGTAGTCCCAATGGAGTAAAATAAATGTTTATGGGTAAGTTACTCATATTATAAATTATCCAATTTAATACTGGAAACAAAAACATGAAAATGGAAAGTTGAAGATAAAAGTTTCATGAAAATAAATTAATATGTAGGCCTAGGTACCTTTTACAAGTACAAGCATTGTTTCTTGTACTGCAAAACTCGTTGATCTCACAATCTTCATCGCTATAACATGGCTTCATTACGATGGTTCCAGCCATCAGAATTCCTAAAACATAAAGAACATTAAAAAGATTAACAATGATATTTTTACCGTGCTAAAAACTAGAGTACGGTCCACAAGAGTCTGCAGTTGAGGGGAGGAGCCTTTTTACGATGTGACTTCGAAGCAGCCAATGAGGACAGCGTGTTGTTGCCAAATCTACATAATACGAACTGATTTGAAAATATAAATATTGTTTAGTATATTTTAATTACTGTAGAAAAGTGTAGTGAACGATGCTGCAATGTCGTGCTAGTCTAGTCTTGGTACTGTATTGGCTGTCGCCAACTGCAGACTCTCGTGGTCCCTAATTTAGTTTGTTGCATTCAATTTGATTTATAATATCAGTACATAGATAGATGATTTAGCATTTTTTCTTTTTTTTTCAAAGGTCCTACCCCAGAAAATTGGGGAAATGTTGGTAATCTGTGTAATACAACATTGTGTCATGCATTAATTTTTAATCAATTTGATACTAAAAAAGGGAACATCTAGCAGGAAAGGAAAAGCTATTTTAGAGCTCTACCAATAATTGCTAGTTTTTTTAATTACACTACTCCCAAAAAGAATTTGATATGCTTAGAACAGCTGAAGAAAATTAGCGTCCCCATCTCAATAATTGATTGATTGATTGATTGATTGATTGATTAGAATGTTTATTATTTTTTTAAGAGTTTTGTTTCAAGAACTGGGTAGCTATTGTCTATGTTTCACAAGATCAAACAATGACGGAGAGGTTATAAAACTTGCATAATGATCAGAAGGCCACCAATACTGAGAAACACCATTAATGATTTGATGATTTGCCACTGGACCCAGCTGTTCTTGATCATTTGGCATTGGGCTCTTTATGTTCAAAGAACCAGCTGATCTTGTAGTCAGTTACAAAGCTATAATCTTATTCCATAAGTTACTTTTATAACTTGCTATCGCAGAAATTGCTTCCGATGTGGGTTGCAGTATTTTTTAGGTAAAAAGGAAATTAGAGAGTGTTCTTGCTCAATATTAAAATTAATATTGAAAAAAATGATTAATATGTTAAAAATTTGAGAGAAATTTACAAAATTTTGAAAGTAGGGCGTTTTTTGACGGCGAAGGAGTGCGATTTTCGAAAAACGCATAATAGTGTCTTGTAGGAAATTTAATTCCGAACCTACATTTTTCCCTCATATCTTTTCTAGCTCTTACCGTTTTCGAGCTATAGCCGTTTGAAAAAAACGCGTTTTGTCGTTTTCAGAGGTCCGCCATTTTGGATTTTTGGGGGGGGTTAAAATTTGAAAAAGCGACTTTTTGGAATTTTATTGGTGGTTTGGGACCAAGAACTACAAGTGTGCGAAATTTCAACTCCCTAGCACATCTAGAAGTGGATGCACACTCCTTCACCGTCAAAAAACGCCCTACTTTCAAAATTTTGTAAATTTCTCTCAAATTTTTAACGGTTTTCACTATTTTTTCATACCTAAATAATTATTTTCCCCAAATCCAACGGAAGTTCACATAGAACATATTTAGTTTAAGGTAAAAAAACTTGAAGTGTTTTCCTTTAATACAACACCAAAACCAGCTCTGTACCTTTTTTAATAAGATTTATATGAATTTTCAAAGTTGTAAAGTCCTTTTTGAATCACCCTGTATAAGAGAGAATAAGAGTGCATCTAAGTATGGAACGGGAACAAGTAAAAAAAACCGTGGTAGTAAATCACCTTCGGTTTTTTGATAAAAAGTTCATACCGAATTAGTATCTTGTTTCAAAATATTTGGCCCAATCAGTGATATATGTTATTCAAAATCTTCGCATTACACACCCTTGTAATATTTGTGAATAAGCAACTCGTTGTCAGTTCCGCACGATAATGGTCACTGCAGCACTGCACTAATTTCTTCCTCTAAACAGATTTCTCTGCCACCAACGAGGAGGTCGACAAGTGGACATGAGCAAATGTTGCTATGCACGCTAAGTAACGATGACACTGACTGTGTAGATGTACTACACAAGATGAACAAATCAAAATGTTCGAACCTCTTCTTTTATCAAGGTTAACTAGTCCGTGAGCTTCTGAAAATGATCGTCGAACATGTTCACAGACTAATTTGTGGAATGTTCATCCGCTTTTTAGATTCGCAAATAATGTTCAGCGGACATGTTCGGTTGGGAGACGAGGCTTAATAATTAAACTATGATTGACAAAATTACTCACTGCCACAGGGGTCTGGGTAACACACACACACTGAGTTGCGACAAGTCCAAGAGTTTTCATCACTGTTACGATAAAGAGCCACACAGTCATCGGCTGTAACGCATGTCTTCATTGCTGAAACAAAAACATTGTTTACGGTTGATAAACGATCAAAAAGATTGGTAAATCATAAATAAATAGTTAGATTTTTATTGCTATAGGCATTATGCCATATAGGGATTATAATTTACACAATGAACCATTATTGAAGAGCTATAAACATCTGTAGCTCATCTTTCACTATTCTATTTGCACAGAAAAAGATTTTAATTAATAAAAATCCAAAACCAACTAAATAAATATGGTATGGTGATTACTTATACTTCCTGAAACTAGGTACTTGCACTCTTGCAGAGTCTGGCTGCTGTATTCAAACCAAAACACAAACCACATAATGTACCTAGCTAATTAAAGTGATTATGGTATATTATTTTAAAGGTCTATCATATAGGCCTATAGAAAATTACATGCTATCTTATTTTAAATAAGCATATTAAAAAATTAATTCCTGATGATGTCTTAACATCTTAGCATTGTATCATCCTGCAAATGCAGCAGTAACTATAGAAAACGTCTTTGATTAACCAAAATATTTAATTATTTTCATAATTTTGCCAAAATTTCACATCTTTTGAGATAGTGAAATAGCACAGTTTACATAAACTGCATTTAATGAAACACTCAATCACTGTTACATAATATAGTTAAATGGCATTATGTAACTTAAATCTATTGTACCTATTATAGCTACAGTAGGCTCTTTACACGCTACAGTGTGCTGAATTGAATACTGCAATCTCTATTTTACATGTTTCATTAAAACCGATTTTTAGAATTCATGAAAAATACCAATCTGGAACTGGGATTTATTTTTACAGTAAATAAACCCGTTCAATTAAAAGTCAAACAGGATATTATGATTTTGTGTCAATACAATATGTATTTTTAAACTGGAGGGTTGAGTATTGAATATTGGTGATAAATAATTAATTTTTCACAATACAGTTCTTGTGGTGTCAATATCCTTAAAAAATAACTAAAAACTGGAAGAATGGGAAACACCCAAAACAAGCAAAATGATAAACATGGCTTTGTTGTCATGTAGGATGTTTGCAGGAGGGGTTATTTTCTCTGTGGTAATGGACGTAGGCTAACATAAATTCAATAACTTGCATTTCCAAGGCAGTTTACACAAGCTAACCTTGTACTAGGAGGGACGACCAGGACGGAAAAAGTGTGAGGAAGAGGCAAAGCATCTCGCCCCTTCACCGTGAATCAGACACTGACCAAATGGCAAATATTCGAGTATCCGACAACGATAAGTCGCTATCGATTGACATACGGATTACGGATACGATGGTTCTATCGAACGAGGTAGGCGTTGGCATTAACATTTCAGTTTTTAGAGGCTGGTGCTGGGACAACAAAAAATGTTAAAAAAGTACGATAGTATTTTGTTTTGAAACAAACATTTCAGTGTTGATATCTATATCTAAATGAATCCCATATAGGTTGGGAATTCGACCCCTCGACAGTATCGTCTGAAAGTGTTTCAGATTGAGGTTAGGTCTAGGTCGATTGTAGTCTATGCTGTTCGATGGATCGATTCAGTGTATACCGAATGTTACCGCCCTGCGCTACAATATCGATTTGCGGCACCGACAGCGCATCTTGTCCTTATCACTTCACTTTTGATAAGTTTTGGGTTGAACATCACGTTGCACTTGGGGGTCGCAGGACTCATTGAATATTAATAATTTACCGTAGGCCTACCTCTCGGATATATCGTATGGTGGTGAATAAGAAATACAAATAATTATTCAGATTGAATGAATGACTTCGTCAAACGAAACATAATTGAACATAATGTGATGACTTTTAACAGCCCTCCCAAATTTCCCATCTTCCGAAAATACAGTAGTTTGTATTTTTATTATATTCGTGAAAGAGGACTATTGTATGTAGGCCTACATTTTAAAAGTTCATTAGCATTAATTTTTAAATGAGACCATTTTTAAAATGATTTTTAACCACTGCTATATTAAACTCGTTTCATCATGTCCTCAATATTCAATATAGTTAAACTAAATGGTGATCTGAGGGTTGTCCATAAATCAAGGTCATTGAGCTCCTGTCCCCTGTCCCGACAAAATGAGCTATATAGGTGAAATCTTTCACCACATCCATGTTCTAGTTCTTTATCTCATCTACTATTGTATTCTAGCAGGTTTCCAACCTTTTGTGAAGGGAAGTTATGCTTCCGCCAAGTACAGTATGAATCTTCTTTTGTGATTAGATTTCTTTTGTTAAAGGCCAACTGCCACTGAAGTCCACAACCAGTATATCGAAAGTGTTTGAGGGAGGGTAGAAGATATGCCTAAGAGGTGGATGGAATTTGAAGGAGGTTGAGGTAAACATTTGCAGTATATGTTGATAATCTTTTTCGCTGTCCTGGTGTAGGCTAACCCAGTTGCGGTTCAGCATCCCTTGTCTAGGCAGTGGCCAAAGTTTAGTTAGTTTTGCAAGCAGATCAACAATCAACAAAACGGAGTGTGTGACTGAACAAGCCATTGTCAAACTAATAGGGTGTCTCTAAAGACTATCTAGGACAACCCTAGATGTTGATCTAGAGTGTTGATCACCAAGACAAAGTTTCATCAAATTGAATCTCTACCTCAACACTGAAGAATATTTGCTGACGGATAGTGAAATTTGAAAATATGTATGGCATATTCTTCAAAGTACCTAAGCCACTACTTAATACCCCCGCCGCAGCAAACCTGCAGACTAAGCGAATTTCCATTAACCTGATTGGATTTACACTAAAATGCCTCCATAAAAATAGCACATTTATTTCCTATATATAGAATTAGTTTAACGAGTACTTAGGTTTGCTGCAACAGGGAGGGTAAAAAAGATTTTTTTTATAAAATGATAATAGTTTAGTAAGAAATAAAAGTATTTTCCAAAATCGATCAAAATATGTTCATAAAGAAGCAAACTACAACAGTTGACTTATTCTCTATAAGAATAACATGGGAATTTTAAAATAAAAATTTTTTTGAATTTTCTCCGTAACAATTAGGCGCATAATAACGCTTCAATATACTAAATTATTTGTTTTTTTATGGTCAAAAATGGGAAAAACCTATTTTTGCCCCATAAAACCCCCCATAAACCCCCGTTCCCATAGTCCGATCATGCTGGTTCGCGAACTCATTCAAGTTTATCCCACCTTACACCTTCAAACCAAATTTGATCAGAATCGGACAAAAATTACTCAAGTTATCGTGCGGATGGACACATAAGTTTTATATATATATATATATATATATATATATATATATCTATATATAGATATATAAAAATTTGAACGAATGGTGTTTTTGGCCTCTAGGGACATCAAAATGAAAAAGTAAATCGGTCCCGGGCTTAGGTCTTACCATGAGACCTACGGTAATAGCTACTTCCCTATAGGGAAATTCGCTAATACTCTAGTATATTTCGTACCTTGGGCCGAAAATGAGGTTTTACCGGCTCGAGATAGTTTTTAATTTTGAAACGAAAGTGTTTTGAGAGTAAGAGACTTTGTTTTTAAAGTCAAGTTTCAAGTAGAAGAATGGTGTTTATGTTAATAATGACAAAATGATGCTCACATTGCACAATCTTAGATCCCCCTTTAAGGAAGAATAAGTGGATGTACAACTAACTTGCTCATGGAAAGAGTTCCAGGTAGTTGGCAGCACACATAATATATATTCCTCTCTCAACACAATTAATTTGATTCTTTTGAAGAAGCCCCCTTGTAAGGAGTGGCAAAATTATATGTGTTGTGAAGTTTTATGCATGCGTTAGCTACCTGGAACACTTTCCTAAAGTAAGTTTTTAGTTACATAATAATCGCTTAATTTTCTTCCCTGGCCAGGTGCTTTCCTTCAAAAACAAACTTTAAGTCTTCGTACTTCTTAATATAAAAACTTAAACAAACAATTTTATGATCGACGGTAGCCAACCTTAATTTTCATCTACTTATACAATTATGTTTAGGTTTCTATTTACAATTGTCATTCTGGTATATTTAATCAAATATTAAATAATGACAATATTCCCTCAACCAAACTACTTAATTCTCACTTTTCCAAACTACACAATGTTTCAAAATGAGCAGAATTTATAATGATTTAATTTGGCAACATACCTGATTACTAATATTTTTCATATTTTATTGGCTACACTCTGACATTATGGATGAGATGCCTCCCCAACTACAGAAACTGAGGTAAATGATAATATGTAAATGTGAGCATAAAAGCCATTTAGACCTGATACCTGATGCTAATAAGTCACATTTATCAGTATTTTTGGATGATTGGGCCATTGTTGGACAATGGTTGGTTGGAAAACAGTTTAAAGAGGTGACATTTCTACCGTTGGCCAACTGTGTGGCTCCACAATTTACCAACGTTGGCCCAACCATCTGTGCTACATGGGTATCTAGTATCACAACATCATCTGACTACATTTATTATAGATCCAAAATTTTTACAATATTTGTCTTATATTCTGCTGCCATAACATTTATGTACTTTTAAATAAATCAATTTGTTAAAATGTGTGTTTTATACTTAAACCCAACGATTCTTTCCTTTGTAGGGCCAACGAATACCAGTTTCCGTTGGGCCAACGTTGGCAAATCGTTAAAATTTCTGCCAACCATTTCCCAACCGTGCCGACCATTTCCCAACGTTGGGCCAACAGTGTGTGCTACTTGGGATGTGTATATGTTATTGTACAAATAAAACCATAGGCACATTGTTCCTTATGGAATTTTTTAGATATATTCTTTTTCTTTCTTTCTTTTTTCAAATATATTCTTTTTTAGGGAAATTGCAGTATGTGTAACTATATTAATGATTTAAGTAAATCATATATCCTATTAATATAATTTCCCAATCACAGCCTGGTTGGCGCATTAGTACATGTAGTTATTCGGTTATTGAAAATCTAAGAATAGGGAGAATTGGATCTCTTTACCAGTAAGAATAAAGCCCAATGATCATAAGGACAGCTAGGTCTAGTTTTTTTTTTAATTGACTTATTATCTGATGAACTCAGCTAATGAACAAGAGGTGCAAAAATAATGTAGTAACAACAACAAATCACAAAAGACATTTAAATTTATTTATTGAATAACTCAAACATAACAATAATAAAACGACAATCAAACACCACTCACAAATCAATTTGGGTGTCTTTTGACTGGGTAACAAATGTGCGCAACGCACCTACCTACCACTTCTCACTTAGACTAGACTAAACTAATCGAATGGAAGAGGCTCCTACATCTAGATAAAGCATAAAATCTTTTAATTTACCTTAGCAAAGAATTTATGATATTTAAGTAGCTGTTGGTAACCTAAGGCTATGTCAAAGAAGTGTGAAGATTCCCAAGAACGTAACGATATCCCCACTTCCTCCACAGACTAACACTAACCTAACCTAACTGTACAATATCCGCACGGTTCCACTCAGTGGCGTTTACAAAAACTGGCAGTCAACGCTGGTCTCAAAAACACGTTACATTAGCGTACAAAACATTAACAATAACTTTCCTGCTGTGTTGTGTACGCCGTCAGTAACTAGAACTAACAAAAACATCAGGTCCCTTGTTTCCAACTAGAGTATTTACAATTTACACGATTGGATGTTGGCAAACTCCTTTACTAGAAATCAGTGAATTTTACAAATAAAATTCAATTTACAAACAAGCTCAATATGTGTATTACTCAAAAGTTAGTGGGCTACCTACAAAAATATACAATGAATGGAAACTCTTGTAAACAAATTCCAAGCATTTGTTTATCAACAAGTTTTACACATTTTGTTACATGATGTAGGAAAATGGCTTAACCAATTCATGTCCAAATTCATTCAACCAGTTGCTCATTCACTACAGATATCTTCAATTTATCTTACTTAATCATTCAAAAGGGTCTATAAACATGAAACTCTACAAAATTGCTAATATATTTTATAGTTTACTGAGTTAACACTTATCCTTTAATTTTCATCCACCCCAACATCAGTTGTAAATGAAAGCAAATATTCAAATTCCAAGGCTTATATTTCTCACAAGACTCACATCTAGCAGAGGGTTCAGTAAGCCCAAAATAAGCTTAATAATTTTCAGGCCAAAATAGTGAGAGTTGTCTAACAGTCCATGTATTACAAAACAAATGTTTGGTCATTTAGATTTCCTTTCTTCGCATAAGCCTGTGGCCCGAAAATCTAAATCCCACGTGAGTTGTTAGAAAACACACCAAAACCTAAGAACCTTCCATCAAGGTATTAAATGGTCTCCCGAACCATTAAACAATAATAACTAATTTCTTCTTGGGTTTCTCCTAAATATATTATCGATTCCTATTTTTCACGTAAAACAGCATACACTTTTACACAGGATGATGGGTACTATCAATCATGCAAAATCTATTACTAATTTGAAGTATTTTTACATTTGGGGATTCAGTTCGGCCAAAATTTCTGTGTGCGCAACCAGAACTAACCGGGTATTGGAGGAGGTACTTTTGTCATTACATCCATGTCTTGTTGCTCAGAGTGACTCACTCACCCTACTCCCAGCATTGCCAATAACCGGCACCTGCATGTTTTCAGTGTGGCTAGTAGTGAACCTCCTGCGCGCACAGAAGTTTTGGTCTATCTGAACCTAATCATAGTGCACATGAGTTTTTTTATTAATCTTAGTCTTAACACTAAAAAATGATTTTTCATTTTAACTTAGGTTTAAATTTCAACAAAAATCATAATAACCAATTTAAATAGATAATGATTGAGTTTATCAATTTACTTTTTGACAAAAGATGGGTTTACTTGTGCTACTATGTTTACGATTAGGGGAAGAGCTCATAACAATATGACCTTAAACAATGGTAAATTATTAGATGTGTACAACATTTTACCCTGAATTTTAGCAAGACACAAAAAGTTGACATCCTTCCAAATCTTATACAATATTTAACCAAACCATTAAAAAGCATTCAAGCAACAATGAAAAAAACTATTTAAAAACTAGGTTACCACGCCTCTTTTTTAGAACCAACATGGTGACAAACCAACAAAAGTGATACACTATATGTCATGATCTTTTGAAATGCATGTTGATGAATGAAGATTTAGTTACAATTAGTCGCTACGGTGCTACATTTGTTCTCAGATAACATTTATTTAGAAGAGTTGTACAGAAAAATCGAAGTAAACATTTACTCGGCAATCCGTCTGTCACGCATATTTACACTTTGCAATTCTCTGTGCAAACACACTGTAAACGAATCTACTACGCTTACATGCATCAGGCTTATACACCGAGCCACAGAAGAAAACTTTGAATTAAATCGATTCACTTTCGATAAGCATTAACCATTACGACCCGCCACTGCATTCAGGTTCTTGGGCAAAGATTTGGAAACAACATAAATGAATAAAAAACAATCTTTAAGCTATTTAAAGACAGTCTATTGTTCATGTAAACGTAGTATGTTTGTTAAGTTTTATTACAAAAATATATTCAATTTTATTCACACTATTGACAAACATGCACATCCATTTTTGTATGGTAAAATGAAAAATATGATTTACAAATGTTTAATATATTCTTGAAAACAATTTACATGTCTATTTACATTCTGATACAGTCTAACCTTGATATAACGAACCTCGATACAACGAATTCCTTGATATAACGAATTTTTTTAAATCCCCTAGAACTCTCCATAAGACACAATGTATATTTTACCTCTACATAACGAACAAACCATAACAACGACCTTGATTTAACAAATTTTTCGTGATTTCGGCTAAAATAAGACACCTCAATATAGCGAATTTATCATTGTCAGAACCTCTACATTGCGAATTTCACCTCTGCATAACGAATTGTCTACGTCTTTCCCTCGATATAACAAATCCCCCACCCCATTATTGTTTTTGAAAAATCTGTTTCTTTATCAAATGAAATGGAAAGGTGACGTCATTGCTTGCGCTAACATTCGTCTGCTCCGTTTTACACATCGCTGTCTGCTGTCGCTGCGCGCGCTATGTTGCAACTGAGAACTGATTTCATTCACTGAGGACTGATGACGACGTAATGTTTTAGTAAGCTGTGATTGGGCGATAAGTAACTATGGTGAATTGTACAATTTTTGGATAAAGAGAAACCTAAGAAAGAATATAAAAACAAAACCAAAGAGAAAGAATAGCAACATCGTTATTTTAACATTCCTTTTTCGAGTGTTTTTATTATCTTTAAGTTGGCTATTGATTATACACATTTATAATGACTTATCTAATAATTTACTGTATTGTTTTCAATACGATTTGTTTCAACTAGCAACACCAATGCTATAGTTAATGATTATTATTGACATTCCTGTCATCTGTTGTGATAAATCAGTACCGGTACTGTACTGTAAGTAGCCTACTGGCCTATCACGAGCAGTAGCTTACAAAACTTTCTACATACTACTGTTTTGTTTTATTCTTTACATGATTTATGACTATGACATGACTACGCAATACAGTGTTTGGCTAGGTTTTAGGAGGGTTAGAACAAGCTGTGATTTTAAACTTACAGTTTCTTAACCTGTACCAAGGTCAATGCCATTGTCATGATTGCGCAATATTCAAGATCCCTCCACTTTATTATGCCGGATAATTTAGGTTCTTCTGTACAATGTAAACACTGTACTGTAAAGTATAGTAGCCTATGCTACTTTAATTGTGTTTTAATGATGACTAATCCCGACCTATATTGACCGACGCTGGTTCTGAACCTCGTCTTAGCGAAATTCCTGCAAACATAACCTCTATATAACGAACCTCGTTTTTACGAAATCCTTGATATAACGAATATTCAGTTCGGTCCCTTCAGATTCGTTATACTGAGGTTGGACTGTATTCTAAACATTATCGATGGACTAACTAATTATATTTCAACCTTATTATTTTTAGAGGCTTCAATTAGATTTGATCAATATAAAATAAAACCAAAGGAAAACAATAAAAAATTAACAAATTTGGTTCTTGTAAACTGAAACTACTACTACTAGCTGTATTTGTTAAAAGTTAGTAAAATACACCATACAGTATACTATTAACAAGATTCCCAGATTTGGAAAATCTTAAGTAGGCCTACACATAAATTGAGGCTATGTTTCAATTAATTGTTGTATAACCATGAAATACACTCTTAAGACATCTTTCTACTCAAGCAGGCAAATAGATGATGAGGTTTTGTGTAATATTCAAACGTTTTAAGGTAATTTTACAACATTAGAGAGCGTTCAAATAAAATACACAGACAATTAAAACACACTTGAAGTTTTGTGCTACATCCTGAGAGAACGTGTGGAGTATAAAAATAAAATCTTCAATAGACTTAAAAATTTAGTAAACTTAACAGGTGAGCAGCTTTGAGCTGAATTTAATTGTTTTTGTGTTTTGATATTTATGTTATGACGGTGGGTGTGTCTCTTCCAGTGAACTGCGGCAGTTTAGACAGTTCCAGTGCCACCTGTATCAGAGGCCGCAGAGCTACTGAAGCGTCCAGTGACAGTGCCGCGGGATCGGACTCGTAGCTCTCCGCGTACAGACGTACAGTCGCCCCAGAGCTACCTGTGCCGCTGAGGCGATAGATCAGGCGAGAGCCGTCCTCAAAAATCACCCGGATGCCCTAAAAGTAATGAGTTTTTACTAAAGTCAAAGTTGTAAAATCATTTTCAGTGATGTATATTTTGACTTGGGGAAGGGGGAGGGTTTAGAGTATGGCTCCATGAGCTTCACTTGACATTTTGGCCTTTTGTAGTAAATATGTTATAATATTTCGTGACCATTTAAAATGGGTACGGTATTCATTCAGTATAAATATAAAATCTTTCAATACATAGTCATGTCCCTAAAAAATCTAAACGAGACTACCGAAAACTAAACTAATAAAAAAATATTCACATATTGCTTAAATCATAATGAATTTAGCTGTGACAAAAGTCACACTACTGTACATACAGTCCATGACGTTTTTGGTGTTGCACCAAGCTCAAATTACCGAGTAATAGAATATGCCATATCTCAAACTCTGCTTACCTCTAGTTCTTGACATATCAGTCAACTAATATGGCTCTTTTTTTAACCCTCCGAGTGTCCATAGTTTAGGCCTTAATGTCCACCTATTTTTGGCCCCTTTGCAAGGTTTTATTAAAACGGATCTGAGAAGCTTAAAACAATGTTAATTCTAATGTTCTATATACCATTTTGTTTGGAAAATCATGGGCTTCAATATTATATATAAAACATAAGGAACATTTTTTCAAAAAAAAATTTTTAGGTAAAAAAAAAATATAATTTCGAAAATTTTCAAAAAAAAAATAAGTTCGCGCTCAATGAAATTGTATAAATTATAGGCCTATAAATATTTGAAAATAGCCACTTTGTTCTAAATTTAATGAGGATTACAAATATATAATCATATAGCGAGGTAAGTTATCAAATAAATAAGTTATGAGCGAAAAACGGATTTCAGTACATAGCGTTTAGCTAAGAATGCATAGCCTAACCATAGCTAGGAATCTGGCTGATAATTTACATCAATATCACTACCTACTTCTTCAGGATCATCAACCAGCACTTCAAAACCACTTAAATCTTCTTATAATGCACCACGTATATCACTACTTTTGATTTTTAACACTAAAACAATGATAAACGTAATAAAACACATCAGTCATCGGTCCGGGGGAACCTAGCTGTTTACAAATACACGCACGTCAGCTGTCTGCTACAATATTTTCGGAACTAAAATGAATAGCGCTTAGAGACAGACCTCTGGAGAAAGCTTAGAATATTACGGAAAGAACGATACCTAACTCGATCCAGTTCAATCCGATTCAGTCAGTCATAGAGCCTTCGCCGTAAACGATGTTTGTGCGTCTTAAACTCGACGCGTGACCCTACACAAAGTGTGTTGTGCGTCTTAAACTCGACGCGTGACCCTCGGAGGGTTAAAGTCAATAACCATTTGACCTAACTTAGCCTAATCCAAACTTTCTCACAGCTGATCAAGGTTCACTTACAAAACAAAAACATTAAAAAACCAGCCATATAATCAAATAATAAAATAACATTGGTTGCTATCAAATGGTTAAATCATAGTGTGCATTTTTGTGTGTGTGTATATTTTTTTACAATGGCACTGGGGTGCGAAGACGATTTACAATAACTTAATATTCAACTGGACAATTAACCTTTAGGTTATACACCAGTGATTTTTCAGTCAATAAGATACCCTGACAGTATCACCGGTACTTCAACCTGTATGATACAGACTAAACATGTTTGTACCTGTTTGCTGGCGACACTGTGATCGATGGGGTCCGTGTACTGAAAGTTGTCAGCAGACTTCACCTTGTAGCTCTTACCACCAGAGCTCAGGACTGTCCCTACAAACCCTGCAGCTGTCACCTTGGTTTCCAACTCAGCAATCATCTTCTCACAAGGGTCTGACTCACAGTTCTCGTAGTCGTACCTACAAAATATAACTCTGGGTTGACTTGTAGTTTACACTGTTGTGTTGAGTTCTTGTTGGTTTGATTTAATATACTGTAAAAACACGCTCATCAAAGGACTAGCACTAGCATAACAATTATTTGAAAAGTTTGGTTCAGTTGGTATTTTTCTAAAAATATCATTAAACCTGATGAACGAGGAATTATTTGTTGTTTTGGTGTTATCTATACTATAATATGAGAAACGTTTGCACACTATGATTTCAAAAACAGCTCCTATGATTTCCTCCAATTTGTTGGAAATATCTTAGTTTTAAGCTAAAAACAATATCCCTTCTAGGCTCTGTTCTGGGAAAATTCGGTTTTCATTAAAAACTTAAAATTAAATTTCAACATTAGTCTTATGGATTGTCAAGTTGCTAAGGCAGTTTTAAGAACATAAATGAATTGTAAAATATGCTTGTAACAAACCATCTACAGTACAGAAGAGTAAATTACTAAATGCCGTACAAAAGAAAAGAACATCCCAACAAATACTATTAAGCATTGATTATAAATACACTTTGGGGTGTATTACTAAGCAAGGGATAAATACGACTATTCAAAAACGTAGTCTTTTACTGCAAAACAATACACTACGCTAATATTGAATTAAAACCCTCAAGGAAAAGAAAAGAACGTTTTGTAGCTTTTGACGATACGATGCCGGGATGGGCGGGTTGTTTGTATGATTCCACGGATTATAAAATGGAAACTGTATGGATTATTAACTATCAGTTCTCTAGGTAGTTCGGAGGGATACTTGTAAGGAAATTAGACAATTGGTATAAATCAAATACTTAATACAAAGCTGGCTAGGCAAGATTTCTTATCTGGGTAAAAGATCTCCGTCCCTCTTGTCTCCAACACACTTCTAGTTTTTAGAGTAAATTAGTTTGGTAGCAGATTCAGCACGCTCAATCATTCAATCAATTCAATATCATATATAAGACTTACCGTCTTGAAGCAATCCAGTTTTTGTACTCAGTGTACAGCTGTTTCGGCTTCATAAAGCCATCTTCAGCACATTCTTCTAGAGGTCAATTCATTATAAATATGCGAACATTCTGGTTCTTGTCAACTTTTTACAACACATTTTACACATAAAAGATGAAAACATAAACTTTGGTAGGCCTACCAAAGTTGACAAGAACCAGAATGTTCGCATATTTATAATGAATTGACCTCTAGAAGAATGTGCTGAAGATGGCTTTATGAAGCCGAAACAGCTGTACACTGAGTACAAAAACTGGATTGCTTCAAGACGGTAAGTCTTATATATTATATTATTTAAAAAGCAAATCCTGGTCAGCCAACCACAAAGTATGTAATTCAATATCACCCAATCTTGGCCCATGTCTTCCAACTATTTCTTCCCTTAAGCTTAAAACATTCTTCCACCCCGCTACAATTATAATGGCTTTTATTTTTTTTTTTTATAATGGCTGCGTCAGCTTCTGCCAATCATGAGTATGGGCGAAGCTAGACCGAAAACAGTGCCTCCAGTACCACTGAGAACGTAATCCAGTAGTTCTTTACAACGTTGTGCTAAAGTATCGCCTCTTCCTTGGTCATACTGACATTTATTGAATCATAACCTGACATGTATAGTAACAAATTGATAGCCTACTTAGCAATGTTATTTCTTCCTTACAACCATCGTACTATGAATGCCTGCTGCTGAATCCATGTGGTAACGATCTTTGTTCACCAAAAATTAAATGATCGATAATCAACTCCAGAGAGCATAAGTATCAACAGAATCAAACCACAATGTATGTGTGGACTCAATTGTCAACAATACCTTGTAAAGAAGTTTCTGCCGAACTTGGCCCAGTGCTGCTGCAGTATTTGGTCCACAGGTTTGCCCAGATGTGAGATGACTGACAACCAAGCCAATACTGCCCAGATGCCATCCTTCTCCCTGATGTGATCCGACCCGGTACTGTGCAACAATAACCATATTTATTTATTTGTGATTTTCTATGTAATTGCCACTGATACATTTTTTGAAGGGAACAGTCGAAACCTTTGGATAAATGACATCCAAATGAAAATTTGCATGTGTTAGGAGTCTAGAGATTTTCACAGAAAAATGTGGGTCTAGAATGAATCCCCCATGGGATAAATGATAACACCTAACAGTATATTTGAGACTGGTAAAATAAAGGGTAGACTCTTACATCCTCATTCAAGTTTAGAATTTTATAAGCCTAGTAGGTTTACCTGTGATTTATGGTAATTACTAGCAGAGTACCCGTTCTTCGTAAGGGGTTGGCATTTTGCAGTTATACTCGTGCTTTGCGTTTGGATTGGGAAAGGACACGGTTTAATTCTTAAAAATTACGGTATGCCATAGTCATAGTATAGCACAGCTACCATAGCCATGATTAATTAATGTTCTACCACTGCGCCTCAACAATAGAAAAAGGTAAAGTTGTCATAGTGTATCACAGATTTTTGTTGCTGCTTGGTTAAAATTAGCTGTTGTCATAAATGAAAACAAAATAATAGTGCTGCACCCGTTTGGCAAACCTTATAAGTTTTTAATGCTATTGAATATCAGAGAACCAACTTGCGTAGTTGAAACAGCTGACAAAATTCTTTAATTTCTTTAAAATATGAATACTCATAAGGTAAACATGGGAAACTCCAGAGTCACTGGGGCGGATCCCGAGGGCAGTTTGAGGACGTGAATAGGCCTATGTTTTAAGTAGGTGCATAATCTACCTTTGTGTAAAATTTCAACCCTGCCGTTTTAGTATTATTCGCGTTTACTCGTCACAAACATCCATCCATACATCAACACTTTCTCACATAATATTAGTAGGATTTAGTTTTCATCATAATGTGAAATGGATTTTGGTTTGATAAAAGCTTGTTAATAGTATAACTTCATCGTTATAGCCTACATACCCAAAACTCTCCTCACCACAGAGGGACAAACGACCTGCATCCATCAAGTTTCCAAAGTACTTCCACCCTGTTGGAACCTCAAATAGCTCCTTGTTGTTGACTGCAGCCACTCTAGATACAAGGAAAAACAATATAGTTTTAGTTGAAATTTATGTAGTAACTCCTTACCAGTAATTATTACCTTATAAACAAATAGCAATCCTTCGCCATATTATCTGGACAACTCTTTTCACAATAATTTTAATTTGCTGAAGGAAAGGTATGTACAGTATTTACCAATAACTTACAACTCTTATGTGACCGGCAAAGACGCATGGGTGATTGTTTTGAGTCCATGATTGGATAACTAAACAGTTCTTTCAGAGGACTAACACTCTTTTAAATAAGCCAGGTGGAGTCTCTCTTTCAGCGGTTTTGGTCACGAATTTCACACTTTAACTGGAAGTCTGTTGAACTTTGTGTATTCCAACACCGGACATCGGATAACTATGTCCAATTAAACTTAAGAGACACCAGGATGTTTAAGTTGCTAGTAAACTATTCCTGTCAATAATAAGGCCCAGTCAGATTTCTGTAGATTATTGAGGTGATCTCCCACAATTGATTTTATTGATGTCCTATAGTAAAAAAAAAAAACATTACTCAAACTTACGTGGTTTAATTTTTATTTTTAATGATAAAAATAGTGCGGTAATCTGTATTTGAAATCAGACCTTTAAACCCCTCAACAATCTATTTGCGTAAAACCCACACTGCTGATTCCCAAGAAGGATTTAAATGCAATCAATTAGTAGTCCATATAAATGAAAATTTCTTTTAACAGACAGTATTTTTTGTGTAAAAAACCTAAATGATGAGTTGATTAACCAGCGCACCTATCCACAGCTGCTCCAGTAGGCATGCTCCTGGCGTAACCCTTAACACCTGTCCTTTGGAAGTATGGAATACACTCCAGATGAGCGGCCAGCACAGCCAACGAGTCACTTGGAGTCACAAAGAAGGCCTTGTGTCCCAGAACCATGTTACGATCCTGTAAACAATCACATTTTACTGGATTTAGTTGGAATATACCTCACAATAAAGCTTTGCTTTTATTAACATTTAAAAACTTTTTGAGATGCTCAAGAAATCTTTCATTTTTGGGGACTCTAACATTTTAAATAAACTTGTTTTATAGCTCTAGCATTTTTAGAAAATGAAACTTCTTGATTGTAGGCCTATATTTACTAAAGAGTTAACATAAACTGTAGTTTTCCAATAATATGTAGTCTGTCAAAATTTTAACAGGCTACTATTTTAGATGAATTAGAGTTGAGTGTGGATGGATTTGTAATGCACTGTATATGCACATTAATCTTATAAAGACTGAAAGAAATCAATTTTTTGTTTAAATCAACATTAGCTGGTAATCGGTGTAATATTTCTTTAAATGCTTAAAATTACTTTTTTTCAAACTAAACAACTTAAAAACCAAACTATGTGTTCCAATTTCAAAATAAACTCAAAGCTTGTCTTATATCTTTTTTAAATGCCTATAACAAATATGTAATTACACATCTGTTCCTCATTTGTATTCATGTATCAAATGTTTATCAATAAGTGTGGAATAAAAGTTAAACTTAATTCCTTTCTAAATTTTTAAAAACACTTCATATTTCCAACAATAGTTCATACCGTATAACATGTAATATTCTGAGTGAATTGACAAATCACTAATCAAACATCATTATCTTTCTTATATAAGAGTGTTTACCTGCAATATCAAATTATATCTGTTCATGATAAAAATTTGATCTGTTGTTGTCTGTTGACCTTATACAATCATCAATCATGCATATTCATTCATATTTAAATTTGTATTATAGAGTGCTGTGGTTAGCTTTCTACTTATTCCGAAAGACTATAAGATTTCTTCACGTTAACAATAAATGACGTTTAAACTCTGATCTGTCAGTGAATTGATAAAAATGTATCAGATATCAAATTAGATATCACTATATTCGTAAGAAAGCTTACCCCATCACCATCAAAGGCTGCTCCAAAATCATAATCCCCTTCTTGCAGAGCCTGGACCAAATCCGCAGCGTAGGTCAAGTTAGGGTCAGGGTGGTGACCTCCGAAATCCTCCAGAGGCGTTGTGTTGATTGTGTTGTTCTTGGGTGCACCAAGCTCCTCTACGAATATCCGTTGGACGTATGGGCCAGTCACTGCAAAAATAGACCTGAGAATGAGCAACTAAAACTATATCAACACACTTTCATTTTACTGCTCAATAGATTAATTAAACATTTCACTGATGATAATACATATTAGTGTTGGTCATCTTAACTGGATTTTTTGCATATTTTGTAAGGGAACAGTCCAACATTTTCTTAGATAGCATTAACAATTGATAGTCCAATACCATCTGGATCCTGTACCAATCTTGCTTTGAAAGTTATGAAGGCACGCATCACTCGGCTACCAAGACAATTAGGAGCCATTATGCACACCATAAACGAGTAAACTCACAAACTAATCTTAGGAAACTAAATTCCCAAGCGAACTAAATCTTTTTGACGCTTTTTTTGGTTGAACATAAATCAAGGCTGGCCAGTAGGTAGTCTATTGTAGTATCTACTACTGTAACAGTAAACTGCTTCCCTCTTTGAAGTTAAAGTCCTAAAGACTATGTCACATTTCTTGGCTATTATAAATCTCATACAATTGAAGTACGAGCTAAACTTCATTTACAAAAAGTGAAGAATATAACAACTTCTTAAATGATAGGGCACTTTAAAAATAGTATTATAAAATTTATTAGTCTATAGAAATGTTGGGCTCTAGGTTACCAGATATTAATCTGTCAATGCTAGGGATCCAGTTAGAATCTAAACTCACCTCCATGCATGGAGTTGATCAGCAGTTTGAAAGGTGGTCGGCCATCACTTCCTTGAATTAATTTCTTTAACTTGTTAAAATCAAATATTTCTTTCATTAACTGCAAGTAATCTTCTACACAGTCAATTATGTCTACAACAAAATCTCTATCATCAACCTGAAACCAGAACATTTAAATGGTTTGAATAAGTTGAGTTTCTATTATTATAGTGAATATGATTCAACCTTATAGATCTACAGAGCAGCCAGAGGTTCTAGGTTTGTTGGGGGCACTTGGAACAGAAAAATTCCCTAGCAAAGAAGGGAGGGGGGAGCATACATCTCTTGGACTCATGGTACTTGGATGTAAATTGCCTCCAATCCTGACCTTAATAAACTTATTTAGAGAAGAACTTGTCGTCTGTTTTGTTTCGCGCTCTACCACTTCACTAGCTGTTTGATTAGCTTAGCTTACTAAAAAACTATTAAATTTTATAAATTTATAGATAAAAATAAAATTTACATAAACCCTGTTATAAGTTTGGTACCTTCATGTTTATTAGGAACAATATAATGATACAGCGTGATCTTGGTAACGTAAAGGTCACATTTAGAATAAATTACCGAAGCAAAACTAAGATAAAGTATCATGGTGTGTCTACTTTGACCTAACCTTAAACTAATCCCGGCCCCCAAAAAAATATTCTATACCCGCCACTGATTGTACCACTCCGTCCCTTTTGTTTAACCATGCTAACAGACAATATTTCTGGTTGTATACAATTAGAAGCCACTCCAACTACATTTGAATCTCACCTTGAATTTCTGAGTCCCCAACTTATCAATGGGACAGGAGAGATCTGGGACTAAAGAGTAAGACTTGATCACCTTCGTAAGCTCATAAATATGGTTGGTGACTGCATCTGGTGCCGGTCCTGAAAAAAAATGTTTTTTAAATAAATAAGCTGTATTCATGCAGATTAATGCAGTCATCTCAAACATTCAAATTCAACAATCACCAACTTCATCATTCACTAAGCACCAGCACCTTTATCATTGATGAGTTGGTAGCACTGGGTTTACCCTTTTCTTCGATTGAGTTCAAATGGTTAAACAATTATTTAAACTATGTTTAGATTGCAGCATGTTCATAGTTCCTGCCTTTTTGTGTAGGTAACTTTAGGTGCAGCATGATTCTTATAAACCATATACCTAGCTTATATTATAAATTTATCTGTAGCTAGATAGTGAGCCAGTTTTTAAACAACCCCTCTAACACTATGAACTGAATGGAGGCTAAATACCAACCTCCGTTGGAGCAGTTGAACTTGATGCCAAAGTCATTGTCAGGTCCGCCAGGATTGTGACTGGCCGTCAATACAATCCCTCCGGCCACGTTCAACTTGCGGATCAGACAAGAGACGGCTGGAGTTGACAGGATACCATTCTGGCCGATAACCAGTCTGGCCACCTGCAAACAATCAAAGATCTTTAGTGCATCAAAATCTAAAGGAGAAATTCAGCAGTTCTGTGAGTGTCAGTCATTCAGCGAATATAACATTTCTCCAGCTGGTTATGAAATAGTTGGGATGTCTACTTCAGAGTGTTAAAAAAAGAGCAATTAATGTAAATAAATTGTATCCAGCTGATCATAATGTAAACAAATATGTCCTTCATAAGGATAGCATGGGAACTTTAAAAGCCACTGGGGCAGAGCCCAAGGGACTTTTATAAAAATATAAGGTCAGTTTGCAAATCTACACACCTAGACGAACATTTTGGTACCTATAGGCTATAATATGTGGGTGTATATAATCTTAAAACAAAAAGTCGTTTTTCACCAAGTTTCATGTAGCGTATTAATAATATAGATAGATGTACTAACTTAATGTTTTTCCTGTCAAAAGGATATTTAATTTTAGGATAGCCTACATCCTTTAACTCAATGCTACTGTTGTGGAAATTTAACTGTTTGAGAGTTTCCATAACCTTATGCAATCCAACATCATGAGGCAATCGGTAGCAGGAAGTGTATATACAGTTCTGCCTTTTTGTAGTATAAAGTCAAGAGTACCTTAGCTCATAACTGCTAAACCAAGTAAAATCCATAAATGGTGTTCATTGTTGGTTTGGTCCTGCATGTTTACATGGTGTTCGTAGCAACTAAATCTTTGACTGTCAAAAGATTGATGAGGAGATAAATTAATGGAAGCACATTTAACAGGGAATGGATAATTATTTGTCATGAAATATTTTTTTTCTGTAGCACTATAAGGTTAGCTGGGAAAAGATTTTTCTATGGATGAAAATAACTGTCTTGATACTAACCAATTAATACTGGTGCATGATTATAGGATAACGGTAATGGCAAATGCGTTGTACATCATGTTAAACATTGATATATAATTTTGTATAATCTAAACTTATAATCTAGGCACATAACCTACATGGGCACAACCTACATGAGCACATTAAGCACAAAGATATATTGTAACCATGTAGCCTAATACGTAATACAGGTTCATCTTATCTTACTAATATTATAAATCTGAAAGTTTGTGAGTTTGTGTGTATGTTTGTTGCTCAATCACGCATAAACTACTGGACAGATTGGGCTGAAATTTGGCATGATGATAGCTCACATTCCCGATTAACATTAAAGCATGTTCTTATCTCAAAAACCCTTTCGGGCTCCGCCCCAGTGGCTCTGTAGTTCCCCATGTTAATCTTATGATTTTTCATATTTAAAAGGAATTAATGAATCTTAACAGCTGTTTCCATTAAACAAGTTGGTTCTGTTCTATGATGTTCAATAGCATAAAAGTTACAAGGATTACCAACAGGGTGCAGCACTATTATTTTTTTTTTTATTTATGACAACAGCTAATTTCCAACCAAAAGGTGAGTGAGCGTAGCGAACGAACTTCAACCTGGAAGCGAGTTAGCGTAGCGAACGAGCTAACCTGAAGGCAAGTGAGCGCAGCGAACGAGCTCCAACCTAAAGGTTAGTGAGCGTAGCGAACGAACTTCAACCTGGAGGCGAGTTAGCGTAGCGAACGAGCTAACCTGAAGGCAAGTGAGCGCAGCAAACGAGCTCCAACCTAAAGGTGAGTTAGCGTAGCGAACGAACTTCAACCAGGACGTGAATGAGCCATAAGAATACTTATGAAGTTAAACGGGGCGAAGCCCGCGGGTACAGCTAGTAATACAATAAAGGTAAAAAGTGTACAAGAATCAGTTATAACATTTTACTGTGTATACAGCTTTTTATGCAAAGCATACAGTAGCCAGTGTAAAGTAAGTATTTCAATGACAATTATTCATCAAAACACTGAAACTATACACCATGAACTTTGACTTTTGAGTCCCAAAGATAAAAATGGTCCTTAGCAATGATAAAAAGAGAAAATAACTCAATGATTATTTAAATATACTCCTAGGTCAACAAGATAGCCTGCTAAAGATAAAGTTGTGAAGGTCCATCTTAGGTTTAGAAGCTTAGTTGTAGTTGTCAGTAGTGTTAACAGTAGGAAAATAACAACAAATAATTAGAAGGACAATTGATTATTTTTTTATTAATTAGGAATGTTAAAACAATGCTAACAGTATGTTTGGTTTAACGAGTATTCCTCAAGTAAGATATTTGCTTGCATTGTTCCTGTCAAATTACCGATAATAGCTTAGTTATTTTTTATTATAAAACAGCTAGCCAAAGAAATTTGTAAGATAAAAAACACTGTTGATATCAAACAAAACTTGGCCACTTTATTATATTTCTATAGTCATATTAAACACAGTATAGAGTACCTCAATTTGTTTAGGGGTTTTATTACAAAATACATAACTGTATTAGATATTAAGCTTATGGCACCATTAATAATTAGATATCAAATTTAAGGGTTTGTGGTGTGTTGTTCGTTCTCAAAAATGATCGGCCTATATTGAAAATAAATTATTACCTAAATAATTTAAAGGTAAGGTAACTTCTACTCCTATATGGTACCGGTACCTAACACTAGTTAGGTATATTTATTTGTTCTGAAAATAATAATGCTTTACCTATTTTGTACATGAGAAAACAAATACTTAATTAATATTTGTGATGCCGTAGTAGCTTATTGTTTTGAGACTAAGCTAATTAATGCTTATTAAAATAAACTCAAAATCCGATAGCTTAAAAATGTAAACAATTACAGTGTATTTGTTTATAACCTAAAAAGCGTCACGCCCGAAAACATTGCTAGCCTAGCTTAAATGGTGTTTATCCTGCGTCATCGGATGAGGTAATTTAGATAACGGCTAATCGTAGTCTAATTGAGTACACATCTCATGTACTTACACCATTGGCTGCACTGATTTTGATGATGATGTCCACCGCCTGTTTACCAAAGTATCGGCCATCCCCACCTACGACTAATGTAGAACCGACCAGCTGAGGCCCAACAGCTGATAAAATAGATTGTACGAAATTCTCGGTGTAGTGTTGTTGTTGAAACACCTTCACGGCTTTTCTCAAACCGCTAGTTCCCGGTTTCTGCCCGTCGAACACTTTTGTAGGCACTTCCACGGATTTCAACGCCATCCTGTTGCGGTGAGGCAAAGAGTTCAACTGCCTTTTTGAGCGAGAGCGATAACTTTCAAGAGTTTCAAGGTCGTTCAAAGACAACACTGCGTCACGGGCAGAGGTTAAGCGGCGCGCGCACAGATGGCACTGGTGTCGCCGGGCGGGACGTCTCGGGTTTCAAATGTTTCAGCTTGAAACATCATTGTTCATTGTTGTTGTTTCATTGTTGGAGATCGCACCACTTAAAGCTACGAACACGATGTTTTGAACAGATTTGATATATTTTCTTCTGTATGAATTTATTACTGCACAGCCAGTTTTATCACACATTTTAGTAAATTCCAACTCTTTATCCTTCCCGCTGCTTTTCAGTATCCTGTTTCCCTTCTCATAGGGCTTCCGATCAAATGTCCACGGTACGTAGGCTATTGATTAGTACAACTGGCAGAGTTTTGTAGTTTTAGGGTCATTTGCTTTTTGGGAGAAGACAATATTTAACAGTAGGTATTGGAAGTTTTCTTTATTTATTTATATATACCGGGTGTCCGAAAAATAACTCCCTAGTTTTGATAAACGATTGTTTATTGTAGAGAATACATATTCTTATATCTAATACATGAAATTAAAGAGGGTTTACTCAAGTTTATTTTGACATTAGTACACCTCGATATGTGACCCATTTGTAGCTCTACAGATATCTAACCGGTATTCGATCTCTCTCCAAGTGTTAGTTAACATATCAGGTGTCACTGATTCTACTGCAGCTACGATTCTTTGACGAAGATGGTCAATGTCACATTTTTTTCTGAATAAACCAAGTTCTTAACGTAACCCCACAGGAAAAAATCCAGTGGTGTTATGTCTGGGCTTCTTGGAGGCCACACGATCGGGCCAGCTCTCCCCATCCATCTTGCCGGGAAACCGAAAGGTCCTCCAAGAAGCCCAGACATAACACCACTGGATTTTTTCCTGTGGGGTTACGTTAAGAACTTGGTTTATTCAGAAAAGATACGTGACATTGACCATCTTCGTCAAAGAATCGTAGCTGCAGTAGAATCAGTGACACCTGATATGTTAACTAACACTTGGAGAGAGATCGAATACCGGTTAGATATCTGTAGAGCTACAAATGGGTCACATATCGAGGTGTACTAATGTCAAAATAAACTTGAGTAAACCCTCTTTAATTTCATGTATTAGATATAAGAATATGTATTCTCTACAATAAACAATCGTTTATCAAAACTAGGGAGTTATTTTTCGGACACGCGGTATATATATATTTCACCGATGATAAAAGCCGATACATAAAGGATTGCATTTAAAAGATGGATGAAAGATACATGCAAGATTACCGGGGTCAGGAGACTACACATACAGAACAGCGTGAAATATTATTAATACTATTACTTAATTACTGTATTAATTACTATGACTATTACTTAATTGAAGTATGCCTAATATTTATTGGCGGAAATCTTTACTATTTTAGTGGATTTAAGGCAGTACTCCTCATAGCAATCCTTATGAAAAAGTAATTTTTAGTTGGTTTTTTTGGAGTTGTTTCTTTATATTTTTATTAAACCCGATTTACATAATAAAACACATTTTATCCTTGGATCCACGTCCAGTTCTATAATTTTGATTTGAAATGCAATTATTTAAATATTTAATTTGTTTAATATTGACAGAATAATTAGCGAATCTATAAATATACCCTCGCCGAAGCAAACCTGCCGACTAAGCGAATTTCCATTTGTCTGAATTTATTTTCATTAAATCTATTTAAATAACATTAGTTTTAACAAGTACCTAGGTTTGCTGCTACAAGGAAACTATTAAAAAGTGGGGTTTTTAGTAAAATATTATTAGCTTAGTATGCAATAAATAAATTTGCCAAGCTGGATCAAAATATATCCATAAACAAGCAAACTACAACATTTTACAATATTCTCCATAAGAATAACATGGGAATTTAAAATTTATTTTTTTTACATTTTCTCCGTTACCAATAACCTTACAAAAACACTTTTATATACTAAATTATTTGTTTTTTAAGTTCTTTAAAAAGGTCTAGAGAGAAATTGGGAAATTTTGTGTTTTGAGGGTCAAAAATTAGAAAAACATTTTTTCCCACCATAAAACCCCCCGTAAAATCCCATTCATATGGTCCGATCATGCTGGTTCGCGAACTCATTAAAGTTTATTCCGCCTTACACCTTTAAACCAAATTTCATCAAAATCGGAAAAAATTACTCAAGTTATCACGTTGAAGGGGATTCGCTAAATTTAGGTATTCGACAAGAAAAGGCAATACAATTCATCCGAAACTTTACGTATCATTAGAACAATTTTTGTGTGTCAAAATTTTAGTTTAACGGACGAAAACAAAACTCTGCACCAGTCAGTAAAAGTACCAAATCCAACATAAATGTTCAAAACAAACATATTCGTAGAGGTACCAGTCAAAATTGTATATCTTTTAGTGACTCCAACCTAATTTACTATCATACAATTTAAAACACGCGCTCAAAGTAACCTGCATTATCGTCCGAGATAGCAGCGGACAAAATCCGTTGGAAACGTTTTATCTTCAGTCGACGGTCAGCGCTGCAGCTCAGCGTTCAACGTGTATGACACCAGTTCATCAATATTTCCAGCAGCACATCGTCGACTGGCGAGTGGCGACCCTGAAGCGGAAGACAGGAGGGGCTGTTATATAACGTACACATCGCAGGCTAGGCGACGCGAAGACGCACCGTCACCGTCAGTACTGTGAAACGCTAGGTCAGTGTTGTTCAGTTTAAGTTGTTCAAAGGACCAGACCCAGAGACCATGGCTAGAGCTAGGTCCAAGTCGGAGGAGTCACAACCCCTCCTGTCATCGGATATCAGCAGGACTAACAGTTATGGAGGGTAAGTACCTAAATACCTGTAATTATTAGGACTTTTGTAATACAACAGACGTAGTGTGTACTGTATAACGTTTCTATACAACTTAGAGTGTAAACAGAAGTGATAGATTGTTGTGCATTAAGGTAGTTTAACTATTGTCATATACATTACCATATCAAATGTAATATGTACATACTGTAGGAATCCAAAAGTAGCACAGGCACAGGGCCGAAGAAGCGCAGAGGAAACCGGTTTCCCACTACACGTGGGATTTCATTTCACCGGTAGAAGAAAGAAACACCTTACTTTTCTGTGTTGTTACATAGTTTGTTTTACAAAACATTTGATTGGAAACCCATTTGTAAAATTAGGTTAAAGGATTACTAACGTGATTCCTAATTGCATTTTACTGAGTGAAGGTAAGTTTGTTGTACGTAACACCCACCTTAAAGTCATGCAAATCATAAACATACGTTTTTAGACTTATTGAATACGTGTTGCTATAACATTTTGGGCTATTGATTTTTCATTGAAAGGTGCAAAATAAATGATATCAAATGAAACTTATTTTAAAATCAGTCTTAATTGAAGCAAGCAATGTGTAATTTAGATAAATGTATTTAGATAATTCATTACTGTACACTCATAGGTATACTTTAGTTTAAAAATTGTGTTTGATAAATGTCTATATTTTTTTGATATTTACACTACAGTATTTGTCAAGTAATTATGAATTCATAAACAACCCAGATGATACTTTTCGCCAATCAAAATAGGTACTTTCATTACGATCGTAATGCTAACACCTGAAGACCAAAATAAAATTCGGTTGTAAAAAATAGGAAAGAAACTGAGAAGTTATTTATTAGCTATCGGTTTTTGCTTTTACTGTATTACGTACATCAACGTCTGAATATGTTCCTTTAACAGCATGATGTTAATGAAAAATGTTAACGAAAAGTTCAAGAATTTACAACAAAGTTATCTTTATGAAACCAGGCCATTGTTAAATGCTTTACATATAAAAATCTAAATTAAATCTGGGCTAAGAAAAAACACTTAACCTGGTTAAATTTAACAAAAAAATGAAGTGCTACAATGGAATAAACAACTGACGATAACCTATGGTCAAATAACATGATTATTCGTTCTGCATTCTCTAAAAGATAACTGTGTCAGAGTCAGCTGTTAATTTAATCGCAATTAAGTAACTTTGAGACCATCCAAAGTTGTAACATGTTTTCATTTGGCCTACTTATTCACGACTTGATAAGCTTTTCAGTGGTATGGGTCTGTATTGGTAATTTATTAGTAACAAAACTTTCTCAACATTGCTGTATTTATTGCATTACTATAATTTTATTATTCTGTATTTACTTCTACAAAACACAATAATTATTTCAGGGTGCTCAGTTGGGCTTTATTTCCTACTTTAAAATATTTTTCATCACTCTGTACTCGAAAATAGCCCATTTCCATACAGCTGAGGTCGTCAGCACGACCAAAATCTGCACGATCGTCAGCCAGACCGAAATTTGTCAATCGTCAATTTCCATAGAAAAAACAAAAAAAAATAGTGATCAGCTGACTTTTTCTAACATAAACATAACTTTCGCTACATAAACTACAATACACAAACAATACTTTGCCTGACATTAACAAAGTTACGTTTTAATTTTTTTTAAGTTTGATGAAGTAGTTTTTTTCATCGTGATAAAAGTTACCGTTCAACACTCGTCACGAAAGTCCCATTTCGGGGCTCGATAGTGTTTCCAGTAGTGAAATATACTATTAAATTTTATTTCAAAGACCTGTTTGGTCCAAAATTTGCAAGTACTTGTCAAGCTATTTTTAATAAAAAATTACGTTTTCAATTTTCCCATTGGAAAATTCATAGTTGTTATTAATTAAGCGCTGAAAATCTTTGCTCAGCAAAGCAACGGTGTCAGGCAGCCGAAATTATATTTCACATTGTTGATCATAATAAAAAGCCGATTGCGTAGAAGTTTTTCGTTGATAAAAGAGGATAAAATTCGCACTCTCCATATGCATTGCGGTTTGAGAAGTGTGTCATTAGGTCATTATTTTTATTTCCAATCAAGTAGATGAAACTTCTATGACAATGAACCCTGAAACTGTTACAAGGGAAAAAACAACTGGATTCTAGGATGGCACTGACCCAGACTATGAATGCAAAACAATATTGTGACGGACTTATACAATTTAGTGCAAGGCCAAATAGTGTTACATCTGTTGATAAAATTGGTTTTTCAAATATCTGACGTTAGATAATACCATTGACTTTGATGTTTAATCTATGATTATACTTTGAGCTACGTTGCTCAACTTAACTTTTTTTCTGAAACTGGTAACAATTTAACGTGCTTCGTGCTAGCATATCTCTAGGCAAAGGTAAAATCATCTACGGTAAATATTAGGGAGTAACGCATTAAGAAACGTCCACAGGGTAAACTTATCAGTCAGTAAATTAAATGAATATAAGTATTTAAAACTGGCTTCAAGACCTAAACATCCCTAAAGTTAACAATGTGGAGGCCGGTTGGTACATCTAGACCCTCATATGCATAGTATTAAATAAACCATCAACAGATATCTGATATGGATCTTCACTATTGAAGACTTTGTGAGAATCTTCAGAGAGCTCACGAAGACCTGTGTGCAGGATTGACGGCGTGTTTAGGATATCCGAGGTCAGTAGCTGTGACGAGATCTTCGTGAAGCCCAAATCCATCTCTCCCCCTCCACCGTCCAAAAAGTACCAGAGGCGAAGGTAAAATGGATATGAAAATAATGGTTTGTTTCGGGAGGATTTTGTGTTTGGAGGAATTTTGTTTGTGCGTATTTTCATGGGTGTTTCAATATCGAAATTTTTTTATCAGCGAATGGCGTTAGAAATTCGAGATCCTAATTTATTTATTTTTTAATTCAAAGTTAAACACAAAATTTTCTTTTTCATGTGGTTTTTAGTCTTTGTTAAATAAATGCTAGATTTTAGACTGTACCCTATTTAGAACAGACTAAGAAATTTATTGATGTAGAAGAACACGCGAGTTTGATTTAATCTTATACCTTTTTTGGCATGAATAGCCTATTATTTTGCTCTTCTTGTATTGGATATATTCATGCATGCACCATAAACTGCATTTTGCGAGTCCTTCTTTTAGCAGCATTTCTTTACAAAAAAATCACCATTTTTTCTTTTGGGTGCTCTTGCTAGTTAAAGGCATAGATAAAACATACTCTCTTAGAGGTCTGTGTGCATTATGTTTAACGTGTTTTCATGACTTTTACTGCTGACTGTTATAATTGGTTTAGAATAATATACTGTAGTAGAGATGCTGTCTGTAATCAGCTGCATTTACACAGAGATTACCTAGTTTAACGATCCAATTATTGTGTGTGATACTGTTAACATTGCACTTTATCTCTTTGTTTAGTTGCATATGCACACTTTAATAGTTGATATGATAGGGGAAAACACTACAAATCCAACATGAAGTGGGGTGTTTATTTTCGGTATCGGGCGTATCTCTTGTCAAAGGTTTGATATAGATTTCTAAAATTTAAAAGATGTTGTAATACGTATGTGTGCTATGTTTGAGATTTAGCCATTGGCCTATCTGTTAAAGGAGTAGAAACTACTCCTTTAATCCATGCTTAAACATATTGTTCTTGAACATTTTCTTGAAAAGAACATTTATGTATTCTGATCTTTTCTTCCTTTTCTCTGTCACTCTATGCATGCTGTAATTGCATTTTGATTTCGTATGCTGTTTTATTTATTTAATTTCTATTAATGTTGAGTTACAACTATGAAGCACTGAATTTTTTGTGTTTAATTAAAAAATATATGTTTTGTGCAGTGTTTTAGAGTTGGCCTTATGCCTATCGGGATTTAAAACTAGGTTATTTAATTTGACCATACCGTAGGCTTACAGTAATTAATTCAGATTAACTGTTTGTATTACAATCATACGTTTTTTTATTTTGTCCACAATTTAAAGTGCTTTAGTTAAAACGCAACATGTTGAATTTGTGAATTTTGTAGAGGCATATTTCATTTGTGATTCTTATGTTACTCAAAAAAGTTATACAAAAACGTGTGCAAATATACAATTTAAAAAATACAAATATAATCTAAGTTATTTATACTTAAGGTGAATATAATAAACAAAAAAATACAAATCTTGCCATGCTAACGAGAAGGAAATTATTGTTTGTCACAATATTTTATTAAATTGTTAAAATATTTAATCTACTTAAAAAGTGTTTCAAACTTAAGACATAGATTGGAAATATATATTATCATTCAACACACATTTAGTGGGACAGTTAGTTGTAAAATGCATTTCTTAGAGAAGAAATATAAGTCACCTTGAAATTGTCGTAATGTTCAGTAAGGTTCGTCTAGGTCGTGTAATCATTCTCAAACAAAACACTCTATTGACAATTATCCTGTAATCTAAAACAATTATTTATCTAAACAATCATAGATATTACATATTCCTAAAGAAAACTTGTTTCGATGTACTTAAAATACAAATGTGTGTTATCAATGTGAAGCTAGATGTTTCTTAATGAACCAGATTAGGATTTACACACAAATGTAACGTTTTTTGTATTGTTAAACAGCGAACATTCCAGTGTTGTATCCAAAGTAAGTTATTGTTGTACTTAGCACAATACATTACTTGGTGTAACGAATACAAAGAGACCAATCAGAATATTTCCTGCATAATTTGATATATTGTACCTTAATTAGTTAGCTACGAGGATAGATTATGTTAGATTACCTCATGGATTGAAAATCACCGTTAATTCATAACCTAGATGAAACGTTAGTTCATAGTTATATTAAACTCAGATGTACTAAAAAGCATCAAAGTTATGTTCATCAGCTATCTAACGCAACCCATCGAGTTCTCAAAGCCACAGTATACGGCAACAAACACGACTTATGTTTCAATTCTGGAATATGGGTTATGATTGTTTAGGTTGTAAGGTTGTGTATGATTGTTATGGAATTTATTTTGGATACTGAAGTAGAACTTCCATATTGACTGGCTGTAACCAATTTTTTTACTCTAATATATCATAGCTAAACCGATTTATAATCGGTGCTTTGTCAACAGGTAAATGAAAAAGAACTGTGAATGATATATCGGTTGGAAGGATAATTAAATAAGTACAGTAATTGCAAGTGCTTGCTTCACACAGCAGGAAAATGGTTACTCCTAACCCACGTGTAGGGCCTATGTTTAGTTGTAGTATATGCATAAAGTCTTAATGTTTGCCGGTCCAATCATGAGAAAAATCATTAGCTTTTTGAGTTGACTTAATTGGTCGTAGGACTAGATAAATCGTGCTGGAAAAATAAACAGCTGATCTAGTCAGTAACAAAGCTACACAAGTCAATTTACTCATCTTACATTCATATTTGGACAAAAATAACGTTGTGTGTGCCCTATATAATGATGATACAGTGTAGGGGCCTTTTAAAATCAATGTAACAATTTACCTTTTGTACTTCTCTACTTTACTTGTAATAGGTAGCGCAAATTATAATTTCTAATATCATATGTTTTCGAGGGTGCTTGTTTACACTAAAGTAACATAATATCAACGGAGTTTACTTCAAAATTAAGAAAGAGTTAAACATTTTCGATGCCGATTCTAGACAGAATCACTCCGTAAGTTTATTCTAATATTATTTGAATGCTATTGTCTTACTCATATTGTCTTACTGCTAGTAAGTCAAACCGCAACTGGGTGTTTGAGAGAGAAAGCTGGGTGGCAAATAAATAATCTATGCCATCCATGAACACTCATCTGAAACTTCTAAATTCGTTGCTGAAATGATTGCAGATAACAACAATGAGTCTAGGAAATTCTGATCTAAAATGTTTAATAATGTTGATCATGCGGCATGCCTCATTTTAGCAACGTAAAATCTTCATGTACTGTATCGAGATTAATCCAGCCTGAAGTAAAGGATAAAAAGACGGATTGATAATTTAGAATGGTTTGTGTTTCAGACCTCCTTTGAGGAAGATTTCCCTCAACCCTCCGCATGAATTCGACTACTTCATCAGAGCAAACACTGAATCACTGGTGAGTATGGTGTAGAATAGGTACGCACAATAGTAGTTTTAACTTTGTGATGAATCTTAAATTCTAGCGTTTTAGTCTTATTTAGGGCGTGTTAATGAGAATGAGTCCCTTACCCATCTTAGGGAGATCGTGGGCTACGAATTACGATATTTTCTTTTAGCGAATTTCCCTATAGGGAAGTAGCTATTACCGTAGGTGCCACGGTAGACCTAGGCCCGGGGCCGATTTACTTTTTCATTTTGATGTCCCCAGAGGCCAAACACCATTCGTTAAAATTTTTATATATGACTAACTTGAGTAATTGTCCGATTTTGATGAAATTTAGTTCAAAGGTGTAAGGCGGGATAAACTATTTATTTTTTTTATAGTCCCCGATTGTTCCCGCGGAGTTCCACGCATTTCAATACACTTGATGTCAAGCCATTTTCTCTCAGGAGCCTTGCAGCCTGACCATGAACTGAGCAGCATTCTCAATTTTAAGGAAGGGCGGGAAAATAGTCTCCTTTACCCAATTAGTGGACACATTTCAGCCAAATAGAAAGGGGTGTGCAAAAAAATAAATTGAGCTTTCAAACGAAATACTCTACCCAACCCACAAAGAAGGAATAAAGGTTATTATAGTTCGTTATTTATTGTCCTTACTTTTTCTTTCACCATTCCTTTGTTCTACAAGTATTTCCTCTTTTATTTCGCTTTACCTTTCCAATTTAGGCCAGTTTAGGCTATTCTCTTTGCCCAACCGTATCTAACGCTAAATAATATCCTGAGTTTTTAAAATAAAACATTGCCAATTTCGTGAAGTAGGCTAGTTTGTACTTGCTTCGACATTGTTGGCCAGTTTATGCCCGGGAATGTTTATAACATGGCGTCTTTTCCCGACATTGACCATGGCGCGACGTACTCTAGTTTGACTTCTGCCCTGGTTCATCAAATTGTTAGTCCATCTCATGCAATCTTTGCTGTTGTTGGGCCAACTCTATGCTCTGATTGACCTTAGCTTCCATCGTTTGTCGATAATTGGTGTGATGGATGTTTGTCCCCCCTTACCCGAATTCAGTCTGGTCCCAAATCGTCAACAGTGAACAGAGATTATGGTATGTCTGGTTTTGTTTTGTTTATAGTTTGTGTTTATTGATTTATTTTTTGGCATTAATTGGTCTTGATGGAATAGTTACATTGTTCAAGTGTTTAATAAAAAAAGTTTTATAAATATTCAGACATTTAAATGTCCTTGTCACACTTTGACTCAGTTTCAGACAACTCTGAATTTACAGCTTGTACCTAAACATTGTATACAGTTCTCTATGGTGGTTTTCTACGCAAATGACATTTTTTAATGGTTTTTGAAAGGTAAAGATTCAAAACCTAGTCTTGTACTGAATAAATACTTTCGACTTTCTGTAAGAAAGCATAAATTTGGTAGCTCAATTACTAACTACAACTGGGCCCATAATAGACTCTGGTTAGGATCGAACCAGCGACCTTTAGATTTGATGTCTAGCGCAACCAAACGGCTACTTAGAAAATCGGTGTAAAGTATTACTTGTAAGGGTTACAAAATGTCTTCGTGATACTTTGTCGCTGAATGGACTTGGTATTGTTCAATTGAAATTGTACTTCATTAATGTCTGGTGAGTTGAGTAATGCAGGTATATATTACATGAAAAGAATTTCATACATAAGTTACTAAGAGATAATCAGTCTCGTGTCAGATTTTTCGCCCTCTTAGTTCACACTGGGCTTGGGCTTAGGACTGGAGGAGCTGAATGATTACATTTAATGAGGGAGTCAATAATGCTACCAACGAATTACAACCCAAACCCAATCTCAGGGATCGTCATTGTTGTTGAGGGCTTGCATTTATCATAGTAAAGTACAGCTAAGTATATTAATTATTCCGATTTGTATGTATTATTACAAACATTTCAGTGGATACTATCAAAACGTTCGTTGTGATAAAGATTATTGTGCTTTTAAGTCACAAAAATTTGTCAATGACTATTCAACTAATTTATCATCTAAATGTTTGTTTGTGATTATTGATAAAACTGCCAAGAAATAATAACAAGGTAATACAATTTTACGACACTATACGAGTATCATGCAAATATTTCTAAATACAGTAGGCATACATTTTGCGAGTTTTATTTGCACAACTTATAACGTTGAAATTGACAAACCACCACATTTCACATTTTCACGATTTTACGTTAGAAATTTGTTCACAATTTCATCTCATATTACTAATATACGCCAACACTTAACACCAACTGAATTTTAATCTAACAATAAATAAACTAACAGATCCGTGGTTGACCTATGGATGGTTATCTCCAAATATTTCAAACAGATTATTTCGTGATTTATGAGAAGCTAATTGATAGTAAATATAATCGACGTACGAGACGTGATAACTTCATTCATGTGGAAGTATGGAGTGCAAGAAACAGGAGAAAATTCTCAGCATAACTATTAACAAGGTCGGTCCAACCAACATAAGTTGGAGGGTTTTATGTGTGTGTGTTTGTTTAATCTTTGTAAGAATATAGTGGAATATTGCCGTTCAATACGATAGAGTGGCCATACAAAAACTTGTATCTGGTGTTTTAGTTCGTGAATCAAATACGCTTGAATATGATAATCGTTTCTAAGTAAAACTAACCGTAAAGCAGTTTGTTTACAAACCATAGGCTCTTTGAGGCATTTAAAGTCGTTCCGAGACAGTGTTGTCGCTATCACTGATTTGACTATGTAATAGTAGTGGTTGACAGTAATATTACGTTTCAATAGGCTTTTTCCGTATCTTCTTCAGCCAACCGGGAAAGCAATTATATCGTCGTTTTCATTTTTACATTTTCGAGACTAGAGAGAACAGTCTAAACACTGGCCAAACAATCGATTTTTATAGCCTAACATGATCGATTGTTGAAAGCATAATTCAATCGATATATAGCCAACCCAGCGACGTGTTCCATGGGTGATGATACTCGAAAGGAGACAAAATGACGGATTATTTCACTTGTGATCTCTTAACTAGCGGCAACACTGAATTCAACACGCCGTACTCAATAGTATAATGTTTTTCCGCATTGCCCATGCAGTATTATAAAACCAGAATCTTGTTTCCATCTCGACTAGAAGGGTTGCCGTCTTGTTGTACCGGATTTTTGCGACAGGCGTCAAGTTGTGAACTTTACAGCCACAGAATAACGGAAGTGACGTAGATGTGTCCCTCTTTATACTGAGGTAGATTTATAGCCTGTAGGTTTACTTTGTTTGTGCTCTGAGTGCTAAGTAGGTAGGTGCTTTTATTTGAAAATCAATAGTAACATCTCAATATCATTCCAGGTATCAGACCAGGAGGGCGCTCCTCCGATTCTACCAGATTCCAACAAGCAGAGTAGTCTTGTCACAATGTAAGTAAATACCTCGAATATCTTCCCTCAGTTAAAGCCGTAACTACATCACAAACATTAATATACAATTATAAATACGATAGCATAGCGTTCTGATAAATCTATTGGGTAAAACTCCAATTGAATCCACTTGTCTCACATACCACATTCAGGGTACAAACTATAAATTATGATGGACTAATTGACGTAGATGTTGGATCATTTGAGGAGATTTAAAAGCAATTGTATATTCTAAGATAAATATTATACGCACAGTATACAGTGGAACATCGATACCAACCCTTGATAACAAATACCCTAGAATTTATTGCCCTAATCACATGTTATTGCAAACCTCGATAAGAAGTTAAATTAGACAACATTTGAAGAAAAACTATCTCTTGGTTACAGTCTGCAACTGAAGGATCAGCTTTTATATTACAATTTAAATTTAAACCGTTATAAAGAAAGTTGGTAACCAACACTGGATTTTTTAAAGTGTAAGTGTACGTCCTGGTAATTTGTTGATACAAAAATTAGTTTGTTGTTAATAACACTAGCATACAAAAATATGCCTGAATCAATGCTGCAGTCAGTGAGGCCCCAACTAGGGATTTACTTGCATGGTCGACCCAAGCATTTTCTTGTTCAACAAGAAGGGGATTAGTTCCTTGCACGAGTAGGACCGAGGAGCGCAAGGTACCTCTGCGCCCCTCAGTCCTACCATAGATAAAAGGAGTGTCCTACCCAAACGAATTCTTCGGCCGAGGGATTGACAGTTTTATGACTTGTGCTAATCTGTCCGTTTCCCACTGTAATAACCCTATTTTAATTACCATAAAAAAATTACTTCTTGCTAAACAGCACCATTAATATTACATCCATGGGTTCAAACTAACAGTTTTATTATTTCGTAGGTACTTATAATAGGCTTGAAACATAGTATACTATTTTTATAGGTTACTGCAACACACTATGTATGTAAATCCGCGTAATTTAGTAATAGCGTGCCGAACATATCGTGTAAGTGTAACGCATAATAATAAACTCCTTGTTATCAGGAGAAGTATGCAGGGGTAGTGCGGGTGGTACTGGTATCGACCCAGGTCAATGTCCCGTCTGACACACTTTGTCGACCCACATCCCACTTCCCCGTTCACGTCTGGGTATGTCGGTAGACGGACAACGGCCCAGATCTTTGTTTGGGTTAATCCCCTGATTTATAGCCTGAGGGTAGTGGTCACCGGAGGAGAGATGGGGAATCGAGAATTCTGAATCCCACCGGAGGCGTTAACTTTTATGTTAGAATTTATAATCTTATCAGAACTATTTTTATTAGTTAACCTTTATTAGATTTTGTTATTATCAGCAAGTTTGGTTGGTTTGGTTAGGTTATGATAGTTTAATTTTTTAATTACAAAATTATAAAATTGAATTTTAGGCATTTGTAATTTTATTCTATGATCAGAACAATTTTTTTGATTAGTAAACTTTTATTTGATTTTTCATTATCAGCAAGTTTGGTTAGGTTATGACAGTTAAATTAAATTTAAATTTAACCTACAAACGATAAGTTTTGACAGTGACGGTGATAGAGCTAACAATTTGCCGCGACCAGTTCGGCTATGCACGGTATGGTGCGGAAGCGTTCGACCACTTCGACACCAACCTAGAACTGACAGGTCAACTGACCGTGATTAAGAGGATTACATCCTGGGTCATGTGCCTACACCCGGGTATGTCTGGTAGTACTTGTTATCAAGGGAGGTATGCAGGGGTAGTGCGGGTGGTACTGGTATCGACCCAGGTCAATGTCCCGTCTGACACACTTTGTCGACCCACATCCCACTTCCCTGTTGACGTCTGGGTATGTCTGGTAGTACTTGTTATCAAGGGAGGTATGCAGGGGTAGTGCGGGTGGTACTGGTATCGACCCAGGTCAATGTCCCGTCTGACACACTTTGTCGACCCACATCTCACTTCCCCGTTCACGTCTAGGTATGTCTGGTAGTACTTGTTATCAGGGGAGGTATGCAGGGGTAGTGCGGGTGTTACAGGTATCGACCCAGGTCAATGTCCCGTCTGACACACTTTGTCGACCCACATCCCACTTCCCCGTTCACGTCTGGGTATGTCTGGTAGTACTTGTTATCAGGGGAAGTATGCAGGGGTAGTGCGGGTGGTACTGGTATCGACCCAGGTCAATGTCCCGTCTGACACACTTTGTCGACCCACATCCCACTTCCCCGTTCACGTCTGGGTATGTCTGGTAGTACTTGTTATCAGGGGAGGTATGCAGGGGTAGTGCGGGTGGTACTGGTATCGACCCAGGTCAATGTCCCGTCTGACACACTTTGTCGACCCACATCCCACTTCCTCGTTCACGTCTGAGTATGTCTGGTAGTACTTGTTATCAGGGGAGGTATGCAGGGGTAGTGCGGGTGTTACAGGTATCGACCCAGGTCAATGTCCCGTCTGACACACATTGTCGACCCACATCCCACTTCCTCGTTCACGTCTGGGTATGTCTGGTAGTACTTGTTATCAGGGGAGGTATGCAGGGGTAGTGCGGGTGTTACAGGTATCGACCCAGGTCAATGTCCCGTCTGACACACATTGTCGACCCACATCCCACTTCCTCGTTCACGTCTGGGTATGTCTGGTAGTACTTGTTATCAGGGGAGGTATGCAGGGGTAGTGCGGGTGTTACAGGTATCGACCCAGGTCAATGTCCCGTCTGACACACATTGTCGACCCACATCCCACTTCCTCGTTCACGTCTGGGTATGTCTGGTAGTACTTGTTATCAGGGGAGGTATGTGGGGGTAGTGCGGTTGGTACTGGTATCGACGCAGGTCAATGTCCCGTCTGATACACTTTGTCGACCCACATCCCACTTCCCCGTTCACGTCTGGGTATGTCTGGTAGTACTTGTTATCAGGGGAGGTATGCAGGGGTAGTGCGGGTGGTACTGGTATCGACCCAGGTCAATGTCCCGTCTGACACACTTTGTCGACCCACATCCCACTTCCCCGTTCACGTCTGGGTATGTCTGGTAGTACTTGTTACTAGGGGAGGTATGCAGGGGTAGTGCAGGTGGTACTGGTATCGACCCAGGTCAATGTCCCGTCTGACACACTTTGTCGACCCACATCCCACTTCCCCGTTTACGTCTGGAGGGTATGTCCGGTAGTACTCGTGTTATCAGGGGAGGTATGCAGGGGTAGAGCGGGTGGTACTGGTATCGACCCAGGTCAATGTCCCGTCTGACACACTTTGTCGACCCACATCCCACTTCCCCGTTCACGTCTGGGTATGTCTGGTAGTACTGGTTATCAGGGGAGGTATGCAGGGGTAGTGCGGGTGGTACTGGTATCGACCCAGGTCAATGTCGAGTCAGTTTTTAAGTTTGAGGCGAAGTCGAGCTAAAGATAAAGATAAAACCTATCTCGAGTTGGCAAAATTCATTTTCGGCCTAGGAACGAAATATACTATTAAAAAATGTTATTCAAGAAAATTATATCATCACTTTTTAACGGTATTTATGAAAGCAACCAACAGTGTCATTCTACACAGCGTCATAGGGATTTGAAAATCTGACACCTTCTAATCGCATCGAAGGCATAGATACAATACATAAAAACAATTCTCAATTTCACAAAGGTCCTCTGAGATTGGTTATATGGCTATACAACTCAAGGACACTCATTCGATGAAGAAAATATACTTGATATTTTTCAGTTACTTTAAGTACAATACATTCTTTCAACCCAATTTCCAAATTTCAATCTGGAGTTTCCAAAGTGATCGATTTCAATTTTGCAGAAACAATACCCCATTCCACGAAACACTTTGTGAAGAGTTTTAATTAGCAACCAACTCTGAATCGACTGCTCTTGGTGATTTGCATAGACAGAAAAGAAGGCGCAATGTAAAAAGTCTGAGTGAGGGAGAGGAAGGCAACGACCGACGGTGTTGAGGGTTGAGGGGGTCGGGGGATCGAACGAAAGCGAGAGTGTCTGTGTGAGCGGGAGCGGGTGGTTGAGGGGGGGGGAGGGGATTAAGGTCTGGGGTCAATGTCCGCCCTTGACATCCGCGACCTGTCCTCATCTCTAATGTAACTCTGTAATTGTAACGACCGTCTAAATCTGTACCACTTTTTAGGTCATTCAATCTTTAACTTGTGAACAAATTTTCGCGATTATTTTGTTATCTTACTAATATTATATTTTAAATAAGTTACATTTAAAATCTAACATTTTTGTCCCACCAAGGTAAAGGTTTCAAAATATGCATAACATGGTAGCTGTAATAGTTAATAATTTCTCTTAGGTTGCATTCGAGGACAATTGTATGGATTCATATAAATATGGTTCAAATACTGTAGTTTTATTAATTGTCTGGTAATAGCAGGTTAGGTACTTACATTTGAAAAGTAAATTAAAATGACATAATTTTATAATATTTGTGCTTTGTTAATCTCGTGTTTTAGTAAACAAAATTTCTTAATAAAGAAAGATACATTTATAGGCTACATCGATTTTTAAACTATTCATTGTGTTTGATTAACTAAAAAATTGGAAATAGACTTCTTAACCTTTACGTGGACCCTATCTAGAGTACTGTTAAAACAAGTAAACATTGGTCAAAAATAAAATTATAGAATTTGAAATTAACATTTTATTTTATTCTTGAATTGATTGAAAAACAAATGCATGCATAAAAATCTTTTAAGAACTTTCATTTGGAATAAAAATTTAATTTTATGTAACTACGATTACAGTTTTATTTTTCAAATTTTACCATCGATAATATCTGATGACATACACGGACTAACCAATAGAAAAATTCCTGCACATCAGCACTTTTTGCAAAATGTTATAAAACACGTAACAAAAGATTTCCAGCTAAATTACATTACATGGGTAATATTTTTAAGTTATTGTAATAAGCAAACAGAAATTAATGGCAAAATTACCTGTAAAGGCGCCTGCGGCCGCCGAGGCACAGTCGGCAAATGGTTGGTACAAGGATTTCCCGCCAGGGCGGGGAAATGCGACACCATGTCGTCCTGAAAACATTCTATCTACATATTACTTTTTTGAGCTATTTCACTAGTTGGAAGTGTTTCTGAACCAATAACCTTCAGCCAAGAAACTCACTTGAACTCCGTGGCACTTTGTTAAAACTTATCACATGTATATTTGTAATCAACCGTAGTTTATGAAACGGCTAGTATGATTGCGGTGGCAAGGTCAATGCCTCCTGTTGCTATGGCGACGACAAGCGCAAGCGGGAAGCGATTCATCTGGCTGTGGCTGTAACGTCAACATCCCGATATAGCGGGCCGCGCATACTCCCTGTCTGTGTACTTCCTGATATCGTACTCCATCCATACCCTCTCTCACTCTCTACCAAACCCAAACCCAGACGGTTTTATTTGGGGTTGATGCTCCCACTACAAGACTCCCTGTCCGATAATAGGAACGTTGACATCGCCTAGCCTTTTCCCAATCATAACAGCACATCGATTATGGATATTTTTGACGTTGTGAACGGGTATGAATTGGTTTCCAATTAGATAATAGTTTGATTCAGAATGGTTAGAGTTATGAAAAATAATGAGCCAATTACCCACCAAATTAATTTTACTTTATTGAAGGACGAATGAAGGACATTTTGGATTAAATAAGTAAAACAATATCTGACAATTAACATGACTTTTTCAATTTTTTTAATTATTCTTTTATGGAACACATTAATCATGCCTCCCTACTCAAACACAATACTGTTGCCTTCAAAGCCCCAACATTTTGAGATACTATTCCGTGTTACACAATATTTTATACATTTTTCCCATATAGGGAATTAGCTAGCCATTACCGTGGGTCTCATGGTAAGACCTAGACCCGGCTGACCCGGGATCGATTTACTTTTTTGTTTTGAGGTCCCCAGAGCCCTAAAACACTCGTTAAAATTCATATATATATATATTTGTGCGTCCGTTAGCGCGATAACTCTAGCAAAAAAGATCAGATTTTGATTGAATTTGGTACAAAAGTGTGAACCTACATTTATTCAAACGCGTTTGCAAACCAGCATGTAAAAATTGGTTTTCCCCATTTTTGACCCTTAAAACACAAAATTTCACAATTTCTTTCCAAACCATTTTGTAGAGCTTAGAAAAGGAATAATTTTGTATATTGAAGCGTTGTTGCATGCCTAACCATTACGGAGATAATTGAAAAATTCTAAATTTAAAATTCCCATGTTATTCTTATGGAGTATAATAAAACTTTTGCAGTTTGCTTGTTTATGGATACAGTATATTTTAATCAAGTTTGGCAATTTTGTTTATTTCATGCTAAACTGTCAACATTTTAAAAGAAAATAAAAACACCTCAATACCTTCCCTGTAGCAGCAAACCCAATGAATCATAAAATTAATGTTATTTAAATAGGAAATAAATTTGTCAATTTCAAGGGAATATTCTAGCAGAAATAATTCAGCCAGGTCAATGGAAATTCACTTATTTTGCAGGTTCTGCAGTGGGGGCAGGGCCGGATCTACAAAATATGGGCCCCCTGCAAAAATCCTCCAAGGGCCCTTAGAGCTGGCATCAATAGCAGGGAGGCCTTATTTGCGGGAGGGGGGGGGATGTTTAAAATGTATGTAGCTGAAACTGAATTTTAACGCTATTTTAAAGATAAAATATTGATCCTGTTTGTAAAAAAACATTTTCGTTAAAATGCGGAATTTTGTAAAATTATGTACTAAAAAAAAAACAGCAAACTTCGAATAAAGCTTTTTTATTCTTATGTCAATAGGATTTCTTAGCCTTTCAAATAGGTTTACAAATTATAAAATACATATTGTACAAAAAAAGTAAAAGGTTTTACATAAACAATTTCAAGAATAAATAATAATGTATAATAATAAACAAACGACTCAATTTAAACTTAGTTTCTTTTTACACTACTCGTATATTTTCAAGATAGGTAGGCCTACATACAAATCATGGTTCCAGAGGGTGGGGCAGAGGGGCCAAAGCCCCGGGGCCCTGCCCGGGCTCTGAAGGGGGCCCAGCCTGGTCAAATGTGAATTGTGAAATATTTTCTGTACATCTGCTAAAATCAAAGATTTTAGCATGGTTTTTCAGTTCACATATTAATTTTTGAGTGGAATAAAGTTGCAACTAGGAGCAAGAGAATTAATCAAACTATTATGCGTTTTAGATATATTGTTAAATGTTTAACAAAACGGCACGGAGGCGGCTAGACACTAAATCGGGAAAATAGGGGGCCGGAGATCACTCAGCTCAGAGGCCCGTGACGGCTCTCTCTGGCCCTGAGGTCGTTAGATAACGCTACAGAGGTTATTATAAGTCCCGCCTGTACTACAGACTTATTGCTCAGCTCAACTGATAGTTGACTAAGTTGACACTACGTCCACGTCGATCGGACTGTAGTGGATCTGTGAAGCGTGCACTGCAGCTGACGAGCTGACTGGACTGAGCTGAGCATACAGACTGGACTGACTGAAAGTGACAGTAAACCACAGATTAAACTGTCTACGCTACGGCGAGGTCCCGAGTTGTTGACGAGTAAAATCAGTAGGTCTAAATTTACTCAATAATTGTAACTTTAGCTTTGATATTGACAATATTTGTCTGTCAAAACTAAACTTACCGTCCTATTCAATTATGTTTATATGCATTAAAATAATTTTAAATTACAGAGCTCTTTGGGCCCCCTAAGGGCTTGGGCCCCCCTGCATTGCGGGGTTTCGCGGTTCCTAGATCCGGCCCTGAGTGGGGGTATTTATCATTTAACTGCTCTGAATATGGCGCTCTGTAATGAGCTTGAAACACTAATAAATAGGTTAGATACCTTATTTTCACGTCACCAATCCTAGTAGTTTTTTTTTCAGGATGACTTTAGTTTCAAGTCTTACAGTCCTGTTGTCAAATCGTATGTTTTCATTAATTGTTGTTAAAACACAAGTCGTCCCAGTTCCACACATAATACACAGAGTTTTACAAGGCCGGCCTAAACAAACTACTTCGTGCGGACTGGTACACTGACTGATAAAAGTTCAGTGGTACACCTGTTCCTAATGTGTTGGTATGTTCAGATTTGTACTATGGAACTCCATGGTGAGGACCTCACTGTTGACTACTTCCTGGGGGCTAGAGCGAGCTGGGTTTGCCATGGGGTTAGTGCTGGTGATGGGGATGGGTTTGCACATGTTCATAATGTGTTGTTATGTCCAGATTCGTACTATGGAACACCATGGTGGGGACCTCCCTGTTGACCATGCCCTGAGGGCTAGAGAGAGCAGGGTTTGCCATGGGGATATTGCTGGTGATGGTTTTGCACCTGTTCATAATGTGTTGGTATGTCCAGATTCGTACTATGGAACACCATGGTTGGGACCTCCCTGTTAACCATGCCCTGGAGGCTAGAGAGAGCTGGGTTTGCCATGGGAATATTGCTGGTGATGGTTTTGCACCTGTTCATAATGTGTTGGTATGTCCAGATTCGTACTATGGAACACCATGGTGGGGACCTCACTGTTAACCATGCCCTGGGGGCTAGAGAGAGCAGGGTTTGCCATGGGGTTAGTGCTTGGGGATGGGGATGGTTTTGCACCTGTTCATAATGTGTTGGTATGTCCAGATTTGTACTATGGAACACGATGGTGGGGACCTCCCTGTTGACCATGCCCTGGGGGCTAGAGAGAGCAGGGTTTGCCATGGGAATATTGCTGGTGATGGGGATGGCAACATTGTGCTGCTACACAGCACACTGCGTGGTGTCCACACAGGCTGCTTACGGTAAGATAGTCTACAGATATTATTTGTAGTTGTTAATGTTTTGTACAACCTTTAACTAATGATAAAAGAGGACATCTCATTCCCTTAACACACTCACCACCAGGTCACACAAGAGAAGAGTCCTCATACAGAGGAGTGTAAAGGCTGGAAGGCCAAACCACGTTAATGCTCAAGTTAGTTTTAGAATGAAAATCAATGTACGTCTTTAGCAATGAGTCTAAATAACAAAATCTAGCTGTGAATACTAAGCTACTAAGAGAAGTAAAACAAGCGTACAGCAGGTCTTTTAGTGCTCCCTATGCATGGCCACAAAACTTATTGCACTATCTCAAAAGTCAAAAGTTTGATTTGATTTAACCACATTCTTAGGCAATCATATAACAGAACCCAAAACGATAAAGCAAGAACCTAACGAGAACACACTGGATGAAAAATGATTGATTCATTCTTGAAAATATTGATGTTTGTTTAAAGACTAAGAAAATATTTATCTTTATGTTTGCCCGTGTTTTAGCAATACACTCAACTTTTTCTGACAGAAAATACAGCTATAGTAGAACCTTGCTCCATCACCTATGGAACTGGGAGCATGGTCGGAACAGCAAAAAGGTAAAATTATCAGAGGAACGCGTTTATTGACGTACTGTACTAATCAAAAGGACTTTTTTTATGCACAGACTTTGATTTACCTGTTTTCAATCTTAACATGTTTCATCATATTGCAGGGCCGCCAGGAGGAGAGATATCCGAGCTGACTCGCCATCTGTTGGGTCGTAAGGCTGAAATTCTTTCCAAGATATTCTCCTACATTGTGTTGGCTGGAGCTCTCATAGTCTACTGGATCCTAATGACTAACTTCCTCTACTTCATCGTTGACTTCATTTACAGTATGTTGAGAACTGTCATAAATAATATTACTCTATGGACTGTAGTATGTTTGTTGTATAGTTTCTTGAAGGCCCTCAGACTTCGTTTAAGTTAACCTTTAAAGATAATTAAGTAAACATGCACAAGTTACTTCATCTTCAACTATAACAAAAATAACTCTCCTTCACAATGTTGAGAAAAAGCGGCTTGAGTGAAAGGTTCATTCGACCAACTGCAAATGACAGCTCAAGGATTATTTAACTTACAGGGAATTTCCTCAAGCAATAACTATTGTACTGGAAAAATTAATGAATAGTAGTAGATTGTGTTTAAAGCCAGAAATGATGTTTAAGTTTACTTGTACGGTAGATGAACATTTAAATCTCATTTGTCCTGAAATACCGTACTGTTTAACTCAATGTTCAGTACCTATATTCTGTATTCTAATAAAAAATTTAAAATAAAACCTTTGACATCTAATTTTGTGATTTTTTATTCCAGCTGAAATTAGTGGAGGTTTTGACCAATCTACCATCAACGGCACAGGTACGTTAGAAAATTTAACACAGTAGTTGATATGGTAATAATAGCATACCATTCACTGTACAGAATCTTTTCTGCTCATTGTTTTCCAGCATGACTGTGAGACTATTTTAACATTTTAAAATACAAAAAATATATCTTCTGTCAAGATTTTCAAAGAAAACCCTACATACCTAACCATCCGGAACTATTTGGTAGTAAAGCTCTTTCTTTGTAAGGATTTTATTTAATTTTAATCATTATTTATTCTTTGAGTACCGGTAGCCTACTTCTAAAGGTTGTGGAATGAACAATTTAAACATTGGACATGGGAGAATTTTTGAACAAGAAGGGTAAACTAACTTGAATATTAAGATTCAAATATTTAGTTATAATTTTGTTTAGAGTTTGAGCGCCTTTAACCTTTACTGTTTTCAGTGAGATGCTTCCCTGAGGCCGTTGCTACTAACGTTACTATAAGCAGCGAGCAAACAACATTCCAGAAGTGGTGGAGCCTCAACTTATCAGTACCAATATACCTTGCGTTGCTGGTCGGTCCACTGCTGAGCTTCAAATCCGTCACGTTCTTCACAAAGTTCAACTCATTAGGTGAGTTGGTTAGTTGTAACAACGGTTTGTATACAATTATAGCAAGCTCTAGGCTCCAGTGGCAAGAGGTCGACATATTGGATGATACAGGCTTAACACGTTGACTGCTGAAAACAACGCACAGGCGCTCCCCAGTGGCGGGCGAAGCCCCGCCACGCAACCGAATCAGCCAACGCAATTGGCATTCAAATATTTCAGTCTGACGAATCACAAAAGAGCAGTGGTGACTGTGCTGCGTTACCCCGAGAGTGGATGTAGTTCACTGAAACACCCAAAGGTAGCAGCACTGCACGGATCCGTATCCAGTGTCTTTGTAATGTGGGTTGAAGAGAAAAAATCCCCGAAACCGGGACAAAAGCATTGCCAGATAGGATTTTAAGGGAAATTTTAGTACCAACCTACACCAAAGTAAAGCTCGCATTCTAAGCTGGCAGGCTGGCAACGATTATAAGGTCTCCCTCTGAGGCTAAGCTCACACTGACTTAATATATTTCTGTTGGTCTGGTGCCGACTTTTGTCGGCGCGCGCCACATTGAAGTGCTAGCGACGCAGTCAATGTGTTAAGATTGTTTCTAACAAACTAGTATGACTTAGTATAGTAAGCCTCTCAGATCTAGGGCACCATGGTCACCCATATATTTCATATACTGTATATGAATAGACAAATCCTATGGCACTTGTTAAACTTGAGCTCTTCCTGTGGCTGTACTTCTTTCTTAAAGTTGTACTTATTCTCTAATTGGAGCTGGTGAAGCACATCAGAAATGTCGGGAATCCGTTGCTCACCAAGTAACTAAGTAAGCTCAAACCAAACTCCAAGCACACCATTGAGGAAGCCTGTTTCCTATGTACCACTAGGGTAAGCAAGGAATCTAAAAAAAATGTTCAGTAATAATTTACAAGCTAGTTAATTAATGGCCAAAGTATGTGTTTGTTTACCTATTAGTAACTAGCGGAATACCCGTGCTACGGAAACTTTCAAATTGGTTGAAATTTTTGATAAATTATCTATCGCCACTGAGCTATCTCCTTCATAGTATATTTTCGGATTATATGTCGTTGCTGATAGATTTTTCACCATCCATTGAATCTTTAGCGAATGTCTTTCAGGATGTTTGTTCATACTTTTTGCTTGCGTTCTTTACCTGCTTTTTCCTTTGTTTGTCTGTGCATCTACTACGCCGTTTACAAATGAAAATTTAAAAACGTACGTTTTCATGTCCCTGGCCTTTTACTTCGTAGATACTGGATTTGTAGTTTATTATTATGTGTTTTAATATTTTTTTGGGACGGGGGCAACATGTTACACACATTTATTTGGTTTTAAATAGGTTATAGGTATTTTTTTCGTATTTTTAAAGTCTCGAAATTCACGACCATGACGTGTCCCTAGGGTACATTTTCCAACTTTCACGCTGTTTTTAAACTAATTATTCATGCCGAAATATGTAAAGCCGTATTTTGATGTCATCAATGGTTATTAAACTTACAAAAAAGGAGCATATTATAATTTTATTGTCATTACAAACTGACTACCATGACAAAATAAGTCTGTCCCTCGATTCGGCGTCACGACCATTTTGGAAAAATTTTCAACTTTGGAGCACGACAGTGCCAAGCCTGGCGTCGATGGAGTCAGTTGGTTTTAGATACTAGTTCGGGGTGTACGTCAGGATTGTAGTGCCGGTCATTTCGAGTTGAAAGGAGGAATTACAAGATTAATAAAGGAAAGATTGTGTTTTTTGTAATTTTGGTGTGTCCATGACCGTACGTAGTCATTCGATGAAGTAGACATGGTGTTAATTTTTGTTTATAAGATATTTCAATTGCTAGATTAACCTCGAAGTCCACTTTGTATCCTCGAACATGAGGTGCAGGGCTACCGCCAGAACAGAGCCAAATAACACGTAATTTCACGACCAAAGTTTCACGACCATCGCGGGTTTTTTCACGACCAATCCAGCCTTATGGATTAAAGTGTGTTTGGTCGTGACAATAACTTTAATATAATTGTAAATTGAACAGTTTAGTTCAATTGAAACACATATTTTTATTATAACTAACAGGATAATTGAAGGATTGTTTAGAAAGATTTAGATTATTCCAGAAAATTCACGACCGTACCGCTTGTCCCTGACCATCACATTTATGATTTCTATCATAAAAATTTCAAAAATTAAAATATCGTCATATTTCAATGTTTTGTACACAAAAGAAGCACACTTCTATACAAACATAACAATTTTTTGGGTCTCAGGTAAGTTTTTTCAAATTTATACAAACTTTAAAAGATTTTATTGGCTTTTTTTCAATTTTTTGAGTCTTTTTATTTTTTTCTAGAAAGACCAAATATACCAAAAGCTCATGTACTGTCACTGTCGCTGTTACTTGTATTGTCATAAAAGTAAATTAGTTTATAGCAAAACATAGTTATAAAAATAATATTAACTATTTTTAATATTCATTTAAACGTCCGTTATGGTCGTGACAGGATTTTGTGTTTTTCCACTAAAGATGCTCTTTTAAAAAGAAACTACCAAAGATATTGCGTTACCATGGAAATTTTATGAAACTTAAAATGTTAATAAAATAAAAAAAAATAATAAAAGTTTCGAAAAAAGAGGAAAAAAATTTGCAAAGTGCTTTTTCTGAAAACGTACGTTTTTAAATTTTCACTCTTACGCCTTGGACTGACAATTGGGAGAAACAGGCTCTTTAGTGGCTCTAAAACGACAAAGTGCCTGCCTGACAGGGTTTGTGTGAATCTGAGCCTTTTCACGTGATTATGTTCATCACCAAACTTGACCTATAATTCATCATTCCGATAAACCTCGAAAACAAATGTGAATAGTTGTGAAGCTGCAACCAGCTTACACAACCGACCAAGGTTTAATGGCTTAGAAATTTCATAGAAGTATTCCCTAGAATTAAGGTAATTGTTCCCCCCACTGTCGTGGGATAAGATTGAGAAGTAGTCCCAGTTCCTCACAACATGTTCAACAATTGATCGCGCACAATTAGTGTATGTAACGTGAATTATGAACGAGGGTGAATTAAACAAACATGCACCATCTCCTCTGATGTGAATGATATTGTGTGGAACGAACTAGCCATAAAGATTTAAAACCTCAGTGTCCATACAATGAAACGGTTTAAACAACTACAAAAATATTAACAAAACTATATCATAAGTTCTTAAAAATTAAAATGCAATAAAAAACTAAGACCAATTCTACTTACTTCAACACTCACACATATTAGAAGTTGATAAAACTACTGACACACAACTATGATGTTTATATGGTCCGAAATAACCTTAGTAAACTTAGCCTAATTTAAACAACTGATGATTAAATAAATTGCAGACAAATGTAAACAAAAACCCAAAACAAATTATTCTTCCTAAATTGACTCCATGCTAACTTTGACCTTCTGTGGGGTGGGGCCTATTGGGAATTCGGTAAAATCGCTTCTTATTGTCTGCCTACGCTATGAGAGGAATATGTATGCAAAATCTCATGCTTCTAGGTGCTATGGTTTGACCTGTGGGTTGGTCGGAATTTCACATTTATATAGAGAGATCTGTATTATGTAGGAAGTGTTGTTTATCTGAAAAAACAGCTGACCATCTGCTTTCCGACTAAAAGTGTGGGACTGACTGAGCTTTATTTTGAATTAAAGAATATTCAAACATTAGAATCAACAGATCCCACCAACAGATGACTTTACAAGCCATGTCTGTCTGCAGGAACACTGTCCCTCATGTATCTCATGGTGTTTGTGATGGTGAAGGCCTTTAACTCCGGATGGAACCTCAATCTGTCAGACCCCTCAAGTCCGAACTACGCCAAACTTTTCAAGACCTCCTTCTTTGCCACATCAGGGATGCTGGCCATGTCATATTTTTTGCAAAATATCGTCATAACCATAATGAGAAGTAATAGGAACCAGAAAAACAATGTGAGTAGTTTTAGTTTTATATTCTAGTAGTAAAAGTTTATTATTATAGAATTTTAGTTTATATTTAGACATTTTAAATATGTACAAATGTCTACAGGTAATTATGAGGGTGGGACCGAGTTAGCGGTGACTGTTTAAACAAATTATAATTTAAAGTACAGTTCTAGAATATGTCATCATTAGGCACTTTTCAGATCTTTAAACTTGCTTTTCTGTACTACTGAGAGGGTTAGATCATATGAAAACTATAGTTTTAAATATATATTGTACAGGACTTTTATGTTACAGACCAGAGATCTAGCGATAGCGTACAGTCTTGGTATGGGGACATACCTCGTCATTGGAATATTGTTTTACGCTTCATTCCCTCTTCGTAAATCATGCATTGCAGATGTAAGTAATCTACAAAAAATTAGATCAGATTTCTACTTTTATAAATTTAAAATGATTATGACATGACAAAAATATAATTCATTTTAAAAAACTAACTATTTCTTGTGTATATATTACATCCATTGTAAACAGTAACTATTTCACAGTCAAGTGACATATTCTATCTTTTTTTTTTAAGGGAAGTATGACACAATTGCATTTCTTCTAGTTCATACATAGTTAAATTGAATTGACCAACAAACATAGGCCTAGTGTTGTGATGTCAATTACTGATTTATGTAGAATAGACCATAAACAATGCAAACTGCCAGAACATTTTATTATAGTAACAAGATCGATGGGATGGGGTGAACCGAATCTGAATAAGTTAGAAGCCTAATTACCATTAGTTTTTCTTCCTCTTGAGAAAATACAGTACAACCGCCATAATTTAGTTTTGACTGTTGTAGATGTTATATACTGTAGGCTCATTCAAATATATTATTCTTAATAAAAAATTGTCTTCAGCTTATCCATTTACATAGGATGTCAACTTCAATATCCTAAAGTCAATTTATTACAGAACCTGCTAAACAACTTCGCCAGCTGGGACGTCGGCACTTTGGTCGCTCGTGTGTTCCTGTTCTTTCAGCTGGTCACTGTGTATCCTCTAATCAGCTTCATGTTGCGCTACCAAGTCATGACTGCATTCTTCGCCAAGCCCTTCCCCAGCAGACTGCATGTCATAGCGTTCAACGCAGTCGTTGTCATTGTTTGTGTTCTTTTTGCGGTGTTTCTACCAAAGATCGGAACTATCATCAGGTAAAATCAGTATTCTTGCAGATTACACATACTTTTTATGCTAAATATTTTTAATGGAATACCATTTATGTTTGGAGTTTTCCGTCATCAGCCTCTATAATTATTAAGATATGATTCTGTTAGGTACATTGACTTGCATGGTTTCAACTAGCACTGTTCAGAAATATCTAGTACATAATATAACAAACATAAATAAATTTGAATATCTCTGTAAGGACACTGATGCTAAGTAAGTTCACTGTGTTCTAAAGAAGGTTAGTCCTAACTAATTCTGCAGTTGATTCACATGACATACAAAGTAGTTGAACCTTGAAAAGGACCATCTGTAGGAAAAGGATATATGTTATGAAATCCAACTGCAGTAGAACCCCGCAAATCTGTTACCTACTGGACCATACAGAGAGAAGGTCGGAATATCCGAGTAGCATATTAAATGGCCAAATAAATTGCTTAACTGACATTCATTGATCGTGGAAGACAATAATAATTTTCTCATAACCGTGGGAGACGTTCAATATTTAGCCACGATAGCAGAGGATGACGATGAATGTTTCCGTGATCGTGGAAAACATTGATGATGTTTCCATGATCACAGGTGATAAACGAGATTTTTTCAGGGTGTCTAGTTTATTTCCATTATAAAATTCAAGACTAATTCCAGACTTTTCAAGACTAATTCCAAATTTTTCAAGACTAGTTTTTCAACAATTAGTGGGTGTTAATACCAAAATGTATAGATTCTCAATTCTTGATACCGATACCAATTTTTATAGCTTAACCAAATTTTCTAAATAATACTACACCAACCCCTGTCTTTGTCATAAAGAAGTATTATGATAATGTGGTGTTTTCAAGTAAAGAAATAATGCAGCAATAAAAAATTCTAACTAGCAAATTTGGTTTTTTTTATCATGAAATCTTCCGCGTACCGTACGTTTAGACATCATCATTGACTGCAGCGGTTACAGAAACGTGATCGTCGTCTCCCGCGGTCACGGAAACATCATCGTCATCTCCCGCGGTCACGACAACGTCATCGTCATCTCCCACGGTCACGGAAACGTCATCGACATCGTCATCTCCCACGGTCACGGAAACGTCATCGACATCTCCCGCGGTCACGGAAACGTCATCGTCATCTCCCGCGGTCACGGAAACGTAATAGTCGTCGTCCGCGATCGCGACAAAATCATGAACAATTCCCGCGGCCAAGCAGATATCATCGTCGTCTCCCGAGGTCACGGAAACGTCATCGTCGTCTCCCGCGGTCACGGAAACGTCATCGTCGTCTCCCGAGGTCACGGAAACGTCATCGTCGTCTCCCGCGGTCACGGAAACGTCATCGTCGTCTCCCGCGGTCACGGAAACGTCATCGTCATCTCCCACGGTCACGGAAACGTCATCGACATCGTCATCTCCCACGGTCACGGAAACGTCATCGTCATCTCCCGCGGTCACGGAAACGTCATCGTCGTCGTCCACTATCGCGGCAAAATCGTGAACATTTTAATATCTAACATTGTCAGATACCCACAACATTGTTTCTTTATTATTTAATTGGTGTTATACCTTACAGGCCGTGTAGACATCATCATCGGCTTTCGCGGTTACGTAAACGCAAGACGACGATCGCGGAAAAATCATGAAAATTCCCGACTTTGAAATCAAATTTAAGACTAAATCCCGACTTTTCAAGACCATTTTGAAATTCAATACTAATTCCCGACTTTCCCGATTTTCCCGACTACTAGACACCCTGTTTTTTGCTGTGACTGCGAGGGACGGTAATCATCTTCATTCATTCATTGCAAATAGTCACGATATTACCATGATAACATTGTCACGATTATGGCACGGTTAGGAGTGGGACTGGCCGAGGTCAGGGATTAGCGGAGTTCTACTGTACTTCAAGAAGAAAACCTCCATTTGGTAGGCTGTTTATAATATAGGTTTATGGGACTAATACCTGGAGATAGGTACAGTAGTTCCCTCTTGTTCGGTCATCTCTGGGCTAAACTTTAATAAGTTTGACTCAACAGAAGATATTAATTGAAACGTATCACCACTAGACATTACGTGTGCATTGGTACTTTTAGCGTGGAGGCCTAAAGTAGTTCAACCTTCAAACAGTGCTAGAAGAGCCAGTTTTTAAATGGTTGTTAGCAAGGATATAGATGAATATAACATGATTGTTAGTGCATGAAAATTAAACGTTATTTGTTTGTTAACTGTCTGAGCAAGGTAAATTTTTTTCAATTTGTAAAATTTTTAAATCTTTATCTATATTTTGTATTACAGTTTTAAACAAATACAATGGAAAAGTGATCTGTGATGTATAAAACAGTTTACTATGGATTGGTTTGTCTATTAATAGAACCAGACATCCCATTCCCAATGAAAGTTATACCAAAGAAATTCTCATCTCATTGTAAATTTTGAAGCTCGTTTTTTGTGTCTAGTTCATCTACGGTGAGACTGATCACTAGTGTCGACGACATTTTGTTTATATTATTTTAGGGTTAATTTCATGATTTGTACTTTACTGTTTGGTTATATAACTATGAGTTAATGATTATGATTAGATCGTTTTATTTGGTTAAACAAGGTTATAAATGACTGAAATAACAATAAGCAAATTTTTACCAAAACACAACCTCTAAAGTGCATTGTACAGAACTAACAAAAAAAATGGCTTCAGCTGTTCTACAAGGATGAGAAATCTACCAAGGGAGTATGTTTATTCATGGTTGTAAACAGTTTTAGAATCAAAAGGAACACAGTTTATGAAACACTAACAGAGTGCTGAAGTAAATTGCTGATTTCTGTCAAATCCACCCAGGGCCGTCCCTAGGGTTGGCGGCGCCCAGAGCAAACATGGTCGTGGCGCCCCCTCCCCCCCCAGCAGTAATAGTCAGTCGCATTCGCATATTTTAGTACTATGCTATTACAAATAGTTGCTGCGCGGCGCCCCCTCAGCCACTGAGCCTGGGGCAGCTTGCCCCCCCCTTCGGGCGGCCCTGAATACACCCACATTCATACCAGTGGTATAACTATCCCACGCCTAACCATAGCAAACTGATAGTCAATTAACAGAACTAAAGTAACACAGTAAATCTACAAGTGAATTGATTGGAAAAAATCTGAAGGAATTTGATTGGTTTAAGGTAAACCCAAACTTATACCTTCGTCTGACTCATGGCTTGTACTGGCTTCATGATGTTGAAATACTGAAAAACTCACTGATGTAACATTGCAGATTCACAGGAGCACTAAGTGGGTTCTTCCATGTTTTTACGTTGCCGTGCCTGTTGCGGCTGGCTGGACAGAAGCAGGCTGGCAAACTATCTTGTTTCTCCCTCTTCCTGAACCTCGCCATCCCACTGGCGGGAGGCATCAACCTTATCGCTCAGTTCTTTGTATCTGACAGCTGAAAATTGTGCGTTTTCTTGCTTGTATTATATTAAAATTGTATATAAGTTACATATGTACGGTTGAGGTACATTGACAAAAAAGCGAGTTAAATTTTGTCACTAAATATGTGTCAGTTTAGAATGTTGAAGCTAATGTAACATAAAAGTTAACTGTGACTACTTATATGTAAAGTGGAATTTAAAATAAAACTTTGTATGATTTATTAGACAAATAGAACTTTTTAGAGTATGCCCGTTAAAAGGCAAGAATTAGAATAGCTGAAAAATATTTACTAATTTGTATTAAAGTAATATAAAGTTTTGATAATGTAATCGTTATTGATGAAATCATGTGCAAATATTTTAACTGAACTTTTATGAACATAACCTAGATAGTAAAACTTTGAGCAAAACCTCCCATTGACAAGGAGGCAGCCTTACTTGTTAAATGGTGGTGAAATCATGACATAAATGTGTTATTTCATTTTCAAGAGCAGTTAGCCTCCGGATTACGTTTGAATATTTATAATGGTTTAAATACCTGCATTCAGTAATCCAAAATGTTGCTTGTAACAACTATAGTTTCAATTCACAGGGAATCATCTTCGGGGCGTACAAGGCGTCGTTATTCATCTCCGTATATGAAGGTCGTCATTTAATAAATAAGTACATAGAACACAAAACACACAATGAAAACGCACATTGATTGACGGACATTTAACATTAAAAACTCTGTGAGGTGGAGAGAAGGAACGAATGCCAGTGGCAAGGAATGGCAGTGATAAGGAGACAATACTGACGTCATCCATGTTGACCGCTAACCACCAGTTCGAGCTACAACTTCCACCCAGTCGCGTCACCTGTCTCGTGTCTCCGAGTACTCGGTATTTTTAATGTTAAATGTCCGTCAATCAATGTGCGTTTTTGTTGTGTGTTTCGTGTTCTATGTACTTATTTATCAAATGACGACCTTCATATACGGAGATGAATAACGACGCCTTGTACGCCTCGAAGATGATTCCCTGTGAATTGAAACTATAGTTTCCACAAGCAACATTTTGGATTACTGAATGCAGGTATTTAAACCATTATAAACATTCAAACGTACTGTACCTGGTACTGTACCAGATGGTAAATTTGGGATCAAGCTGGTCTAAAGGTAGAGCGCAGGATTTCAGTCCCTGGTTCAAATCACGCCCTGTCACCAATGGATTTTATCTAAGTGTTAATGCCACAACCTCTAGGTCTAGCCTGAAGTAATGTAAAACACAATTCCGGGCCCGTGCCTAGCGTCTTAGGAAAAAAAAGAAGAGCGCAGGTGTTTATTTATAGTCAATGGTTCTATTTCTCAACTTAACAACTTTTATTCACAATCAAAAGAAATGTTAAGAGAAAAATTTAGGTGATATATGTACCAATTAAAACAATGTTCAGCCAAATTCATGTATTTTTGCACTAAATTAGAAAAATAATTCCCTAGTCAAATATTTTTTCCACTTATCAGTAAAGGAAAGGTAACTTATATATTTATAAATGAATTAGTTAACTGTGATATACTGTAGTGTAAAATGTACAAAACTATTGAGAAATTGAAAGTCAGACTTTCAATAGCTTATTAGTTTAAGGATGTGTGATAGATTTATATAAATTAATTTAACTGTTGTATTAAGTAGAAAAGTAGATTTTAAGATAAGTTCCAAATACAATTTGACAGTAATATCAAGATTCACTGTTTTATTTATCCAATATAAGTCACGCTTTTAACTACAAGGCTTTTGGTTTAAAATTGTTTGTTAGAGCAGTAGACCTTTAGGTTTGGTTTTATCATTGACCGAGTGGTATAAGGCATCTCCCCCTCAGAACAGATATTCGATATTTTCCCATGATCATGGAAGATGGTGATGAAGTTTTCATGGCCGCGGGAGATGATTATGATGTCCAAACAACCGCGAGAGATGGTCAGGATTTGGCCGCGATCACAGCTGTTTGATGTAGGCCTAAGCGATTCGGACGATTGGAGTTCAATTGTATGTCCATAACTGTGCAATATTGGAATTTTCAACCCCTTTACATGCACATTTTTGCCAAGGCTTGAATTTGATCTCAAGTAAAAAAAAATGTTGTATCAACAAATTTGAAAAATAACTTGTGATATTTGCCAAATAAATCAAATTTTCATAGAAATAACTAATAATTGTGCACTGTCATAACTACGACGGCCCTGAAGGGACATTCCAGTTTCTTTTTGTCTTTCATTCACTTCGACATTATTCTCGAAGTACTTCGACTTTATTCTCGAAGTACTTCGACTTTATTCTCGAAGTACTTCGACTTTAATCTCGAAGTACTTCGACTTTAATCTCGAAGTACTTCGACTTTAATCTCGAAGTACTTCGACTTTATTCTCGAATGTGCTTATTATAGTTTGTTATCATTTTACGGCAACCACAACCCAACTAACTGTTGATGTAGGGGTGTTTCTGATGTAGACATATTTTTGATAAGAATTGGCAGATAGAAAGGGGTTTGAGCTTTAGAACACATAATGGAATATGACATTAATGAACTGATTGAACAATATTTTAGTTTAGGCCTTCAACAGCCTGAAATACTTGCAATTTTTTTATTGAAGCATAACATTTGCATAAGTGAGCGGACATTTAAAAGGATTAGGTCTGAGTGCGACAGAGACAGAGACGAGAGACAGCAGACAGAGAAAGAATCAGAAACAGAATAGAATGAATACGTATTCGTATTGAAGTTGAGTTGAAGTAAAACTAGACTAGATAGAAATGCCGAAGTACTTTGAGAAAAAAGTCGAACTACTTCGAGAAAAAAGTCGAAGTAAAATGAAAGACAAAAAGAAACTGAGTGTCCCTTCGGGGCCGTCGTACAAAACTCCATAAATTGGGAATTAATCTCCAACGGTGCTAAGGAAATATTAAATACAGTCTAAGCTATAAAACTTTTATTCATAACAACTACATTGATATTTCTACTATATACAATTTGTCGACAGGAACATTTTATAACTGTTTAACGATTATCTACAACTATATTTGAAGACCCTGTAAAGGCCTAACAAATTGGCATAATATTCACTAACAAATTGGCATAATATTCACTTATAATGGCTTAATTGACTATTTCACTCTGTTTGAGTTACAGTATATCAATTACAAAACTTTTCATTTGATAAAGTCAGCAAATTAATCTCAGCTGTTCATTTAATTGATGGGCATTTTTGGTAGATTGCATCTTGAAACATGGACAGTGCCTGCTTACTTTACTATTTAAGTTCTGTAAGTACCTACTTTTGAGAAACCAGATATTGTGAAGTTCCATTGTGGCAACCTGCTGATAACAAATTTTCTGAAACTACCTGAACCTATACAGCCAGACAGTGTCAACTCCTGATCCGATGGTTTGGTCTGGGGTTCGGTTGGGAAGTGGAAACCTGCAAGCCACCACATGAGCATCTTTGCTCACTTCTTCATTCATCTTTTGTTCTAGTTCAGCCATCTAAAAAAGACGATTAGTTAAAATCATTCTGAATTATAGTTAATGTAATAAGTTTAACTTGTATGAAGTTTGTCCATAAATTACAACCTTAAACGAGCTCCAGTCGGGACCAAGGGAGCTAGTTTGAACACTACACCAAAGGTGAGTTTTTTGCTTCCCCACTGATATTCTAACTAGAGCTTACCAAAAACTGGTTTCGTCCTAGCAGCTGAAAACGGTGCAGGGAAAATTTACGCTTCTGCAATAGATTTTATTCGGTGATCAGCTTTCTGTGGCAAGGTGTTCAATCCCTTTTGAAATGTTTTGCAGCTAAATGACACCTAATAGTCTGCATAAATTGAATCCCATACAATTGAAATACATAATTCACACTTGGTGGCAGAATAAATGTTATCTCATGTTGGTTTGGACTACGGCAAGCCTCATCATCACATAAGGGTAAGAACCAGCTACAAATAATCGTATGATAGACTAGTAAAGAAACACAGCTGGTGTCAGATTTGAACTAGCTTACTTGGTCGTGACTAGAGCCTTACAAACAGCCATCAAATGCACTGTAAATGTTGTATGTACAGGTAAACGTTAAATTCCAGTTTATGTTGGCTGCAACTGTTCATACTGTTACAGCCTCAATGATATTCAGTAAATCGTGAACGAAGGTCGATTTTCTAGAGCTCTATTCTATAATAATAATAAATAAATAAAAAACGTCTACAGTTGCATGAGATTCTTTTGATATAAATTAGTAATCGCAAGTTATATGGTGCAGAACAGCTAAAAAATTCCTTACATCGTAAATGTTTCCCTGCATTTGGCGATATTACCTGTTGGGAACTTTGCTCTTATGCTACATATTACTAAGCCTATGTAGTGCTGTATTTTGTGGTATTACGATACCAAATGATAATTTTGGTATTGGAATCAGTCTATTGGTATGTATCTACCAGTGCATTAAACTATCAAAGAGAACATTACCAAAAGTCAGTAGTTTTTATGGTTTGAAATTGGACCCAAGGGTCCTTGGATCATTGGGTTTTTAATAAATTATTTTGACCGATGAAACAACAAAGCGACAAACGTCAAACAACTCCTTCTACACTGCTGCATATGGCTCAGGAACCAACCTGGGTATGTGTCGCTGTATTAAAAGTAATGAGCTATTATAACAAAAATTCATATTTGTAAATTTAGTGATACCTAGTTTATTGATTTATTTAATTTCTCTTTAGCGGTATTGTTTGAAACTGCTTATGTTTTGAAACCATTTCCCCCCCTACTGCAATCACAGGTTGTCTAACCAGCATCATTATCAGTAGCCTATTACATTTCTTAATCAGTCAAATAATGGTGAGTATAATTCATTGACTAAATAATGCACCTTTGTTAAAATTTAACTTTGAAACTTCCTGCCACAATATCCGACATAAGCTAACACAATATCGGTTTAAATGTAAAAAGGGGTTTACCATTTCTTCTACACCAAATATAACAATGTTGTTATACGGCCTTAACGAAAACCTCCACAGATCTTTTCGATGAAACGATGTTTTGCTAGAAAGTCCAGCCTTGAGTGCAGATAGGCGAGAGTAGAAAACCAGCCATGGATTTAGCTCCACACCATCAGCTTTGAATCCAGATGCTGCCGCTGCTAGTACCTTCACATAGAAAATCTGGTGTTAAAAAGCCAAATAAACCATTACAATAGTAATCACTTAATTGTAGAAAAAATCTTGAAATAGACTAGAATAATAGGTAGGCCTAATGCATTTAATTGGACTGCATAGTAAGGCCCCTGAGGTGTGATAAAGCAAGAAATATCCATTTACCAGCCGTCGATCAGCTTAAGTGTTTGCATGAAGAGGTTGGGACGTTCTTCTCCACAAAGGGTCATTACACCAAGCCCTCAGCTGAACTTCACATAGGCTATTTGAGGATTCCATCTTTGTGGCAGAACATGCCCTAACTTTCAGTTTTTAAAATTCCGATTTGAAATATCTAAATTTGGTAACGTATATTTCACCGACTTTATCTTAGACCCACAAGCTCCTGCCCGCTAGTAAATAGCAGTAGCAATAGTTTAGTCTGGTTTTAATTTATTCATTTGAAATTACAACCATTCCATTCACCTGGTACACATAATTACGTTTAAATTATTTTCATAATCGTTGGTTAGTTCCATGAAACTTCTTATCAGAGTTCTAAGCCCTGTCGTTGCGGACGATAGAATAAGTCTTGGGAGAATCCCGATTTGAACAGATGCGAAGAATATCAACCTGAAATTATTTCAACCGTATCACGATAAATCCTTCGTTGAGAAGAAGAAGAAATTTGAGTGTGGCTGGTTCTAGGGGTTGGCCTAGTCTGGTCTATCTTGCAAAAACCACTTTATTCCCCCCTTAGAATCTAAATTACACACATGTGAAAATAATTCCAAAATATAACAGTTTTTCAAAGTGATGTTAACATTTTTGTAAATCTTAAATCTGTGATAGGTAACACTAAGACATTGATGATTAAGAAATGAGCAATTAACAATCTTTCAGCAAAATAAATAAAACCTTGGACTATTGATAGAAGTAGCGATCTCATGATTATGTCAATATGTAGCTAGTTTTATAATAACAATGATTGATGTAGTTGATTTGAGCCATCGACAGAGAGCACTGAAGTCGGTCAGGCCTAGGTCTACGATTTCTGGCGATTACCTAGGCCAAAATTAATTTTCAATCGTCAGATATAAATAATGGTCTTTTTATCTTTGATCTTTCTATGTCATCACTTTCAATGCTATTTGATCAATAGTACTGTTAACATTTGTATGTTAATTAAGGAATACCCCTATATTTCTAGACACATTCTTAAGTTAATGTAAGCTAGAAACAGAGAAGTTGTTCAAGTGGGTTTTCACTTGTAACCTACTCAATTAAACTTGTAGGCCCTAATATTTTTTATTGTGTCCTCTGTTGTATAATATTGTGCGTATATTTATACCTACTTACAATGCGGCCATCCCCGCTTCCTATATCTACAAGATGTCCACTCCTGCCCCTAAGAGCCGACAAAACATTTTCAACCTGCACTGTAGTAGCTGGTACATATGGTAGACATATTCTTCTTAGAGCTGGTGACACGAATGGAGCGCATAAAACAGTGAGTGCAACAGCTGCTCCACCTGTGACACCCATATAGATGTGAACGCTGCATACAAGTAACTAATAGCTTACTTAATGTTTAATTGAAAGCTGGTTAAACCATTTTACACGAAAGCACTCACTTACAATTATCAAGAGAAAATCTCCTTTTGGTTGCAATTCTTTATTTGTTTAAAATTTAAACAGCCTTAAAAAGGTTTATACAGATTTAAAACGTAGGCTATCAGGATAATATGATTAGGCTCTAGGCTAGTTATATTATTCCGAGATGGAATTCTAGCCTATTGTAGTGGTAGATAATTTTATCATGTCCTCTCAAGTGTCTTTAAGTGAATTAATAATTTATGTTGGCCTACTACCCAAACCAATTTGATTCTGTTATGGTTGAATGAAATTATCCTAACCAACCCAAAATATTTCTGGTTGAAAATAAATAATAGAATAATAAGTAAAGTAGGCCTAACCTAAAACATTCAACCTGTACACTTCCTTGTCAAGCCATGCTATGTTTTAAAAATGAATCAAAGAACTAATTTGAATAATCTTTTGATATTTACCACTAATCCCTATTAAAAATAACCCAGACTTGTTCAAATTAGTAGATTTCAAGCTACCCTCAACCTCACTCATTTTTAATAACAATAGCAGAGGCAGACGACATGAACAACGAACAAGAACAACATTCTGGCTGCTCTGGCTGGCTGCGCTTGTGCTCACAGCTACCACAGCAACAGCTGACAAACCAAAACCTTTTTCCGTACCATTAAACTTGTCAAACTTGGCCGGTTTTAGTCAGGCTACGCAGCTGCGTAGTTTACTTTTTTCATTTCTTATGATCTCTTTGGTTTTATGTCATATTTTTCTTACAGAATTTATGAAAGTTATTGGATTTGCCCGTTCTTTGCAATGAGGTAAGGATATGGAAGAGAGAATAGTAGTGTGTTCTTTATATCAACAGAAAACAATTGCGCCCCCAACCAATGGTTAAAAAAGGCATAGCTCAATCTGTGGCTTAATCGTACTTTATTGCTTATTTTTAAGTGTTTTTAATCAATATATTTATAATATTGAATTTGGCTAAGATTAAAAAAAATATAGGGTTTTACTTTTACCAAGGTGGTTATCATTACTAGTCTATGTACATACTCATCGCGATCACTAGAGATGATCACGATGTACTCTCGATCACGGTTGTGGAATAAGCGTACTGTGATGAATACACACCAAATGTATGATGAATGAAGCAATGAGCTGTCTTTGATTATAACAACATCAGACATGATTTACAACAAAGCAATTGTTAACCACCGAATATTATTACCATCTTAAATCATCTTTGTATGGCAAAATTGCAAATAGGTACCCTTGTTTTTGCTGCATGGTTAAGTTCCATAGATTGCTGTTTCCAATACTTAGTGCTTATTTTTACAGGAAAATGAATATATTTACAACAGAGGTATAAGGAAATAATTGTTTATATGTATAAACTATGAGTATAATTTTCAAAACACATGAATGAGGATAAGCGTTGGATTCCGATCCATCTCTAGAGGAGCAGTCACAGTTTTTATCACAGTCATGTGTTTGTAAAATGCTTTCACTTTCTGCCAGTACCACCTTCGCATTGTTCGCTTTCAAGGAACAATTATAAAATCTGTTGAGTTTGATTATGTCTTGCTCGCTGAAACCAATTCTTTGTCCAATGAGTTTTGTTCTAGGCTTGATCTGTGGGTAAACACAACAATTTTTTTTAATAAAAAAATAAAATAAAAATTTTGTTATATGTTTAAAAGGAATCAAAAATCTTTAACCAACCTTTCTGATTTGGCCTGATTGGCTTGATTAGTCCTCAAATATAGCTGTACAACAAACACAAACAAGATTTATTAATAATTACACGTATTTGAGGGGTAAGTTTTACTCTTATGTGCTTCTTGAAAAAAACATATAACTTCAATCCATACTGTTACCAGTGACCCAGCGCCCCCAGTAACAGGTCTGAGCGCCAGGTACAAAAATGATCTATACAAATTCACCAGTGTTTTTCTATACCTTCCGTGCAGGAAACGTTTAAAAAATAAATATGAGTTACTGTAGTCGTGCTATCAAAATCACTCTGTAAATATATTTATTGCCACGCTAGTTGCGTCAACTAACTACTGTCCTCAACACTCTTGTGAAAGGCGCGAAATAAAGTAAATTTCGCTAATTTCTTTGCCTTTTGATCTTCATTACTGAGATGGATTGGGGTTTTGACTTGACTTGAGTAACTTAATGTTGAATTGACTTCGGTATAGCAAAATTAGTAGCAAAGACAATAGAAGAGCGTTTCGGGGTTCCGATGTTTTTAGGACGTCTCCTATAGCCTAGTTGAAACTCCCATTTGAAATACAGGGTTTATGGGCTCTTGGCACTGTACTCCACGGTAAACGTTGAGTGTGGTGTAGACTAGAGCCCTGCTGGTCTATTGATTAGAAATCGAAACATCCACCAGAGAAACCTGGGTTCAAATCCCAGTAATCACCAATATTTTTAGTTGAATCATTCTTACCTTAGCAATGATTGTTGGTAAAGAATTATTGCTCATGGCACAGAGTCGGTAATGCATTAGGCTGCTGAAATCATACGAAGCTCCAAAATCGTCCAATTTGACATTCGAATCAATTTCAAAATTTTTCCAATAAGCTGTAACACAAAAACATATTCATTAAATTAAAAATCATGTATCAATACAACTTAACCAATAATCATTACATGTACTTGTATTTGATTCCACGCAAAGCTATTTTGGGTTTGGTTGAATTATTTATATCTAATTAACTTTTATCATTGATTTAGTTTTTTTATACACTGGTGCACCCAGTATCTCTGCTATAAAAATTACCAAAATAAAACAAGATACCTTAAAAAATGAATTGATTTTAAATCAAAGGTGATGTTACATATGTTGGTTTGATTGCGGTATCTCAAGTTTATCTCATTTTCAAGTATCGGGCGGTGAGTCCCAGGACTAATGTGGATTTATGTGTCGACTGGTCACACTATCAACAACTCTAAATTTTTTTGGGACCAATTCTTAGCCAGTAGGCCCTGGGACTGAATACCCTACGATTCGTGTATAGATTGTAAATCTATAACATATTATGTTTTGGCTATGCTCTAACCGTAGTCGATGTTGGAGTAGTTGATGTACACGTACTTGTCCCGGTCTGGCCGCATATGTTCATGTGTAAAGCCCAGTGTGTGAAGCATCTCATGCATGGCCACCCCTACACTGCGAGCACACCGAGGACTGAGGTACAGGGGTTGTGGTCCTCCCTGTCTACCCACGTGGGATGAACATTCACCTCTGGCAATACAACACAAGGTTAGGTCAAGATATGTTAGAAAGGCATACCACATGTTCATGTGTGAAGTTGCATGGCCACCCCATACACTGCGAGCACACCGAGGACTGAGGTACAGAGGTTGTGGTCCTCCCTGTCTACCTACGTGGGATGAACATTCACCTCTGGCAATACAACACAAGGTTAGGTCAAGATATGTTAGAAAGGCATACCACATGTTCATGTGTGAAGTAGCATGGCCACCCCATACACTACGAGCACACCGAGGACTGAGGTACAGGGGTTGTGGTCTACCTACGTGGGACGAACATTCACCTCTGGCAATACAATACAAGGTTAGGTCAAGATATGTTAGAAAGGCATACCACATGTTCATGTGTGAAGTTGCATGGCCACTCCTACACTACGAGCATACCGAGGACTGAGGTACAGGGGTTGTGGTCCTCCCTGTCTACCTACGTGGGACGAACATTCACCTCTGGCAATACAATACAAGGTTAGGTCAAGATATGTTAGAACACAGAGGATACGCGTCCGGTAACCAGACGTGGATTAGGCGTCCGGTAACCAGACGTGGATTAGGCGATGCATAAAGAGCTTGTCTTTACTGTCAAATTACTCTACAACTTCGGATCAATCCCGCATGCAATCTCTTGCCTCAAGCCAAGAAACAGAGACTTGCATCAACCTAACCGCACCACACCGTAATTAACCAACTTTGAACCTAAAAATTTATCTTAAGTCCTAAACAATATTCATTACTAAGCATTCTACATTGATACTCTTCCGTACAGCCAATGAAATCTAACCAATTGACTACAAACGAAACCCACAAGAGGCAATTAAAGAACAATTAGTTTTATCAGGTAAAATTGATACACATACCAACACAAAACTACACAGCAAGCCATACACAACAGAATTACTGGCACAATGAATAATGATTGTTATCTATAGTTTTTGTTTAGACAATCCTTTACGTGCTTCATATTATCATAATAGTATTCAAGTACATAGCCCAGGTATATAAAATATAAATTACACACTGTTTCTATACAAACCGGATTGAGTATTCAATTACAATATAATCAGGTTCTCCCGTCCACTCAATAAACTTTATACAACTGTGTTTGTGGAACTCCTTCATGGCTTTGACGGTCTGTTTGCGGTCCGAGTCTCCTATAAAGTGAAACACACATTAATTGAATATCAAATAATGTATTTTAGTCTATTCATGTTACGGCATGATTTAAAATTTCAGCGAAATAAAAACGTTTAAATATACGAAAGCTACTATTTTTCGACCAAACTGTTAACCAAACAATGAAAAAAGATAAAATTTAAAGAAAATAAATTGGGATTAGAAAGTGAATGATATCGCCTCGAATGAAAGCGAATTATTATACACTATTAATTCTCCGTGGGAAACCTTTACGTAAGGCTAGTACTCACTAGGACACCCGGTCGCTTATCAACCGGCGACCTGGTTGACGAGCGACTAAGTTGATGATTGAACGTTTTATTGCTGGGTGGTACACACTAGGATACCTAGCACTTTCAACCAAGCTGGAAATCAATCAAAATTTGGTGGGGATAGACAATTTGTTTTGTTCTGGTTCACGCTTAAGCCTATCAAAGTGTGAACCTCAATGACAACACCATGCCCCCGACGGAGAGGAAATAGCTGCCGAAGTTTTGATTATATTAAAAACTGTGGGAAGTAGAGAAGAAGAAAGAAATTGTTTAGTAGATTTTGGGTTAAAGGGTGGCTTTAAAGTAGACATAGTTACAGCCAGCCACATTGGCACTCCTACGAGCTTTTCGACTTAAAATCCTCAAGATTTTAAGAACTATTTACTTATGTCAGATGACAGTTTCCGTCATACTAAGCAACCAGTGACACCAGCAATCACCAATAATAATATGTATGTGTATGTGTAATGTGTATGTGTATGTATGTGTGTATGTGGTATAATAATATGTATGTAATAATAATAATAATATGGTGCAGCAGTGACACCTCACATAGAAAAAAAGGACGTCAGATTGAGATTTTAGCATGGTTTTGTTTCGTCAGTTCATTTTTCGTTGTACTGCGCATGCGCTAGCCGGCTTTAGTTGATCAACTTGGTCGCTGAAGCGTACACACTCTAGTTTTTTGAGAAATCTGATTGCCTGGCGATAAAATGGTTGATCGGAAACCCCCAGGTTTTCGATACATGTCCGAAAACCAAAAAGTGGCCTGGCAACCTACAAATCGCCGTCAACCAAATTGACAGACACGTACACACACGGCGATATTTGTGCAATTTGGTCGCTCGTCAACCAGATCGCCGGTTGATAAGCGACCGGGTGTCCTAGTGAGTACTAGCCTTTAAGTTTTGATTACAGAGAGAGAAAAAACCCGTTTCGCCCGATTCACCTAACCAGAAACAAAATTCTCTAAGGTAGCCTATCCCTACATCCGAGGAAGGCTTACTCTATGTAGTTCATGCACTCTAATTTAATCAGTGAACGCGATTGAAACTGGAAGGTAGATTGGTGTAAATGTATTGTGCTGATGCATCACTGCTTACGTCAGAAAACTCGTCAAAGTTCATTAACCAGGGGATGGTGTTGGTGCTGAGGGGGTGAGAGAGGAGGTATGGGATCACTTCTAAGGCATAGTTTAACAGGAGAAGAAAATAATTTACATGGTTTACATCAAAATTTTAATCAAATCGTCAACTTCATACAATAGACCAGCCGCGCTCCAATAGCTTTCAGCTTTTACTATCGATAATAGCGGTTAAACAATACCAGCTGGTCTTTTTTTAAACTAGATCCACTAGTTCTATTTGCTTTGACTTTAGACAATCTGCCATGTCAAGGTTGTAGCAAATAATGTAATTAGGTTAAGTACCGACGAATTGCTGATTTTATTATTGATTTGTCTGAATCCGCTAATATTTGAAGCTATCCAAGCGTAAAAAAGACTTGCTATGAACTGAATGAGATATAAAATTAGAATTTCGACTGCAGTCTGTGAGTGGTTAATTCAATTATCTTCTATATATATAAAAGGCAAAGCCCTCACTGACTCACTCACTCACTCACTCACTCATCACTAATTCTCCCTCTTCCCATTTACCTAGGAGGCTGAAATTCGGTACACCGATTCTTTGGGCATTAAATAGGAAAACTAAGTAGTTTTTATTTTGATCGGGCTTTCGGGCTCCGCCCCAGTGGCTCTGGAGTTTCCCATGTTAACCTTATGATTTTTAATATTTAAAAGGAAATAATGAATCTTAACAGCTGCTTCAATTAAACAAGTTGGTTCTGTTCTATGATGTTCAATACGGTAGCATTAAAGTTACAAGGATCACCAACAGGGTGCAGCACTATTATTTTTTTTAATTTATGACAACAGCTAATTTGCAACCAAAAGGTGAGTGAGCGTAGCGAACGAACTTCAACCTGGCGAGTTAGCGTAGCGAACGAGCTAACCTAAAGGCAAGTGAGCGCAGCAAACGACCTCCAACCTAAAGGTGAGTGAGCGTAGCGAACGAACTTCAACCAGAACGTGATTGAGCCATGGGAACGAGCTCACTTATTTAAGTTAAACGGGGCAAAGCCCGCGGGTACAGCTAGTGTCCATATAAATGGAATAACTACTTCAGTATCTAAAAGTCAAATCTTTTAACTATGAAGTAACAGTAACGACCTCGTGGTTCAAAGCTATCCTTAAGCTGAATTTATTTATTTCATTTATCTACTACAAATGTTGAGGTGAGGAAAAATTTTACTGTATTTGGATAGCTGTGACACTCTAGCAATACCATAATTCTAAAGAAGTGAAAAATATCAAATTCACGTCGAGTGTGATGAAAGCTCGTTAAACACAGCTTGTTAACTGGTGCAGATGACATTTGTTTCCGTCAATAGCTGATTACAAGCAAACAATTTCAGCTGACGATTCGTAATACTAACTGCAAACACAAAGTGTAAATAACCTGGGCGTTTGTATAGCAAAATAAAATGGTTCCTCAATTGACCTGTATTTTAACATTTCGTTCATCTTTAGACAAGATAATCTTAAATGAGTAGAGATTCTTTGTGATTTCTGTTACATATAAAGTGCATATGCAAGATATACAGTACATCTTACTAATATTACAAATGTGAAAGTTTGTGTGTTTGTTTATTTGTTTGTTTGTTTGTTTGAAGTTCAATCACGCATTAACTACTGGTCGGATTGGACTGAAATTTGGTATGGTGATAGCTTACATTGCCGATTAACATATAGACATATTCTTATCTCAAAAATCCTTTCGGGCTCCGCCCCAGTGGCCCTGGAGTTTCCCATATTAACCCTATGAGTATTCATATTTAAAAGGTATTAAAGAATTTTGTCAGCTGTTTCAACTGCACAAGTTGGTTCTGTGATATTAAATAGCATTAAAAAGTTATAAGGTTTATCAACAGGGTGCAGCACTATTATTTTTTGCTATTATTGAAGTTGGTTCTGTGATATTAAATAGCATTAAAAAGTTATAAGGTTTATCAACAGGGTGCAGCACTATTATTTGTTGGCATTTATGACAACAGCTAATTTAAACTAACTAGCAACAAAAAACTGCGGTACACAATGAGAACTTTACTTTTTTCTATGGTTTAGGTACAGTGGTAGAACATTATGGCAAAGGTAAATGTTCTATATTATAGCATACCATATAAATTATAGCATTTTATACTTATATGACAACCCCGTACGAAGTACGGGTACTCTGCTAGTATATACATATGCAGGATAGTTTAGGCCCCTCGATCCAGTCGCTGTATTCAGAATTACTATTTAGACTATAAAATAAAATATAAAACTGTAAAATATCTTACTCATGTTATGATGAAAAACATACGGTACAGTGGCGTTTGGCCATTTTAGGTCCAAAACGGGCGTATGTAAAAAAGTGGCTGCAGGTTCCATGTCTTCATTTGAGCTTGAATAGTCCCTGGGATAGTGTGAAAGTTGAGGAGGAATAATATCATCATCTTTACCATAATAATCTGTTTCAGCGTTGACGTCAAGTCCTGTAAATATGTAGTGAATGTTTGATTCTAAAGATACCGTTAGACTTAACTTGCTCTCTTTGACAAAAGATTATTTTATCAGAATGAGCTGTAGGTAAAAGTAAAGATTAATCTACCTACCAACAGTGCTTGTAGCCAAACACAATCAACATTTCTAGAACCATACCAGTTGATTTGTCTTAATGTTACGAAATCATATTTGAAAGTTTGAAAAGTGGTATCAAGGCTATGCGAAGCATTTCGTAGAACAAGAATTGGGTTTAGTCGTATGACTATTATATTTAGAGACAGCCTACCAACTAATACTTAACGTTCAATACACATATTTAACACAATTAACTTTTAGGTTGGTGGAGAATGACCAAAAATGGGATGGGTTTTTAAATTAATCCAATTCTGTTTTGGCTCTGTAGGATCATTTCACGTTACGTGCGACCGTTGTTAATCTCTTTAAATTGAAGTTGACTTTATCGCAGGATGTGATTTTAGTTTCTGAGAGACTTTACGATAAGGTATTGATTGTTTTTACAAGCAAATACGGTACTTTCCTGTTAAAGGGAACATTCATTATTATCGATGATTTCTTCCGATATATCGATATTAACAAATTGAAGCATATCAGCTGACAACTACGATAAATATTATTCAGTATATGAAACTGTTCTAAAAAAATAACCTTACATAACTAACCAAACTTGTTGTAACATTTAAAAATACCGTGTTTAACTTGCCTTTTCTATTATCAAACCCAAACGGAAGTTTTAAATGGTACAGCAAGTTTGGTTGGTTATGTTAGGTTAGCTTAGAACAGTTTCGTCAGTATCAGTAAGTTGTTGTTGTCAATTTGTAATAGATCTGATCGGAAAACAAAAATATCGATATATCGAAAGAAATCATCGATAATAATGAATGTTCCCTTTAACAGGAAAGTACCGCAAATACCTTATGACGAACAAATCAGACAATGTCGAAAGTCAATAATAATACATCAAGGTGTTTCATGAAAAAAATGAATTGTTTTACGAATAGATATATTTTTTAAAACATGGAGGAAATTAAATAATTTGGATATTTTCAACTGTTTGAAAAAGTATTTTACAAAGACTATAATGAACTTTACAAATTCTATCGGTAAAATATAATGTAAAGTTAATCATAAAAACCATTCTAATTTATTGTGTGTTTTCTACAGTAAAAATAATCATAGCTCATGAACATTGATAATTAGCGTGATAAACATATTAACTATTGCAAATAGTTTTACATGCTTTGCAATAACACAGTCGACTCAATTAAAAGTTAGTCGAGCGTTACAAATGAAAACAGAACCTATTAGTAATTAAAAATTAATGACAATCGATCGGTTCAAAGCAATAAAATAACGTGTATTTGTCCTGATCGTGCTATCTGGCGTGACTGTTTATGTACAAAGGTAACCTACTATAAAAGTTAAATTTAATTTTACCATATTATAATCATAGCAATGTTCACATATATTTCCGTCTTTTTTACAATTTTGGCATTTGTCAACACACAATCATGGTGGCCAAGAGAGAGTGATGACTATGATCGTGACTACGATTACGAACAACACGAAGCTTATCCCTCCTACAGCAGAAAAACACCTCCAGAACAACTCGACAGCTATGAAATCGACGAATCACTCCCTGCATATCAACCCGACAGCTATGAATTTGACAAATCATCCTCTCCAGAACTACCCGACAGCTATGAAACTGACGAATCATCCTATCCAGAACTACCCGACAGCTATGAAACTGACGAATCATCCTCTTCAGAACTACCCGACAGCTATGAAACTGACGAACCATCCTCTTCAGAACTACCCGACAGGTATGAAACTAACGAATTGTCCAAAGAGTCAGGTTTTGAAAAGGAACTCTTGCGTGACATGGTACATATCATCAGCGTAGAAGCCAAGGACTTCGTAAGAAGAATTAATATGCAAGTTGAGAAGAGGTGTAAAGGAAAACGAAGCATCATATGTGAAGCTGTACCTAAAGGGCTGTACTTGTTGGAACGTCTAATTGATACACTGATGCATCAGGTACGTTACTGAACCAAACATTTCGGTAAAATTTATATTAAATGTAAACTGTATGTAATAAAATAGAGAAACGGGATGATTAAACCCCGAAAATAAACTTTATCGATACTATTAACTGGATTCTGTGTACTAAACTGATATTGAAAGTGTAGATTGTGAAATAAATGTTATTTCGTTCACATTGCAGCCTAAACCCAACTTAGCCTCGATTGTTAACTATGATTTATTCTTATTCTTTATATTACATAATTTTGGTTGATTTGGTCAAACTTTTTTGTCCTTTTTTACCCTTGTTCACTAATTTTCTGCACACTAAAAGCGTTGGCTATAGGTTAACATTAGATACCCTGTTCCCCTGTTCCATTATTTAAACTGTAACCTAGATCTATTAATGAAATGAGTGTTCTTTTGTTATTAAGGCTTGTACATACACCTTTTGTAACCAAGCCAAATTAAAGAAAGGCTTATTGTAAACAATAGAATATGTAATTTTAATTGTCATATTAAGTTTAGATAAATTGATATCATTGAAAACTAAGGGGGGGGGGGGGATATAGTTTTAAAAACAACACACTGTTTTATAGATTTATCCAGCTAGGATATAATATAACTAGATATGGATGCAATTTTTATTGTATAATTAGAAGTCTATGATAAAAGACACATAGCATGTTGCTTATTTTTTGGCAATATTTGGCAAGTACCAAATAACAACGACAACTTTTTAAAGTACACTGGCAACTCTTCTCTCTGTAAAGGTTAGGTTTAACTCGTAATTAGTTTTATGAGTAAAATAAGTAATAAACTACCTAACGCATCCATTTAAGAATTTTTTAGTTGTAGTAAACTATATCAAACTTTTTTATTATGTAACAATCTATACTGGATGGGGAAAATGACACTAGCAATAGGGCTATTTAAAAAAAGGTAATGTGATACAACATTATTGTAAATACTAAATAAGATTTTTTATAGTCTTTTATTTGGTTTTGATTACAGCTTGCTTTAGACCCCCGCAAAACACGGTCCTCCTTCGGGACACGCGAGATCAAGAATGAACTAGCCAATATAACCAATGAGATTCAGAAGTTCATGCATACAACTATAAGCAAGGTGCGAAGTATCTGTGGAGGAAGCAACAGTGCTGTATGCAACGCCTACCTAAAAGGCATTGGGCTGGTGGAAAAGGTCATTGGAAAACTATCGAATATAGCATGATAAATACATGTTGAAGGAATAATCGAATTATAGTGTCTAAATCCGTTTACCATACTTACTTTCCGTGTCCGGAAATCAGACTTCGCTTTTCAAAAAATTAGCTACCGATATGGCTTTGTCATTCGCATGCAAAAGATAATCTAATGTGCAAGACTGGTCTAGGCGTGGACAGATCAGCAGATGGCCAGGATCCTGAACAGCACCACACGCGCACAAGATGTTTTCTTCGTCTGGTAAGAGACCCCATTTCTGCATGTTTGTCTTGCATTTTGGTACCTCGACCCTAATTCGATTTAGGGTCTTCCACACCGTGTAATGAAGGCCTCCACCAGGAGCCAGCTCCTCCCTGGCTGGTATGGGAGGGTTAGTCAACGTGGCCTCCCACCTTGCCACCCGTTTGCTTGAGAGTGATCCATCCAGGACTCGTGTCCGTGATAAAAAGCTCTTTCTGGACCGAAGCCGTCGCTCTGCAGGTTGGTGGCCGTGTAATGGGTGACGAGGGTCTGTCTCTTGCTTAGTCCTTTCTGCGTCGGCAGCGACATCACGTCGGATTGGTGGAGGGGCGATCCCTATGATAGGATAGAGTTTGTGTACTGGGATTGGTTTCAAACACCCAGTTACAATCCGAGCCATGTCATTGACTGCAATGTCAACCTTTTTTGCATGTGACGCTGCATTCCATACTGGTGCAGCGTACTCCGCAGCCGACACACTGGTTTATTACCATTACAATCCGAGCCATGTCATTGACTGCAATGTCAACCTTTTTTGCATGTGACGCTGCATTCCATACTGGTGCAGCGTACTCCGCAGCCGACACACTGGTTTATTACCATTACAATCCGAGCCATGTCATTGACTGCAATGTCAACCTTTTTTGCATGTGACGCTGCATTCCATACTGGTGCAGCGTACTCCGCAGCCGACACACTGGTTTATTACCATTACAATCCGAGCCATGTCATTGACTGCAATGTCAACCTTTTTTGCATGTGACGCTGCATTCCATACTGGTGCAGCGTACTCCGCAGCCGACACACTGGTTTATTACCATTATCAAACATGTTTTCTTTCCAAACAAATAGCAACATACACGATTTAGCGCCAGGACTGCGTTATGTCGGATGGATAACCAAGCAAACGACAATCAGCTTTAAACATCTAAATCATCCATGTGGCTGGTAAAACACCTTTCGCCACAATAAACTCGTCAATGTGAAGTTCAGCCGTGTGCTTCGTCGTTTAACTTGACACTACTACACTATGATACAACTGTAGGTAAACCTCATCATGACCATGACAAGACCGATGTTTGGTGGGTTACTTAACATCCTACTTAACAATAGTATTTTAGTGTTTAATATTAGTATTATACGTGTTTTTAGTATTATACGTGTTTAACAATAGTTAACATTGATAGCTTAATGTTCAGAGTAAAACAAATTGGTACTTACTTTGACATATAGAAACAGGATATTCTGAAAGGAAACAGAGCATTAATAAACTAAACCACATTGTAATAATTTTGAAATAGTTTCATCCATAAATGGTGTTGTTGGTTCATCGTAATGCTAATGTAATGTTTTAGAATTTGGTCGGTTATAACAGAAACATGTCTACAATATTTGTTTTTATTATGAAACACAGAAAACGAAAACAAAATAGGTGATCAGCTGGCTAAATTTGTTTACATAGCAAAAGACACATTTT